ACGTATAAACCGAGCAGAATGGTTTCTGACCGATTGCCACAACATTTATAGGTCCAGCGGTCACTATACAAGGCGAAAATGAGTGTTGAAAAATAAGACAGATATATTTAGACCATAAACGTAGATTTTACAGAATTGGTATATGAGATGAACCCAGTCATTGCCAACAGGCTCATCCAAAAAATTATATTAGTGCTACCACAGGGTTTTAATTTTAGCCAGGCTGGTTTTATGGTTATAACGAGGATACACTTGTCGCAGTGAATGTGTTTAAAGCACAATCAACCTAAAGCTGCACCAATATCGAAGGTTTAGCGCTGCCGGAACAGAGGCAACTGTCCAAGTACCCTTGCTGCTATGCACACTGTGATGTTGTCCATGCTAGTTTCTTAGTACTGGAAATTCGCACTTTGGTCTTGGAAACATCGGTCGCGTAGTACACATCACACATAAGACGGCGAAATTATTTTTCGAGCTCTGTCTTGGCAAATGTTCCTCGTGCGCCCTCAACAAATATAATTGCGTTGGGTTACAGTGCTCACGCATTATGATAATTCTTCCATTTTATTTCGAAACTTAAACCACCGAAATGGGTCGTTAATCAATGTCTAATCTTCAAGGAATTGTTAGGTATACAGATTTAAGTTCTTGAGCGATAGAAATTATTGAATCTGAATTGAACTGAGCCGCGTAAGACTGATGAGCGACAAATTAGAGGCGTAGAATTTTCAGAAATACCATGGTTAGCATGACCCCTGAAAAATATATTCATGAAACGTGAGTTCTGTCGCAACTTAATTTTGACCTATATTTAATGGAAACTTCCATCCAATATTGCCTAAAAGTATGTGATATAAACTTTTAGCCGACTGAAATCGGCACGTATGCAGAAGGTTTGAACATGCAAAACACAGCTTTCGTTGCATCTGAAATTTTGCAGAAAGTAAATGAATGGTGACATATAAAGTCATGACAAGTGGGTTTCCCTCGTACAAAATCAGTTAAACCTCTGTGTTATATTTCTTTGATCCCAGCAGTATAGGTAGAAGTCTTACAATGGAATTTTCGCATTTAATAATATGTTGCTAAGTAGTAACAGACAAAAGTATGAAGTTAACAGGAGACTTCATGTCGTTCACTGTTTATAGTTTGTCGGGGATTCCGTTTAAGGATTTTGAAAAGCATAATTAAGGATCTCGTAGCGAAGCATTCATCATTCAGTAGATGAGGAAAGTCTGAAGAGGATATAGTCGTTACTCGGTTACTCGGCATATCCTTCTAAATTCCGCAATTACTTACTACATCAGCATGGCCATAACATGCTGTTTTGTAAAGGCCCTATATTTCTACATATCTCAAGGTAGGAACAACACAGCAAACTAGAATTATGTTTGTTTCAGGTACAAATAATGAAAATAAGTGATTGGCTTTAAATTTTTACTTTATTCAATAATATAATATATTGAAATTATTCAGTCTAATATAACACCTTGAAACACTAAAGTTGTGCTTTATATACTATCTTGCATTTTGTGCTTGTGGTTCATTGGACTTATGTAAATTTCTTGTTCGGATTCACATTTTGGTTAACTGAGGGCCATTTTTTGGGTTCATACATTGGGTGATTGATGTTTGCATGCTGAATAACATCATATTTGAAGGTTCGCACCATGTTTATGCAATGTATTTTGATAAAACAATAATCTTGCTGTTCCTCAGCAGTCTGTCATCAGTATGATTCTGTTTGGAACAAACTGGTTTGGTTTTGGATTCTTGTCGAAAACTGTGAATCCATTTCTTTGAGGAGTTATTCGTGCTTTGGCTGTAAGCAGGTATTTTTCACTTTCTTCTAGATAGTGCGATGTAGGTACAGTACTTATGAGGATAACATGCATTCTAGGCAATAAAATCCTTCTAACTCTCTATGGCATTTTCAACACTCTTCTGTCCTTTTTCTTTATTCAAGTTAACCCACTGAGCTTCTCTTCAGGTCGATTTTACCTGGTTTTCATTCACAGAACATTAACTGGAGCAATGTTTGTGACCGAAAATGATACAGGCTATGTGACATCGTCGTATCTTTTTCAAAATATGACTGTAGCTAGACAAATTTCCAGTATAGTGTCAGATGCTGGCTGACATTTTGATGTTCCTCCAACAGTATACTTCATCCGCCTAAAATATGTTGGGTTCAATAGTAACTTTTACCGAAATAAGAAGGGAAGATTATGCATAGATTTTCTCTATTTTTGGTCTACTGATAAAAAAGCGGGACGTTCAAATGCTTTTAGTTGCTTTAGTGCAAGCCGTCACATAAAAAGTGACTAATGTGTCAGCTGACTTCATTTAAAAAGTTGAAACCTGTCCCTAAAATTTAAAGGCGGTCTTACAACAAATGAAGGTGCTTATTTCTAACCATGGAGAAGAGTGTGAAAGTTGTAGCCTCTTCTCCAATATCTGTAATTCATAACATGTGAAAAAGCAGTTTGGGAGGTGTGGATATTCTGCTGACTCTTTCCATGTTTTACTCATGAGAACAGTCTACTCACAAGGAAATATACATTCAGAAACCACTGTGTGAGTTCCATTCGTGAGCTTTCGGAATTCACACTGCAGAGGTTTGAGGAATAAAACTATAAAAGAGCTCAAAATTTTGAAATAACCTATTCTCTTATGCGTTATTCGATTTAGATCCAATGTAGTTACTCACTCTTTCCATTATTTCGGTTATTTAAACTAAAGTCTTAATTTTGCAGTAGGAGCTGATATAATAACTGCGGGGGTTATTGTTGGTAATGTGGACATCCTTACAGCCGTAAAAATTTTTTTTTCATTTCAGGAGGTAAAATTATTTATTAAAATTATTATTACGCCAACACGATTCCCCTATTGTTATTTTGAATTAAAATTACACAGAGAGAGGGGAATTCCCCCTCAATGAGAACTTCACGTGTTCTGCGTGACAAATATCAACCAAGGGTACACAGATCTTATCTACCACTTCCACAGATTCTAGATATGTTGGGAACATTGTACAATCAAGCTGCCAACTGGTTGTCCAAAGTGTCAGATCCTGTGAGGAAACAGCTTTGTAAGTAATGTTCCCAAGATACTTTTGAATTTGTTGAGTGCATAAGAGGTCTGAATGTAAATGGCAAGTGTATGTCATCACTGAACATAGAATCTCTGTTTACCGATGTACCACTTACAGAAACAATTTGTTTCCTGTGCAAATATGTGGAGGACAGGAATCTTAGCATCGGAATACCAACTTTATATCCGAAGTTGTTACTGAGATGATCATTTACCGTGCAATTTACCCTCAGCGAAGACAGCTATTGACAAAAGGATTCAATTGACGTGAGCTCTCCACTTGACCAACCTTTGGCGGACTTTTTTATTGTCAGTTTAGAAAATGGGATCCTAAAATCAAACAGAGACAAATAACTGCTGTTCCAAAAGTATGTCGATGACAAATTTACAGTCTATCATGACAATTCCGATTTAAATTGTGTGCTACAGGAAATTAATAATCGCACTCCTTCAATTAAATTAAAAATCGAATTAAAGAGTGAATCAGTCATTCTTCTTCTGGACGCAGAAATGACAAGAAGTGATGATGGAACTCTGGAAAGATCTGCTAACAGGAAACTATTGTGGAATGGTCAACTGACAAGCCTCTGTAGTCGGATATTTGTCATTCAGAAAAGAGCTCTAGTCATCTTACTGTCCTACTTCATAGCAAGAATTTGCAGCATCAACCGCTGAGAAGAAAAGCTCTTATATCTCAAAAAACAACCTAGTTCAAAATAAATGCTCGCCGCGTTTCATGGAGAAGAATATGCAACCAAAACTAAAATGGGGAAAATGCAATTAAGTACCAAAGAAAATACTGTATTTGAATGTGGACTTCAGGGGATACTTAGTGGTGAGTATCCTAAAGATAAAATCTGCAGTTACTTAAAGATCCTTCTTGTGGCAATTCTAAGAGGGATATACCATAGCTGCCCACAGCAATATGAAGGAAAACTTCCACACATAATTACTTGTATCAGTTCACCTGCTCCCGTGGTGCTTGTTCATAGGCGATTCTATGGAGGCTCTTTCCGAATGTGTTAGGACATTACCCAACATGACTACAAGGAGAAGGCACTGGTTCAATCTGAAGTATCATAACTGAACACATTGTCAACACATGTCACAGCACCTTATTTGACTCATCATACGGAGTCATTTGCAAGGGAAACAGAAATCCACCAATGGCACTGTGTGTCCAACTTGTTGGAACTGCAGAAGCCCCTGCTGTATGTACCGAAAACCTGAACTATGCTCACAAAAGAAAATAGTCTGACCCCTACGTTTACCATGGATGTAGTTCTGATTGAATCCTTAGTTTTCGTTTTGTGTTGTTTTATTCTCATCGTTCTTTCCATTTCAGTCACAGAAACCATTATCTCAGTTTGTATTCGTTAAAAGAACTATTACACATAGCGCAACTATTTTTAATAATATGTGATTTTGTCACGTTTATTCACTCCTGTGAAAGTCCATGTCTTGTTTAGTAATCTGGATTATTTTTACGGAGCCAATAATTTCTGTAGTGCAATGTAATATCAACCGAATCTGCATACTTCTCAAATGAGTCGTCATTTCATGTCCTCTTTATCACTTCACCTCATATTGCCTTACGACGACAAGCAACCACATCAGACTTATTGGCCAGGAGTGGGTCCAAAAGTCATTCACGACAGATTGGCACTTTTTATAGCAGATTTACAGTAGCGACGTCCTCCAGCTTCACAGTAAATTGTTTGCTGCAAAATCGGTGTAACTTCCACTCACAAATTAATTTTACGTTTGGTTTACATTGAAGAAAATCTCAAGGTTATTTTGTTCATTCTTTCCAGTGACTTAAACCATCAGGGGCTTGGATATCTTCCTAAGTATCACGAGAGATATCCCAGATCCCTGCTACCTGGTTTCTAATACATTGAATATTAAGCCTTTAAGCGCGTCATTTCCACTTGTGCGTTACTGTGGCTCATGTAACGCTTTTGTGTTTATCCACCAGTCCTCTCTCATTTACATATTCCACGTTGTCTTTTCTTCTTTTTTTTCATCATTAAACTCTTGGCTTTATTTTGTTCGCCGAATGTATGTTCATCTTATGTGCTAAGGGAGTGGTTCGCCAACGTTTTCTCTCCTAACTACTTTACTCGAACAGATTACCTCCATTTGTCTTATTTAATATCAGTTCATTTTGAAAGCACACTCAACAACCGGTGTGCTACATTCTTTTTTCAACTGATGTGATATATCTAAGCATTGGCATACATATAAATGTCAGATACCATGATATCAGCTAAAGCAGTTGTTGATGCTGTTCCCTCTGGACGTCAGTATTTGTCGGAGTTTTACTGTAAAGAAAATTTAAGTGATAGTCCAAAATATACTGTAAGTTTGCTGTCGTGTATTGCCAATAATAATTATTTAGTCTTCTGATTTTTGGAGAAGTTGGTGTGAAAAGGGATTGTTTGATGAGATCTACATATCTAACAACAATGTTGTATGGAGTCATGGAACGGAAATTTCGGATTCATTTCCTAAGCTGGCCCTCACCCTGAATACTCCGGTTATCGATGCATTCAAGGCGTCATTTTTTCTAGCTTCTCTTCATTCAGGTCAAGGGTTTGTGGTAAGTTTTTTCAAATTAAAGTTCTTCACTAGAATTTTTGTTTCCAATAAATTTGGTGTTTAGAGATGACATGTAATTTTGAATGCAAATTAAGCTTGTTTTTATTTGAATTTAGTTGGTATATCAAGTCTTGTGACATAGTAATTGATTTCTGTTGTCGTTAAGCTATGTTCCATTAGTGGCTGACAAAATCCAACTACAGTTGCAAGCGTCGTGTGTAAGTGAAATATCTATTTGCATACTAAGGGGAGTAAGATGATTTAAAGTATGCCACAAATCGTACAGGTAAATTTGCGAGTAATTCCGTTTGTCTGCTACAACCTACTAGTTGTTCACATTCAACCACTACAAAGGAGAATTATGCGTAAACAGCAAGGATGTTGTGCACTGTGGAGACACTTTCTTTCAAGGGACATTTTTGTTATCCCTGTTACAGAGGAAATTGGTTGGTATTATTAGAGTAAAAAAATGATTTGCTTGGTTGGACTGGGCTAGTTTGTTTCGGACATATTTTACGATACCAAACTGCCATTTATTGTGGTTTAGGTGAGGAAAAGCTGAGAGTTTTTAAACAAATCCATTCAGTTGTTGACTGTATCTGTTCCTTGTAAAATATTTCCTTTTTGGGATGGATTAACAGTTTACATCTCAAACAAATTCAGTATTCACCAACTTTGCATCACTCCAAAGAGTGACCGCATCGTAGACTTATTGCATTAAATTCAGTCACTATCAAGGAGTTACAGGTTTTTTACTGTATGCTAGCCGAATTCTATGGAGTTTCTTATTCTCATTTGTCGATGCTTCTGATATTTGTACAGTATTATTAATCACAAGAAATTATTCGAATCATGTCAGCTACTTCCACAAACTACTAGTTTTAAAGTTGTTTCGTTTCCAACTTTAAATCGTAGTTGCTAATCTTCTAAGTGTTTAGGATTTTATGGGTCAGACTGTTGGTTCACATAAAATACTATCCCGGTATTCGGCTTTTTAATTATTTGTAGCCACTCAGTGAATTTGAGAGGTGAACATCATTAAAAAGTTTTTTCTGCATGTTGGTATTGACAGTAAATATCGGATATACTCTGTAGGTGAATTGTATTTATGTTATATGTCATTCCTACCATGTTTCTTATTCGTAAAGGCAGATTTCAGCGTAAAATTAAAAATGGAGTATGCCTTGAGATATAAATTTCATAAATCTTGGAATATGAAGTGATTTCAGTTGTTGTCCTACTTTGCGGTTTTGTAATAGGCTTTCAGTGTTTATGTGGGTAATTCGAATAGAATTTTCATCACCTCAAGTTTTTACGTACGTAATTAACGTTTTTGTTTGAATTGCAGCCACATATTAATAAGGATGTACCTGGAAGAGTACAAGAAGGATTATGCGTTTTTGAGTCGGAAAGGATGACTTTCATCGATGACTGGGGTGAACACTACACAGTACGTATTCCATGTCGCTTAGCAGATGCTTGGGCCCTTAATACACTCGTCTTGCTTGAACGTCAACCAAATAATTGCGAAGTCACTCGTGATATGCCGAATGCAAAAACTGAGAATCCTTGTCCTTTGTTTTCGATGTTCAGTCTTACTCATCCACTTGATGAAGTTGCTCCTGTGATTTTAAAAGTTCCTTTATCTAGTGGGGGTTTCGGAATTGGATTTGTTACGGATGTCAATTTAAAAGTTATCGGTATTATTCCATCGCTTAATATGGTTCTAACGTATCATTCCATAACAAAGTCACATGCTGTATGGCAGCTGGAGAAAGCCTTGTCACAAGTAAGTGATCGTTACACTTATTTTACGGTGGATGCTGTTGATCAGCTTGTAATCTAAACCTTAAAACAATCGGTTGATTTTTATAGTTATTTTAATCATGTGTGGATCAGAAAAGTTCACTTTTAAAAGTTATTTGGGATGTTTATGCGTAGTGATTGTCATACAGTTGAGCATACATTTTTGCTGCAACAGAAACGTTCAAATTAAGTGTACGTAAATGTGCCCGAGTCTGACCATTAGCATATTAGTCAAGAGCTGATAGCGATTTACACTCCTATTAGGGAGTCATGAGCCAACTCTTTTCCAACTTCATCGATCCTATGTCAGCTAACATTGCCTGGCGAGGAACGCAATGCCTAGGCATACGTAATACGTAAAACCCTCTCAGTCGACGTAACTTCACAACCTCGTGGATTAGTTTTCTTTCCTTACCTCGAACTCGACGCCTAACCTCATTATTGCTCACCCTATTATACCACTTCACACAGGAGATACAACGCAGGCACCTATGATCAAAGACACCTAGTCTTTTCATATCTTCCACTCTCAATAGCCAGGTCTCACAGCCATAAAGGAGGACGGATCGGATTGCTGAGCAGTACACACGCCTTTTGGTCGATAACCGGATATCGTGTCTATGCCAGAAATGGCGTAAAATGGCATATGCGAAACTAGCCTTCTGTATCCGTGCTGAGATTTCGTCAGCGGTCAACCCTCTGCCGTTAGCTGATGCAACTTCCCAAATAAGTAAAGTGGTCAACGCGCTCTACCACTTCACTCCCTATTTCTAAGCTAAGAGTCAATGAAGTCCAGTCCTGTAGCATCATCTTACATTTGGCGGGAGCAAATCGCATGCCAAACACTCGCCGATTGCAGCTCAAGGTTTTCGGAAGACTGTATTTTTACAGCGTCGTCACCTAGAAGGACTACATCATCTGCATATTCTAAGTCGATGAGATTATTCCCTGACGGTAACAAGTCAATCCCTGAGTCTCCGAAGTGAGTTAGGGTTAAGTCCATTAGTACATCTATGATGAAATTGAATAGAAATAGGGATAGTAGGCATCCCTGTCGGACACCACTAGTCGTTACCACTTCAGATGACAACTCGCAGTAAGCTCTCGCCTGGCTGGCTGCATGAGTTCGAGTAGTGTCTTGATCGGTGCAATGTATTTTCTTGGCATTCCCTGTACAGCTAAGCATCGCTAGAGAACCTCTCGGTCGACAGGATCGAATGCCGCCTTTAGGTCAAGAAATATAATGATTGTTGTACGCCGGTAAGTATGCCTATGTTCCAGAATCTGTTGAAGGGTGGAGATATGATCAATACACCCTCTTCCTGGTCTAAAGCCTGCCTAGTTTTCTCATGTTTGTTCCTCCTGAGAACCGCTTAGTCTACGCATTATTATTGAGTCTAGAATTTTAGATACCATATTAGTCAAGCTAATCCCTCTGTGATTATCACAGGAAGACTTGTCTCCCTTTTTGTATATCGGGATAATCAGTGACTTACTCCAACCCGACGGGACTTCCTCTGATTCCCAGACGCTACCTAATACCTTAGTTAATGCAGACAGTAAACTGTCTCTGCCGCCCTCAAACATCTCTGGAGTCATTCCATGCAAGATGTATCCAACTTTGGTTTTGTTAAAGTAGACACTCAAAGTATAATTCGATGGAAACTTCAAAAAAGTGCACTGGTGTAAGTCAGTAGATAAGAATAAAAGTTATAAAGCCAATATCTGTAGATTGGGCACTAATATGGGGAGAGCTTCTACTCTTGAAGCATATGGCTAAGCACTATTGGGATGTAACTAATCATTGTGTGAACAGGCACCAGTTTGCCTATGATAACAAGAACTTTAATTGTCATGATGCATTCAGAGTGTACTAAAAGCCTAGTTCGAAACTTTGAAAGTTTAGTTACTTTGGACTGACCCATGTTGATGAGGATAAAAATATAGACTGAATCTAAAGTTGAATCTTAAAAACATTTTAAATCGTGCAATAAAACGTAAATATGAATTTTGTATCAGTCTTTTATTTTCTGTTGACTTTTAACAAAAAGTTATTACCAGCCGAAAGTTCTTTTTCAGTTTTCAGTTTCTTATGATGTGTAAATTTTTATGTATCATTTAGGACTATGCATATTTGTATCAAATGGATGCAAATGGCTGTATCAGTGTTGCTACACACGCATTAACAGGATTAATTTATCACTCTGAGTCTACAAAATATCCTGGAAAATCTGACGAAACTCAGGTCACGTTTGATGAACGTTCTATATGTTCTCCCAATCCTGATGTTTGCCTAAGTCCATTCGCTGTATCTCTGTCTCGTTTAAGAAAAAACGAAGCTCAGCCTTCTCAGTTGAATTACCATGTTAGTTTTCAGTCTCCCTTTCATTCTCCGGTAAGTTTGTAGCTCATTTGTTGATATTATTACTTTTTTTTATCTCATAGTGAAATGATACAATTCTGTACAATGTTTCACGTTGATATGTGTTTATTTACTATTAAATTTGTCAATTGACAAAGATTTTATTCGTGTTAATATCTCCAAGTATTATGGTGTAGGTTACTGAACTTTTCTTTTGTATTTAAACATTAGAGTTTTCGACATATAGATTGTTGGTAAACAAAGTAAGTTGACATGTTTCATTCGGTTATGTATGGACTTGGGGCCATTGTTTTACCATTAGAGCTTAAGCTGGGATCAGAATACATTCACATAATGAAGGCATTGGTTGTATTTTGATGAGTTATCTAGTGAAAATACAGCTCTAATAAATATGAGATATTTTATGAAATAGCCTTGGTTTAATTGTTCAACATCGTAGGTTGATAATTAAAGTAGGAATGTAAAGATGGGTCATAGAGGAATCCAAACCAACGACCCTCCAGTAGTTCTGTAACCGATGTCAGTTCATGATGAGATCCTGAAACCAAACAGATCCCTGCAAACCAACACATGAAGACCCCTTGTTAACTGTTCCCACTGTTGGCAATTGAGTTTTATCGCCAGATGGCACCTATCAATATTTTTGGTCCTATAGTAACCCCAGTTTTGATGTGGTATTGATTACTGAAATAAGTTAGGTCATGAACTTTTTGTTACTATTAATAATAATTACTATGACCTTGGGCTGTGCCACTGTTAGTGATCTCAAACATCATATTTTTAATGTAGTGGGTGCATATGTACGAACAAATACTAAAATGTGAAGCATGTTTGTTATGTGATTTGTTGTAGTTCTATATGCCTATTCACACCACTGTTAGAGGGAGGTGATTTATAGCCCATGGCTCATTGCTTAAAAGTGAACTATATGTTCATGAAGTTTTGGATACCAAGAAACGGCTAAATTAGAAAGAATTTAGTTATGTGTATTTCCTATCAATCCACTAAACCTTGGATATAAATTTGGAGATATACATTTAGTTTTATAGAACAAACTATGTTTATAAGTTGTGGACGTAATTTCTTTTGCTTACGTGTTTTATTTTTACTTTTTCTCTCTTAGGCTGTTCCTTTCACACCTGCAAACCTTAATACTTACACCAATCGACTCTCTAATATAACACCGGGCAACACTCTAAACTATGCACCTTCCACGTTAAATAATTCTGGTAGTTTTCACACAAGAAGGACACCTATTATGGATCCTCAGCCAACAGGAAGTAGTTATACACCTAAACCAACGAGTATCATTCACACTCAGAAGTATAGTCCATTAAATTTGACTACATTACAAGGACGACTGTGAGTTTGTGTCCTTATTAAAGCAATTACACAACATAAAGGTTTTCATTATATCTGTTTTCCTTATCATCAGCTGAATCTATTTCTTGTCGTCAACACGTTATTTCCCTTATATTGTTTACACAAAAACAAAAGAAACAAGATTTAAGGGTTGATAAGTGTTCATGCGCCTTTATTTATAAGAGTTCGTCACCCATTTTTGGTTTACTGAGTGACAGTGGACACAAGATGAATCGAAGTTATGCCTTCCAATGTGATGTAACAGTTCATCTGAGCCAGGATTTTTGCGTTTTTTTATCGATAGACGGTTTATGGTCCATCCAGCTTATTGAATATTGAAAGTTATTTGTGATGAATATATATATCTGATTTTATCTGAAGCATAATCATACTCTTACTTTCGGCGTTATAATAAGAATGGTTATTTTAATCGTGTAATGTGATGTGTCTAGTGAACAATGTATCCATTTTGTCGTAATACTTCCAGTTTGAACAAAAATTTTATTAGGGTAGTTCGAGAAAGACCATCTTCGAAACCACTTCCAAGTACATTAACAGAGCTAGATTTATCATTTATTACTACAACAACTCTTATATCAGTCATTGTAGCTTTAACGTACCAAGGTTACAGTTTCCTGTTATTTAAAGGAAAAAATTGAAATATGCATTTTTAATTCCTAATAGAAAGTGCATGTTTTTTCAGAGTAATTGAACTCTATCAGTTTAATTTAGTGTTGTCATCATAAAATAATTTACTAGTTTGTATCTGTGTTATTCCACTTTAGTTCTTCCATACAAGCTGCTCTTTGCCATCCCAACCAGTGTGAAACCTCTGTTCAAACTGAAAAGTTCAGCCCTCTTGATGCTGATCAGATTGCAAATCTGTTAGATGAACCATTGCTTCCGAAAGTTTGTCTTCGCCTTGTATGGTCAGAACCGCCATCGACTCGATCATTCAGTACACCAGTTAATCCTAGCTGTGTAAGCCCAATGAAGCATGCATCTAACTTCACAAAAGAAAACAGTAAATATTGTGCTCCTTGTAAGTAGATTCATTTATCAAAAATGTGCTATTTAATGGTAGGTTGCTCATACTTATGCATGAACACTGCGTATAAGTAGTAATGTTTTGTTTACAAAGCGCAATCAGTCATACCCTTAGCTCACAGTCCTTTATAAAATGATTTTATAGATTAAGTGATGCAGAGAATTGCACAGTGAACAACAAGTGAGCTAGTTAGCTGGTTTACTTGTAATGACTGTGTTACTAAGCGGTGCGTATCCGTTGTTAGAACTTGAGAGAAAGTCTTTCAAAGCATAGTTCAAATTACTAGCTGTTGTACTTTTAGAGGACATAGCTTTTCAAAAATCTGAGATATGCCTAATACTAAGGAAAGAAGAGGACTTCGAAGGAATTGATACGCATTTCAAATGTTGGTATTCTTATAGCATTTTTGACTGGGTGTTTTTAAGTTACTTTTTTCCATTATGAGTGGTCAATTGTATTTTACTTTTTTTGTTGTTGTATATTACCCATGTGTTGTATTTTGTCGTTCGTATCTATTTCCGATCTGTCAGCTTCTGGTCGATTTGCTTTATTGAGTCGACGTCTTCCGGATTTACCATTTCCTCTGCCGAAGACTGAAAAACCGTGTAACAACAGTTCTTCTATTAGAAATAGAGGTGAAATGCTCTCTACTGACCCTGATACATCGTGAGTTTATGCTTTGCATAAATTGTACTACAGTTATGCCTAGTTCTTTTTTGACATTGTTCTATGTATAAGCATTTTATTGTCTTTTTCTGTAATACAGTTGATTCAATTTTATGATTATTGAAAAGGTTTGCGTGCAAGTCAAATAAACTATTGTCTTAATGAAACTACTTATCATAATCTCAGTGTGTAGAAAATTAAAATATATCTGAGTAATAAGTCCAATCGGCTGCTCTTTGTTGCTGTTATATTACGTATTTTTAAGTTGGCAGAATATTTTATCGTCTTTTACTTTGTTTCCGCCAGTCATCTTGCAGTAATTCAAGATAACAGTCCAACTCTACCGTGTCATAAATATGGCCCAATGAAATCACCTGCATTTCTGGCGGTTGACTTGATATCTGTCTCTTGGATTTGCTTTCTCACAAGTTCACCTGGCCTTGATGACAGACAGTGTAGACTAGCTTGCTTAAGGATAAATGATGAAGAGACGGCTTTATGTACCAGTGATAATAAACGGATGACTGATGACTATCAAGCAGTCTTTGGTGACTTAACTTATCTTCGAGCCTGTGATGCTGTTTACGTGCCGTATTCGCGGATAACTATCTGTTTAGACCCTGGTGTTGGCATAGTCCTGTATACTGGAATCAGAAAGGTATGTTGGTGTGTTATACCTATTGTTTTGTTTTCTTGTTTCCGAACTTAGTTTTTATTTTCACCCCCGTGTATGAAGCAGAAAAATCCTTGGCGATTGTTGAATAACAGTATCTCCTTGGAAGTTTATTTCCAGCGAAATAGGCTTCCTGAATACTATAATGGAATTAGTAAACCAACAAAACTGCAGATTAATTTATACTCGTTTTGCATACGTAGAGTACTAAGCAGAGATCTGCATTACATATGTCTGCAAAGTAAATAAGTAAAAAGTAGCTCTATTCTGAATAAAATGTTTACACAGTGTACAGAATTTTCAGCTTAATTTATTGTATAATATTTTCTCCTCATTCAGGATATTCAAGTAAAGTAACAGTCTATAATGTATCGCATGACGCAATGCTTTTAGATCTGAAGATTAGACAAACCCCTTATTATATTTTTCTTCTGTCTCCGCGAAGTTGTCACCAGTAGTTTGAAAACCAGTTGAAAATATGCTTGAGTACATTCTGCGACTGAAGGACATAATTGAATGGTTAAGACAATAAGAATTAGAGAAAACCCGAATGCATTGTGTTAGGTTGCCCAGTGATTCAAGCTGGTTACCAAAAGGCAAAATACAGTAGTATAACATTCTGTGAATTTTAATTCCTATAACCAAAATTTGCCAGGTGAGATATAATTGTCAGTCTTTATCCAACCGATATAAGTCACAGTTAAATACTTCAACTTACATTCGTCTCAGGGGGGTTCGTTCTCATTATTCTTCGAATGTTATTGTTTCATTTATTCAGAAAATTTCTGATAAGTAGGGAAGTTTGTCGTTTTACGGAGTGCCTTTTAAGTTTAATTATATATAATCACATAACAATATGCCTTTGAATTCATTTTCTTATCAGCTCTGTCTACTTGGTTTAAGTCCACCTCCAATCCTGAGTTTGTTCCTGGCTGTGGGTGGTCCACAAGTGGTAAAATCCAGACTACAGCGTGTTTCATCTGATGTCCAACTTCCATTTATTGTACGTCCCAGTCCACCAGACATTGATCGCTGGCATCAAAATGCTGTACATTCAATACTGTCCAAGTGCGTATCAACTGTCACTTCAAGTTCAGTTTTCAGTAATCAAGTTCATATGGCAGCAGCTGAGTTTAATTCTAATACGAAAATCTTTTGTTTCAATGAGCTTCCAAAAGATGTAAGTGCTTTTTTCTTATTCACTACGCATAGATGTTTTGCCCCTTTCTGGGTAGATTTATTTGTCGTATTTCGTAAACGTTGTCAATCCTAGCGTAAAGTGGTTAAACGGAGTCAACCACTTCACTGCTTAACAGTTTAATTCATGCTCATTCTATCATTAGTTGTCTAAGATATATGCAGATACGTTTGATAAATTAGCTATATGATTTTAGTAACTTTGATGAACCACGTACTGAATCTCCTGAATCTATATAAATTTGTGCCTCACAATTTCGCAGTGTATCATGTCTTATCTTTAAGCACATGTGTGTATAAAACTATTTTATATACAGAAATATTTACTAGATAAATCACCTTATACTTTTTCCGTATTTTCAGTTGGCAAACGTGAGGGAACTGTATCCTAAACAAGGCAGTGACCATCTTCATGAATTGAACCATGCAGACGTTGATTCAAAATTATATGGCGAAAACTATACATCAAATAAGCGAATGGAATTAAAGAGTGTAGAAAAAATATCTATTTGTGATCCTGCTGGAAATGCTTTCACAATAGTGAACGACGGCAGAATTAAAGATGTGAATGGTGATACGAGCTGCTTAAGTTCAAATCAATTACTTCGAGTTTATTTGCCTTCTATTTCTGAAAACGAAATGGGTTTGTACTTTCACTTTATTACCTTTCGTATATAGAATTATGTGCCTGACTTTAGTGAATAAGTGTTATTCATATTTTATTTCGGTCATTTTGTTTACATTACAGCCCGTAGTTTAATTCAGTCTTCTAACCAGCACTTTTTATCAGCCTGTTTTCTTCGTTTAAATTCAGTTGGACTTTTTCTGTATATTGTTATTTCTTCTTACACGAAGTAATGACAACTAGCAGTGTACGTTATGGATGCCCGCTGTCGCCATTCTTATTTGATTTCCCTATAGATATACTGATGTATATGACCCTGGTCGATGTTTTAGAGATTGGCCCAAGTGGTTTAGTGGATAACGTTTTGGCGTTTGCAACTATGGGCACTCGGTGGGAACATCATCACTCACTGGGAAATGCAGGTACATCCAGCTGGAAGGCGAGTCCCCAATAGGACGAAACGCGCATCCTGGATTCCACTGCTAGTCACCATCCACAAATTAAATTCTAATTAAATGCCTAGACATCATCAAAGCATCTGCACAAGAAGCCGACATGTCAACCTGAGACCGAGCACTTTGGTCCAATCAATTGACTTCCTACCAGTGAAAAGTTCCATTTATCTGACAAAATGCAGATTTCTGGAAACATTGAGCAAAAATATAAGCATGTTTGGTTAGTAATTAATCCTGTTAAGGTGCAGGGCTAGCCTGCACCAACTCTTAATTTAAGGGTTGGTAATGAAATTGTGTGAATTATTCCACTTATTTGAACCTGTGGCTAACGAAATTTCAAGTAGGATATAAACAGTTAGATTGACATTTGTCAACTTGCATTGGATTAATTTTTGGCTGTCTATCAAAGGATATGTGCAGTGTACACTAGTTCACTTCGCCCTATTTTAAGTCTATGAGAAATGACAGATGAAAGTGGAATAATATGAAAAGATCAACTGACGTAACCATAGGTGTCTTCTTTTAAACGCTTATGTTAAATGAAGCACCATGATGAATAATAATTCGGTTAGGTGTAGAGTTGAAGGTAAGGAGGAAGACAGTCATTCGATGAGGTTGTGGAGCTACATCTATTGAAAGGAATAGGGTATGTATGTATGCATGTATTAAGTATGCTGAGTCACTATCTTCCTCAATGAGCAACGTCTACTTAAATAAGTTTAGATTGGGAAAGAGTGGGCGGTGATCAGACAAAACACGTCATAAATCCCTGGGAAAATTAACTGTTGATTTGAACCAGGTGTAAACTCTTTAGATGGAGTCTTTGGGATGCTAGGAACCAGTTGGTGGCATGATGACATCACTCTAAGACGTTATCAACAGTGGTGTGGGTGTATTCACTTATTATGATCTTTGAGAATTCAAAATTACTAGTTTAGTTTTCATCAAATTTTTCTTCCCCCGTACAATTTCACCCTTTGTAGTTTCACTACATTTCTTTACTCTATTTTTCTGTGTGGTTTCGTGAACCTATTACACTTTTGTGAAAGGTTCTGCGTAGATAATTCGATCAGTCAGTGATATCTTCTATTCTAAACTCTAAAGATTTTCCTATTTCCTGTAGTCCCTTGCCAGTCTATCTTAGCATAGCACAGATGAAAAATGAGCGCGAAGAATGTACCATATCATTGTAATGTTTTGTGCTATCTTCGTCTACGGCTGGTAAACACACAGAGATTGTGGCGTACGGTAGTCAGTAGTCGTGTGCAAACTTCACTTGTTTGAGGGAACTTTGTTAAAAGAATTGAGAAATTCAAATGACGAATCATTTCTATTATTTCGTACGTTATAGTGTTGGGCAAAGAAGGAAAAATCAATTGAAGAGGCTATAAAGTTACATAGATTAAGATGGCTAGGTCACGTGCTGCGCATGCCTAACTATCGCCTCCCCTGACGGGCATTACTAGCTGATATAGGTGCATGTTGGAAAAGAGTAAGTGGTGGCCAAACAAAAACATGGCCTCATCAATCCATGAAATCCTTGACAGTTAAACTGAGTCAGGTAGGGAGATGCAGACTTCCGGGTTGGGGCTCTCAGGACTCTAAGAATCAATGGCTGGAGACAATAAGTGACATGGCTCAAAATCGTTGTCAATGGCGCAGATGTATTCAGTCTCTGTAATCTTTCATACTGCTTTCTACTATTACTCATTCTGTTTCACTCTTATACTTGTTAAAACTCTATTGATTCTCTTCACTCATTTTGTTGTCTACCTTTGTGTGCTATTTGGAACTTGGCAACTTGAACTGCTGCACTTCGGTGCCAAGTTCTATGTTGAATCCAGACAGAGACAGACAGACAGATTTCGTACGTTATTATTCTCAGCGGTGTACGTTATATGAAAAGTAGCGACAATACGCAGTTCTCCAAACTCCGGTGGGTCAAGATGGATTTGAACTCTTGAGTCACGTGATGAAAGACTTGTGCTTAAATCTACAAGTTATAAATATGATGGTTGATTTATTTCTTTTTTTTAGTAATATACTCTTCCAGTTATTTATAAACTGCAACTTATATACGAAGTTTTTTTACGATACTCATCAATTGGGTGTAAGCCACAATATTCGGGTGAAATAAATATTTGCGCCTAGTTTTATTTGAACAATCAATCGGGTTGTATATTCATATTTCTGTTCATTTAATTTAACTCATACTCTCAGTATATGTGATTAAGTAAGCTGTGAGTTACTCAGAGTATTAATTTACGTGCCCGAATGGTTTTAAGATGTATTTCTTCCGCTTAATCTTTCCAGTGCAACGGTGTTTAACCAGTTTAAATCAATGTCTATCTGAAGATGTCGGTTTACTGCTTTTTACTCGTTGGTATGTCGTATCAAATGTTCCAGGAACGAACAGTTCATATCAATTCCAAGGAGATCGAACACACAGTCATGAAGATATGCATGATTCTGATGCATACTATTTCCAGGGATGTGTTGAATGGAATCGTTTCGCCAATTTCATCTTAATGGCCTCAGGTTTATCTCTCTCTCATCGGTACAATGGAGGTGCTATGGCGATGGAAAGTAGTGATGGAGGTAAACCTATGTGCATTTGTTGATTATATCAATCTGATAAATTTTGTTATTAGGATGGTGAAATTTGTCACTGAACGCCTTTATCGTTATTTGTATTTGACCCATTTCATGTTATGCTTTATAAATCACCATCGTCATCAGTCAAAACTTGACAAAAGCTTTTTCACCTGTGTTTAGAATTTGTGAATCGACTGGGCTAGTTTCCTTTCTGATACACTCCTTAAATATGAGTTGTTTTGTCTGCAATTGAACCTAGGAGGTTCATACTGCATCAGGAGTATGCAAAATCATTGTCAGTCAATGGAAATTGAATGTTTTCTGACTTATTGGTAATCATATTGTCATTTTTATACAGTTTTCCCACATGTTTTATTTACACTATCCTATAAATATAAAAACAACTAAAAGAACTAAGTATCCATCTCATTTTCGTTACATAGACTAATAACTGTCAGTTCTTGAATACGTATACATGTGTCCATGTCATTAGGTCATAGGTTCGAATTAAAGTGTAGTAAAATCGGATGACTCTCCATGGATGCATGTCCATCTATAATGTCCTGTTAATTTTCATTGTATTGTGGTATGTACAACTGATAAGGTTTATCAGTAGTATATAAAGAGACATTCATTGGCATAAAAATATCAAATAGCACAGTGATATATTTGACGTCAAAGAGAGCAAATGATTCAGCGTTGTGGTAAAACATGGCAGACACGGTAAGAAGACAAAGAAACACAATACGAGGGGCAGAAATAGCACAACACGGAATATCTGTGTAAATGACTATTTTCAGATAAGGTATCCCTATAAGAGAGATATCAAATTCCAAATAAATATTCCGTTACCAAGTCTCTTGTCTTTTGTCGTTACTTTTTATCGCCTTTGGTTCCTTGAAAGGATGCCTCAATAATACTCTTTATTCGTAACCTAAAACTAAATGTTTGTCTGTAAGTAGTAGCAGAATCCAGTACACAATCAGTCGGTGGGATGCAGGTGCGTCTAGCTAACGAGTTCCAAATACTATAAAACGGGCATTCTGAATTTTTCTGCTAGCCACCAGCAAATATCTAGGTTCTTTCGACACTCTTCAACTTATCCTATACCCCCTTACATCCGTTTGTTTTTCTTTATAGTAGTGCCATCATATTCTATTTCTTTTCTTTGCTGTATGCAATTTTAAAATGTGGCAATTGAAATTGATGAACTTTTAGCGTAAAGTTGTATATTGCATTTTTCTGTTCAATAAAGATGGATAACATTACTTTGTGTTGCTTTAACTCCAGTAAAGTATAGCAGGATGCGAAATCGTCATCTACTGGTTGAACATCAATTATTTAAACAAATAAGCCACAAGTCCACGTTTCTGAGGTAGTTAGAACTTTATTTTTATCTAGGTGGTCTATCGCCGTTTAGAGGGGTAATAAACTAAACTTTAGTCTCATATTTATACTGCACTTGTTCACTTGTTTGAGGTTTTTCATAATTATTTCTAAATACTACAAATGCATAAAGTAATATTTTTATTTATTTCACATTTTCATACCAAAAGGTGAAGATATTGGCGAATATCTTCAACGCAATAAACGCCAACGACAAGGTATTGAAGGCGCTTCAGAAACAGATTGGAATAATCTTGTTGACCTGTTGGAATTCAAGCAAGATGATGCAGTAGTTCATCCATCATTGTTGTTACCCGAAAAAGTCACTTCTGTGGTGAAGACATACGATAAAAAGTCACTCTTTAATAATAGTCAGATGAAAACTATTCATTTGTCACGCATCCGTGATGATCCAGATAGTCACCTTATTCTCTCTTGTTTGCCTACTATTTTCTTTTCTTTCCACTTGACATACGAAGTAAGTACAGATTGACCAAGTGTATTGTGGTTGCTTTTATTTATATAGGTGTAACTGTCAGTATGCTTTCCGGTTTGTAAACAAGCTAAATAGAGGTTTATATTCTTGAAATTTGTACAATAGACGAGGCTGTGAAGCTACATCGACTGAGATGGTTAGGACATGTGTTACGTATGCCTAGTCATCGCCTTCCTCGACGGGCAATGTTAGCTGACATAGGGTCAGGCTGGAAAAGAGCTAGCGGCGGTCAAACCAAAACATGGCTTCATCAGTCAGTGAAATCCACAACAGTTAGTTTAAGCCACGTAGGAAGTTGTAGACTTCCTGGTTGGGGTCCTTGGGACGGTAAAAACCAATGGCTGGAGACAATTGGTGATATGGCTCAAAATCGGTCTCAATGGCTGGCGCAGATGCATCCCCTCCTTGTGACTTATAATTTTAAATGAAACTATATTGCTCCTCGTTATTACTATTCTTTGTGTCTCATATCCCTGTTTACTGCCTCTACTTTGCATTTCTGTTTACTTCTCTTGCTTTGTGTGCTACATGGAGTGTGGCGACTCGAACTGCTGCACATCGGTGAAAAGTTCTATGTTGAAAACAGACGGACAGACAGACAGACAATGGACTCATTTCAATCGTATATCATTGAGAAAATAGGTGTGTTAGACAATATTATTGACGCCTAATATTTGCTCCAACATGATCATTGAAGTCCTCACCCCCATAGAGCATATGGTTACCAATATGTTTTATCTTAACTACAAAATCGTCATCATAGCTAACATCTCATCAGATTTTAATCTTGCAAACGTTTGTACAAAGACAACTGAGTTTTCGTGCATAAAATATTTAATATTTATTTCCCACAAATGTCAAGCATAAGAATAAGGAAATAAGAGCTGGTGAGTTCTCACTGTTCTTCACAGATCAGATAATATGAGAAGGCGAAAATGGAATACTAACAACGTCGAGCTTGTGACACTAAATTGCCTGTCAACTAAAAACCGAGCTCAGCGAACAACTTCATGCAAACCACCAATATCTTATGTTACAAACATTCTCTACTATTACAAAATAACATATCGTGAATTTATTATGAAGAGATAGTGTAAACATATTACTGGTTAAGTTATGATATAGTGATACACTTTATCAAACAAATTTAAGCAGCATGGTGGTATACTCAGTTGATACACAACAGATGCAGCTGATCACTGTGTTTACTGATTTGTAGTCGCAGTCATAGGTGTATGTACTACTCCAATGGTTATTTCCTGTCTTTTTCGGATATGGAAGTCTTTCCGCTTATTTTCTGCTGTACATTGCTATTAGGTAATTTATCTTGATGCTTCGTTTTTCTTCTTTTCATTCTATTTGAAACACTTTTTTGAATTTCTCTTTATTTTTTATAGGAAGCTAAATTGAATGCTGTTTTGCAAGATAAATTAAAGCAGTTGATCGAATTGAATTACATTCTCGCAAGGTACTGTAAAATTGTATTTCCTCTTAGAAATCAGTTATGAAAAACACTGCTTAAATTCATGTTATTTCAGTTGAAGTAAATTTTTATGCGTTTTTATTTAACTCACCTACCAGGAGTTACTTCCGAGCATAGATGTAAACGTTAGTGGTAGCAGATAAACCTGGCTGGCCTGCTTAAAACTTGGGCTACCGAAAACCTCCATCAGTATACTGCATATAATTTCTTTCATTCAGTTTGTTTAAATCTATTAGAGTATGACTTCTAATGGTATTGCTCACTCTGGCGAGTATTTAAAACATTTACAAACTTCCGATTCGCAAGTTTCTACTAAACATGAGGAAAAGCATAATCGTGGATGACAGTTGCTTATCCCAGTACATAAGATTACCGTTCCTTGAGTGGTGTCGTTGGTTCACAAAATGTACTCCTGAACTTTTTTATAATTGCCATTCAACCAAATGTCGTGTATTTCTCGGGGGAGAGAAAGAAGAGAGATATTCTAATGGATTTGGTTTGCGCTTCAGGTGAGATAAAACTGTGTCACAGGATCTACTGTCAATTAATCTTTCCACTGGAACCCAAGGTAACTACCTACCTGAATAGGTCCAGGATTGTTTTTCACTTCTCTTCTTGTATTTTTGTGGAGTTAATGCTTTTTTAAAAATCTTTATATCGATGTATTTTCTAGGATACTGAATCTACCAGCGTATGCTACATACTATGAAGATGAATATTCTGATCTATGCAATATTTCTCTTATTATTCATGTTAATTTTCCACCTGATCTATTTAAATGGCCGGATGGTTTGTCAACTAACATTGTTCCCTGTTTGTTAACATGGATAACAAAACAGTTGGAATTATTCAATTCTAAGGAGACTTCTGTTAAATTAACTCCTTATCCCTATCTGGCTGGAGTAAATGATTTAGCAACTGCTCTAGCTGGAGTGATTGTTTCAGCCTTATCTACAGAAAAACTCAAGATGTTTAATGCGACAGATAAAAAACTAGCTGTCCGGCATCTTTTAGAATTTTGGACGAATCATATATTCACATGGAAAACATTTGCAAAGTTGAATAGTTCAGGTTTGTGTTAATTTATTTTGAGTTCTAGATGTTGATTTTTTTTCATTCCTTTGCATTCCGACTGCTACTTAGGACTTCAAGTTTGAGCATTGAAGTTTCAGTAGGAATGATGTTGTTTTTTACGGCGTGGGGTTGGTAACTTCATGAGCAACCTACTCTCTTGCTGCATGGAGTGTGGCGACTTGAACTGCCGCACATATGTGCAAAGTTCTGTTTCGAAAACAGACAGGCAGGCATTCTTACAATTGGACTCTTTTGAGAGACTTAAAATTTCACACTTAAATTTTCTACCTATTAGATTGGTTTCAGTGACTATTCATTTCTGGAGAACATATATAAGCATAAGGTTCATTGGCTTAAATAACCAGGTTCAAACCCTTATTCAACTTTTTGTTTGGGTTTAAAGGCATTTACGGAAGTAAGGCTGTTTATTGTGCTAGCTAGACAAAAGCATAAATACAATGTTTCCGTAGAACATGGCTAGCGAATACAGCAAACCAGACTGTCGCTACAATTGTTTTTGAATCCCTATTCTCTCTCTCTCTCTCTCTCTCTCGCAGTAATTAAGTAACATGACAAGTCGTCACACTTGAAGTGTGGTTCTTAGTTCAGTATATAAGAACTTATAACAGACGATCCATTTGCATTAATTTTTTATTTTACCAGATTTCACGACACATGTAATGTTTCCTGTTTATTGGAGTACAAGACCAACAATAAATTTTGTGACTGCAATACACTGATGTAAAAGACATTAATTAGGTGCCTAAAATTTGGTAATGAACTCATTTATTATGAGAGTAGGATGTTACAATGGATTTGTTAAAAAAAAAAACATGAGGCTTACCACTGCACAGCTGGATACTGTTTTTTTACACAGCAAAGTGAATTAATGCGGACTGGTGTCCATTATTATTGGACCAATCAGTTTTCTTTCCAGTAATTTGTTAATACCTATATGAATATTTCATTCATTTGATGAGTCACGTGCTAACACTGTCAGATACCTGACTATAATTAATGAAGTCACATTGCAAGTGTGCATTTTGCAAAGGAAATTATCAGTCCGTGTTCGAAATAATAGAGTCAAACTATGTAATGCATTGTTTTTGACTCTTGGTTTTTCTAGGGGTGTTTAACTCACTAAATTATCCACCCTCTAAAAACGACTTCGATAATGCACCTTTTGGAAGATTGCCATTATCTTTTTTTCTACTGAAAATTTGATTTATTGTTGAGAAATTTCACTTGGTTAGTTTGTATATTGCCTAGCTGTCTATCAATAGGAATCTTATTAGCATGGATGACGTGTCTACGTGGTTTTTGACCTGTTTGTTGAGCTTATGTATGTAAAATTCTTCAGACCCCATTTCACCTACTGAAGCTTGGACAGCTGCGTTATCATCGGTCTTCACATAACAGGTGTGATTGCCGAGTGAATGGAAAGACATTTACTCTGTGAGTAACTTAATATCATGAATTAACCATATTTTTCTCTTATCTTGCAGAATTTCTTTCTTCATTTCCCCCCTAGTGTATGGCTATTCCCACGAGAAACAAGACGATTTCCCTGTCTTCAAAGATGAAGAAGTTCAGCGATGGCTTCAAAATGCTGGTCCATTTGCGTGTGCCTATGTTGAGACACTTTTAACATCTCTCACACTGTCTGATAATAAAACATTACATGAAACAGACACACCTTGTCTACAAGGTTCTTCGCAACATTTAGCTTTATTGTTTCTCAGTCGCTTAGAATCCAGCTCTACAATTTTCCGTGGAGTATTGAGCAGGCGATTACGTGTACTTCCATCTGGTGTGTCAATGATTTTACGTATTTTTCTTAGTCTATGTCGGTTACATCCACCGCCTAATTGTGATCCTCATGTATATAGCTTAATGGGTAAGTTCATCGCCTAATCTATTGTGTATAAATAAAGTTAACACAGAGACAGTGAAGATTGAGCCTTTGATTTATTCGTTTGTGATATGGACTTTATATTTAGACAAACAAAAAGCAGCGGTTGTTTGTTTACTTACATTGTTGCAACTAATTAATGTTATAACTTTGTTAATGTAAACTTTATGTAGAACACACGAAATTGGGGCATTGTTGCCTTGTAGATGTTCGTCCTTGCGAATAAAAGCAGCTCTCAACAGAGTAGTTTGTACTTTGTACACTTTTTGTGGCGGTTCATAGCGTTCACAGAATACTTTCGCGCTGATTGAAACCGGTATTCAATGGACTCACGCGATTTCACCTACTGCATTTTGTTTATATTTGTGTTTTCTCTTAGTGCTACTGTTTGTTTGGAAAATAATGCGTAATCACTGAACATAATCGTGTTCACTGCTTCAGATGTATGTATAGTTACCTTTATACACCTACAACTTGAATTGTAAACCTGTGTACACAAAGTGACTTAGTCTTTATTTATTTCGTTTGTTTTTCAGGTCGCACTGATCTAGCAAAACAGGCTAATATACTAAATGACTATCAGAATACTGATTCAAGCTCTAGTTGTTCCAATTCCACTTCATCGAAATCTGAACCCATTAGTTTTACTAAACAACAGTCTACAACACCATGTACCGCTGATACATCTTCATGGTCTATCGCTGAACGTTGGTCAAACTTAGTTCATCCTCTTCGAGATACTGGTTCAATGTCACGTAATATGGCTGTTTCATCACATGCTTTGTTGTATCATCTGGAAAGCAATCCTTGTTGTCAAGTCTCTTTCAAGGTAGTTTGTATTTCTTATAGAAGTGTTTTACCTTATTAAATCATTGTATTGTGTAGCAGCCGATAATTAAGCAAAATATATTTTTAACCAAATATTAAGTGTAGTTACTGATATTGGTAATCAGTTTTACTAGATTCCATGTTGTTAGTATGTATTTGTCCTAGAAAAAACTATTGACTACCAGGTTTTTGCGATTTCCGTAAGATTTTTCGTTGGATATAAAGTGTATATTAAATAATCTTTTATATGAATCATGTATTGATCAAATCGCCATACTACGGATCATCATTGAACAAAGCTTGGAACGGCAGTCACTTCTCTATCTCAACTTCATCGACTTTGAAAAGGCCTTCGACAGCGTCGATCGAGAGGTGATTTGGCAACTACTTTGCTACTACAGGGTGCCGCCGATAATTATACATCTCATCCAACAGTTGTATGACAATGCTGAATGCCAAGTAATCCACAACGGGAAACTTACGGAACCCTTCGAAGTGAGAACAGGAGTAACACAAGGCTGCCTACTATCGCCAATGATTTTCCTGAATGCAGTAGATTGGATAATGCGAGAGACAGTGGGCAATGAGGAAACAGGCATAAAATGGACTCACACAAAAAACCTGGAGGATCTGGACTTCGCTGATGATATATGTCTGATTTACCACAAACTGGAAGATATGCAAGCGAAAAACAACAAGTTGGCAGAAGAAGCATCCAGAGAAGATAGGACGTCAGGTGAACATAGAGAAAACAGAGGTAGGTGATGGAGATTCCTGGGCAACACCACCAACAGCAACAACAACAGACAACAATCAGCATAAACGGGAGGAACCTGAAAGAAACAACCTCTTTCACCTACCTGGGAAGCATCGTTTCAACTGCAGGCGGAACTGACGAGGATATCAAAGCAAGAATCGGAAAAGCAAGACAAGCTTTCACTACTCTCAAGTCTGTGTGGAGGTCAACAGCACTCAGCATCAAAAATGAGATCCGGATTTTCAACTTCAATATGAAGTCAGTACTACTATACGGATCAGAGACTTGGCCAGCGTGTCATAAAGAGCATCTCAAACAAACTACAGACCTTCATTAACAGTTGTCTTCGCTCAATACTCAAGATCAGATGGCCAGAAAAGATCAGCAACAGAGATCTCTGGGAGCGAACCAACACAGCAGGGACCGATTGTGAAACAAATATGCAGGAAGAAATGGAGATGGATTGGCTGGCCATACTCTGAGGAAACCATCAAGTGACACCACTAAACAAGCCCTCGAGGGGAACCCGAAAAGCAAGCGGGGAGTTGGTCGTCAGTGCAAGGGTGACTTGGAGGAGGTCATGTGAAGAGGAGATTAAAGCATGTGGGCAAACGTGGAGCAAGGTGAAAACTTTAGCAGAGAACCGAACGCAATGCAGACGCGCCGCTGAATCCCTATGTTCCTCTAGGAATTAAAGGAAAAAATAATAATAATGGGTGAGATTTGCTGCTATGTTGACAGAATGTTGTGTGTACTTAGCAGCTTTATTCTAGACCCATTTTATCGTGTTGGTGATAAATATACCGACTGATAATCAGGAAAGCTTAATCAAATCAGAATACACCTTCATCTACTGGTCATATAAATTTCAGTTATACTCCATATGCACAAGTGTACATCATTTTTCGATAATGATAACTGTTTGTCTTATTAAAGCCTTAAATGAACAGTAAAAACTATGATCAAGTTGAACAGTCAGCATTCTCATCCCGAAGGTCTCTACGCCTACCTACTAATATTTCGGTGAAAAGCTGTGGTTGAAAACTTTCTAACATGTGAATCATTGAATTTCAACGGTTCACATGGATACGACGTTAATGTAGGAACAAATCTTTCACAATGTCATTTCTTTTAGATTTGAATTTCAGTTTTGTTAATGGTTTGGAACGGTTACTGGTTGACACGTTCCCTATTTTAAGCTATTTTTGACTTACTGAACTCAGTCAAATGTTTTGATTGGACACTAAGTAACTAGTGTGATGTATCTAGTCCTTTGTTTGGTGCAGACGGAATTCTATCGGTCAGGCTTGCAATATGGCCACCATTCTAGGTAGCTTGTCATCATGGTGCACTTTGAATTGTTGATGTAGAGACATCACACTAGTTACTAGTTTCCAATCAAAGTATCCAGTACAGTCCTACAGGAGGTAAATCGCGGGCCTGTATAGCTCAGTGGTAACGTCTCAGAATGCAGCACTGGCACATTAGTTCCTTCAAAGTTGCAGATACGCCTTGCTGACTGTTGAGTGCCAACTAGTACGAAACCTAGGGACAAGGCTTCCTGTGGCCGATTGCCTCCAACCATCTAACATCAGTAAAACGTCTTTATATAGTAACAGATATCACGAATAATACTAGCTTGACTACATTTAGTGTTTGCTATGACCTACAGAGTGTTGATTCTATTTAGATGAAGGATATCCTAATTATTTCAGTTTATTTAAGAAATATTCACTATTACAATTATTTATTGTGCTTATTTGATTCGGCTTTAAATCAGACTTTCATCTGTATAGGTCCAGGAAGGAAAATTGTACCCTTAACATGCATGTGGCTTATTGCCTGCCAAACAGAAGACATAGTTTAAGATTTTTATAGTCTTTACTTTTTATCTTGTGTGGGTTAGTAGCCCATAAATTGTTATATAAGGCATAATCTGTTTACTAAATATTATGTTACCCAATTCGAAAGGGTTACTAACTTTCAACATTTAATTGACATTTTTGTGATCCTTTCACCTACTTGATGCACATGTCTTAGTGACCAGAGGGTAAAAAGTAAGGCAATCAGATATTGTTTCTTCTATTACTTTGTTTCATCACTTTCTAATTTAGACTACTCTGTATTTTGATTTTTTAATTTTACAGGATGATTTACGCCTACGTGAAGCATATCGTCTTCTCCAAAGCTTCAGTCATATTCGTCTTCCTCGTGTAAATTCTGAAGATCCTGTTAGTTCATCACCTTCTAACGCATCTGGATCTGATCTAAATGCTCGTCTAACAGAAGCAAGGTTGGAAATGCATCTAGCTGCAGCTGGTATTCGTGTTTGGGCGTCCGTTGTTGGTCGTGGAATGTTGACATTAGGAATCCTTATGGGCTCAAAAGTTCCGACACAACTTCGTGTGCCATCAATATGTTTACGTGGTCGGGCTGTTTCTCCAACCAGTGGAAGGCGTGTCCTGGTGGATCTCGCCCGTGAGCCTCTTGGATCAGCTAACTTAAACCCAGGTGCTAATAGGACTCCTGGGGTAGCAGATGTACCTATTCCTGGCTTAGATGTCAGTGGGAATGCTGGGGACAGACATGGTCTTATTGGTACACATGGTATGGAGGCTTCCAACCATCCAGGAAACTCTATGGCATTAGCCATTGCTTCTTCAGTGGCTTATAGTGGTGCTGGGGCATCTTTACGTGTAAGCAGCCTGTGTTAGATGCTTTTAAGATGTTTATTCATGTTTGCTCATTCCCATTATAATTCTTTTGCTATGTTTAAATTACTTTACATTTTGAAGGTGCGTGACGTTGTGATTGATTTTGTCTTCTCTTCATTTCAGACTGCATCTTTAGGACTAAGTCGTATGGTACCACGTAATAACTCGGCTAACAATTACGCCAATTCAAATGTCTCCACAACTGCTACTAATTCAGCATCTTCAACTGCTTCATTACTTTCTACGGCTAATATACAACATTCCCCAAGTGTGTTGGCTGCGAAACACTGGCCAGATTTTCATAATGGAGTAGCTATCGGTTTAAGCATATCTCCTCATGCCTCAGTAAGTTACGTGGAATGTGTTTTTTATTCACTATCTTTCTGCTATAGTTACTTCTAAATGAAGCATAATTGTTTTGGGATTTTCACTTGTAAGATCACTTTTCCCCTTATATGTAACAAGTAGCATTCAATACTTATTAAATACATTTCACCATATATATAATTAAATTTCTCTGAATGTTAATTTTTTACAGATAGATGCCACATGGATTATGTACAATTGCCGTGCTGCTGGACTTTCATCTACCAATAGTCGTCGAAATAATCAAGATTCTACTTCATGTGTGAATACACCTAGTCCAGAACAAGCCGGTTTACTGTACGGATTAGGTTTAAATGGTCATTTAAACAAAGTTACTCCCTATGATATTCGAGAATACCTTGTACGAGTGCACGATTTGCATAACATGGCAGTACTGCTAGGTATGGTTTACATAATTGATATGCTTGTGCCAAATAATCTACTTTCCTTGTAAATGAAATGTTACTTATCAACCACTTACAATTTCATACAGTTGGCAGTGAGCCACACGTATCTTATTGAGGACCAGTGGTACCACCTGTCTGCTCAAATCTCGGGAGGTGAAGGCGGGTTTGAATCTATGATTTACTGGTTGGAAGTCGAGCGCCGAGACCAGTGAGCCACCACTGACGCACTTTTCTATGCTAATAACTTTAGTGCCATTCGTTTAGTTGGTCAGTAGTGGTTTCTTTCAAGAAGAATATGTCACTTCGTTGGAGGATTTCATCATTAGCTGACATCAGTTAGAGGACCATTGAAAGACCTGGGAGTACTGGACAGACGCTTTGTCCTAGTTTGGGACTCTTCGTCAGCACGCACCCACCAGAGGTGTTCGAACCCAGGACCTCCTTGTTACAAGGCGAGCTCGTAGACTATTAAGCCACTGAGACCCGATCTAATGGCCAATTCATGACAGCGCGACCACTTCTCAATCTCTTGTTCGATGAACAACTGTCCTCACCTTCAACCTGCTGCACCCTACTGGTTATTGCTTCCCACTAGAACCCCAGGTTAACTACCTGAATAGGGCCAGTCGCTAGTGAGCATGAGATCGATTTTCAAGTACTTTCAAGTACCGATGTCAGCTCATTATGAAATCCTCCAACCAATCAAACAGGAACCAATACTTGAAAATACGTCACTTCATTTTATTAAGAATTTTCTCTGAGATGAACTTACCCTACTTTCTTTAATTTCAGCAAAAATATTCCATATAAGCTTAATGAAGAAAAAAATATATAAGTGCACTAAATTGTAGCTATTAATTACTCCTGCCTCCGTAACTTTGTGGCACTTTACATTTTCACACATGACTCAAGATAGTCATCAGGTCATTTGCCTACTTAATATGATCAGTCTAAAATGATTTCCATACTATGCTGCATAGATCATAAACGAGTGATCGACGATTCACAATGTAAATGTGAATCATTTCAGTCTATTCAAGAAGTAAATTTTGGAATAATTCCTTACTTGTTTGGTCATCTGACATATTAATAAATGCTTAGATGGTATTCGACTGCATAGGTAAACTGTTTATCTGATTTATTCTCTATGTGATATCAGAGAACAGATGAGTGTTCTTGAATTCACCTACTTTGCGATAGCGTTCAAAATTAAACAGTTGAACTCGAAAAAAGTTTATCGTGTATCAACGCAGACAGATCTAGATAATTACTGTACAACACTGTGTGATTCATCAAAATAAAATTTTATCTTTAATGAGGTTATACTCTACCACAGTGCCCAAGTTTTATACGTATATCAATAATTACTGTACTGGTTTTCTGGGGGGGGGGGGAATACTAAAATTGAGAATGTAGGCAAACAAAAGGAAATTTTGAAATAATCACTGAAATAAATTCAAAGTTTGGCGATTTTAAACGAAAGATAATCTTATTTCCCTACAATAAGAAGTAATTCTTGTGAACTTATTCATAGCAGATCAGTTAATTATTTTCTTCAAGACAAACATAGCACGGAGTCCTCGCAATCCTTATAAAATCTATTTCATTTCGACGTGGATAGAGTTTTTTTCCTAATTTTACTCAGAATTAATTATCCTTCTGAATAGATTGTTATTTCTGTGATATTTTTAAATGATGAACTTTGTTGTTGTTTCATTATTTCCTCTGTAACTTTGCATATTTTTCTTGAAGGTCTCTGCGCTGGAAAACGAGGTACAATGGATCAGTCTATTTTACGATTGATTGCAGTACATTATCGTCCACTGCTACCTTTTGATCCTTTAATTAATGTACAACTCAATGTTCCTAATTTATGCCAAGCAGCGGCTGTGTTCGGTTTAGGTCTGTTGTATCAAGGATCAGCACACCGACATATAACTAATCTGTTAATTAATGAACTCGGTCGTTCATTAAGCGAAGATCCCTATTCTAATTCGACACATACGGGACTTAACTCGGAATCAGACTCTCAACAAACAACCTCGAATTCGTCTAATAATCATCCTACTAGTAATCCTATTGGTTGGACAGGTGCTGGTGGTTCAGGTGGTTTCGCAGGTGACAGCTGTGAGCTTATGGCCCTTTCAGCTGGTCTGGCACTTGGTCTTGTGCTTCTACAAGTGAGCTTTTATATTACTATTATCAACATTATTTTCTTGTTATATTGTTGATACCCGTCTAGATACACTGTGGTTAATCTGTCTGTCTGTCTGTCTGTTTTCGACATAGAACTTTGCACCGATGTTCACCAGTTCATTCAAAGTCGCCACACTCCATGTAGCACACAAAGCAAGAGAAGTAAAAAGAAATGCAAAGTAGAGGCAGTAAACAGGGTTATAAGGCAAAAAGAATAGTAATATCGAAGAACCACACAGTTTTATTGGGTTTTATAAGTCGCAAGGAGTGGATGCATCTACACCAGCCAACACCGAGAACGATTTTAAGCCACATCACCGATCGTCTCCAGCCATTCGTTTTTACCGTTCCGAGGACCCCAACCAGGAAGTCAGTCTACACCTCCCTACGTGGCTTAAACTGACTTGTAGATTTCATTGACTGGTGCCATGTTTTCGTTTGACCACCGCTAGCTCTTTTCCAGCCTGACCCTATGTCAGCTAACATTGCCCGTCGAGGAAGGCGATGCCTAGACATAAGTAACACACATCCTAACCATCTCAGTCGATGTAGCTTCACAACCTCGTCTATTGATTTTTTTTCCTTACCTAGCACTGGACGCCTAACCTCAATATCGCTCACCCTATTATACCACTTCACACAGGAGATACAACGCATGCACCCATCATCAAAGACAACTAGCCACCCTTTCATGTCTTCCACTCTCAATGGCCAGGTCTCACAGCCATAAAGGAGGACGGAGTGTACTCATGAGTAGTACACACGCCCTTGTAGTCGATAGCCAGTTGGATTTGACGTCTACGCCAGAGACGGCGTAAACTGGCATATGCGAAACTAGCCCTCTGTAACCGTCCTGAGATTTCGTCAGCGATCAACCGGTTGGGGCTGATGGTATTTCCCAAGTAAGTGAAGTGGTCAACGTGCTCTACCAGTTCACTTGTTATTTCTAATATAGGAGTCAATATAGTCCAATCCTGTAGCATCATTTTGCATTTGGTGGGGTTAATGAATTTCATAGAACAACCATGTCTATTTGAATATCTTGTCCCAGATTTCAAAATTATCATTTTATCGATAGGCTTTTTGGTTGAAATTTTATGCAACATGTACCATGAAAATAGTGAATTCATTAAAACAACGTGCCTGAAAGAGGAAATGTCTTAGGTTGATTAGTGGTAATTTAAATGTAGTTCTCTGCATTTAGCGGCCAATACAACTTGTAAATTTTATTATTTACTGTAACTGTTATGAAATAATTAAGAATATTTACTTTTTGATACTATAATTCCAGAAAGGCGATTCTTCATGTGGATTGTCCGATCTACACTGGGCGGAAAAATTGCATGCGTATATAGCTTCTGGTCCAAGAAATAAGATTTCAAGCGTTCCAGAAAAACAACAATACAACACACACTTGCCATGGGATTTACATGAAAGACATTTACCTTCTCAAAGACTACGAAGTCGTGGTGGTCCCCGTCGACCGACAGACCAGTCAAGACGTCCTAATCAAACAGGTAGTGAAACTGCTAATCCTGAAAGTAATATAGCAGATGTTATCACCAGAGGAGGCATTTCCCACTCTTCAGGTACTAACTCTACTTCAAGTTTGCTACTTCACAGTGATTACACAGCAGAACCTTTATTAGATCCAGAACGATTTTTGTCTAACGACTACCTATATGACATGACAGAAGCAAGGCCAGTTTGTTCACTCAGTCGTCAAATAACTCCACGTGGTCGTCGTTCCTCATCCACCACTTTTTCTGCAACACCTCCATCAGTGCCACATACTTCGGGCAGATTTTCATCTACTGTTTCTGAACTAGCTGGTCGTTTGGACGACTATCCAACTAAAACAACATGGAAAAATCCTCAGGTAGTCCATATTCTTAATTGTTTATAAATATTTTTTCTCAACAAATCCTTACACATCATATTTTGGTTGATTTTGCCATTACAGATACGTGATCTTAATTGCTACAATGCAGATGTTAGTGCACCCGGTGCTATGATGGCTCTCGGAATGGCGTATTTGGGTAGTGGCAATTCAACTGTTAGTAGTTGGCTTCTACCACCCTCTTCTTTACACCAGTTAGAACTGATTCGACCGGATCTGCTTTTATTCCAAGCTCTTGCTTATGGACTTATAAATTGGAATTCGATAGAGCCAACCCAGGAATGGATAGAGTCTTACGTACCAGAGAAACTTTTTGAAAAACTCAGCGAATCAATCAAACCAAGACCAAAAGTGCAACAATCTGACATATCTGATATCCGTGCAACACTAGGTCAAACTGATCTATCTAGTGAAGATGATGTTGAAAATCGTTGTCCAGATCAAACATTTACCGACTCATTCCATACATCTGGACGTGCTTCATCTAACAGAGGTCGTAGAGGTTCGGTAAACAATGTTCGTGGTCGACCAGTTAGACGTTCAAGAAGGTACGATATCAGACAGTGGGCTGAAGAGGGCAATAATGTTAACCAGATTAAACCCGATGGTAGTAAAAATGAATGTTTGGACGAGTTTGGATTGCATAATGTTGATCCAGTAGACATCGAATCCATAAGGTGAGTCTTTTCTTCAGTAACAGTATTTATAAGTTCGACTTCATATACAGTGCATCAGAACTTAGCACATAGAACTTTGGAATTTGTTCGGTGTTCTCCGAGCTTTGATATATAACGTTTCATCACCAATCATTAATTTCATTCAAAATTGAGACCCCTAAATACTCATCCAACTTGTAAATATCTCCACTTCATAATTAAGTTAGTAGTAAATATGTCACTGAATCTGGTAGTGAAGCGTCGATGGCTAACTATTAAGTTTTGGAGAACACTGAACAGTTCTCATTATCAATCTCAGCTATGAAACCTAAAGGCGGTATTCGATTCCGTCGACCGAGAGGTACTCTGGCGATGTTTGACTGTGAAGGGAATGCCAAGAAAATACATTGCACCGATCAAGACACTCTACTCGAACTCATGCAGCCAGCCAGGTGAGAGCTTACTGCGAGTTGTCATCTGAACTGGTGACAACTAGTGGTGTCCGACAGGGATGCCTACTATCCCCATTTCTATTCAATTTCATCATAGATGTACTAATGGACTTAACCCTAACTAACTTTAGAGACTCAGGGATTGACTTGTTACCGTCAGGGAATAATCTCGTTGACTTAGAATATGCAGATGATGTAGTCCTTCTAGGTGACGACGCTGAAAAATAGTTTTCTGAACACCTTGAGGTGCAATCTGCGAATGTTTGGCATGAGATTCGCTCCCGCAAAATGTAAGATGATGCTACAGGACTGGACTTCATTGACTCTTAGCTTAGAAATAGGGAGTGAAGTGGTAGAGCGCGTTGACCACTTTACTTATTTGGGGAGTTGCATCAGCCAACGCCAGAGGGTTGGTGGCTGACGAAGTTTCAGCACGGATACAGAAGGGTAGTTTCTCATATGCCATTTTACGCCATCTCTGGCGTAGACACTATATCCAGCCGGCTATCGACCGAAAGGCGTTTGTACTGCTCAGCAGTTCACTCTGTCCTCCTTTATGGCTGAGAGTGAGACCTGGCCGTTGATAGTGGAAGACATGAAAAACTAGTTGTCTTTGATGATGGGTGCTTGCGTTGTATCTCCTGTGTGAAGTGGTGGCGTCGGTATCACAGTGGTTAGGACTCTCGCCGACCATGCACATGGTCCGGGGTTCGATCCCCTGCCGACGCACACGCGATATCTATGGTTGGCCTGCAAAATTTGGGCTACCGATATCCATGCTGAAAATTCCATACTTGTACTGAAAATACGGTGTGGCATCAAGCTGTAATCAAAATAAAAAATAAAATAATAAATAATAGGGTGAGCAATATTGAGGTTAGGCGTCGGGTGCTAGGTAAGGAGGGGAAATCAATAGACGAGTCTGTGAATTTACATCGACTGAGATGGTTAGGGCATGTGTTACGTATGCCTATTCATCTTCTTCCTCGATGGGCAGTGTTAGCTGACATAGGGTCAGGCTGGAAAAGAGCTAGCGGCGGTCAAACCAAAACATGTCCTCAGTCAATGAAATCCACAACAGTTAGTTTAAGCCACAAGGAAGGTGTAGACTCCCTGGTTGGGGTCTTCGGGACGGTAAAAGCCAATGGTTGGAAACAAGTGGTGATATGGCTCAAAATCGTTCTAGGTGTTGGCAGATGCATCCACTCCTTGTGACTTATGATTTCCAATGGAACTATATTGTTATTCGTTATTACTAATTCCTTTGTCTCATATCCCTGTCTACCGTCTCTATTATGCATTTCTTCTCTTGCTTTGTGTTCTACATAGAGTGTGGCGACTTGAACTGCTGCACATCGGTGCAAAGTTCTATGTCGAAACAGACAGACAGACATATGAAACCATTATTCCAAAGTTGTACGCTGTTAATTTTGTATTTGCTGCAGCTTAAATAATAGGGTAGTGCCCTTAGCTGTTACACTTAGTGTTCCTCATAAACTGCTTCTTATAATACACATTTAACTGGTAATTAAATTGGATTATATTGTATTGTTTTCTCTGATTAGTCAGCTTCTTCTCTATAAAAGGTGTGTGGATGGCACCATTGTGATGAAGAATTTGACCTAGACAATCCCCTCAACACGTTCACCTCAGTTCATCCTTCTATAAAATTTACTGTAGAACGAGAATCAAATTTGACGTTTGCTAGATGTAATACTTATTAAGAGATCAGATAATACTTTTCAGGGATCAGTCTGTAGAAAACCAACACTGACTGGAAAGTTTAGTAAGAATTGTCCTGCTGATCAGAAACCAGAACGAGGTACCTTCATCATTTTTAAGGATTTGAGTGGTCTTTTCTGAAGATACGGTTGAAGCTAAATTTGAATCTCTGCAATATCTTATTAGAAAGTGGATATCTACCTAGATTTACCAATCGCGACATATGAAAGGAGCTGTCATCTCTAAAAGGTCCCAAATGTCTTTAAGAAGACTCTATTCATGGACCTAAAGCTCAGGAGGGACGGTGCTATGAAAGTTTTTAAAAGCTGTTTCTTCAGGCCTCTCAGAAAAAAGGTTCTGCTCAGCGAACCTAAGTTTCACATTCGCCGATAGACAGTTAATCCGTCTATGCATTCAGAACCCCAGTGTGTATGTCTTTAAGTGTACTTGTCTCATTAGTGCAATGTACATCGGTTATACACAGCGTGAAGTCCAGTTTGACTCGTGCGAGGAGAGAAGAATGAAAGCAGTAGTCTTGTTCTCGTGCACCTTGTTGACTCTGCAATTCGTCACCTCCACGCGGTTGCTTCACTGTTATAATTTTGTGTGTATTTTGTTTTTACATATTTAGTTGCTTGAATTTTATGAATAACTTCTTTCCTTCATTTAAACCTCCTGTTATCTTTTCCACTTTTAAGCCTGTTTTCTTAAAAATCCTACTTCATTAATCCATTTTCATATTTATTGTTTATATATAGGTATTTTTTTATTTCTTCACGTTCCCAGTGAAACATAGGGTTCAAGCTAGAAGCTTGAAGTTTCTGTAGCAGTGGTGTTTATTTTTACGGGATGGGGTTGCTATCCTCATTCCCCACCTAACCCTCTTTACCAGTCCTATTGTAACAACAGAAGACAAGGGCCAGGCAACAGATCAGTTTTATTACGAAAACCAACAGGTATTTATATGTATTTTACGTACATTAATAGGCTTCTGCCCGCAGAAAGAAGGCGGTCTTCTGATTGGTTGTTTGCAAACAAAGGCAGTCTTCTGCTTTCTCGTTTTCAATATTTCTCGGAAATGCGAGCCACTTGTCTGCGAATCATATTTGTCCACGTCTAGGTCAGCTGTGATCGGTTGTTGAATCAGCCTAGATTAATTTCTACCAATCAGCGTAGATCAATGTCTACCAATCGGCTAGCAGCTTGCTCTCACCACACTATTGTTGACTTAGCGAGGTAAAGAAGTGCGTCGTCCGCGGATCGAACCTCAAACCACCTGCGTAGTTGGCAAGCATTCTGTCGCTGTGCCACCGACGCACTTATTGTTTATATAGATTTGTATAACTAACAAATAAAATTTCATTGAGAATGCATAACCTTTGTAAAATATTTTTGAAAATCTAAATTTCCCTTTTCCCACTCATTCTCTCTCTTAATTTCAGTTTGGCTTATTTGAACATGCTAGTGGGATGTGCTCTGGCCATGGGTTTACGTTATGCTGGAACATCGAATGCGAGTGCTGCCAATACACTGGTAATGTTTATTTAATTAAGTACCCATTTCTTTTAAAAACCATGTAAATTTTTCCTTTCTACTGTTCAATACTTCAATTATGGAGCCATAATAGATGTTAGTAAACTTCCAACTTATACTATAATGAAACAAGTTTGCGTATTGTATCATTTTATTAAGAGTATTAATATTGGTGAATTAAACTATTGCAGTACTTCAGCCTTTGGACATTAACAATAAAATAGAATAGCATAGTTCGTATGAGATTGCTTTATCCTAAGGCTGTTCTTATTAGCTGAAAAACCAAGGAGTACTAACCACATGTGTTTTATCCTAGTCTGAGTATCGTAAGCGTGATGCACCGAGTTGAAAAAACTCCATTTGACCTGTTTTATAACTTTTAAATCATAATATGTTAAAATCTTCATCTCACATTAATACATTAATGTTATGAGAAGCTATTCTTTCTTCAATTTGCTTGTAATAAAAACCAGAAGACTCTTATTTCATGTGAAAATTTGTACCATGCTGTCATTTTTCCCATTCCTCAAATAACACAGGAAATGTGTTCTCTTTTTGGATTGTTTCGGATGTCTGTATGATTTATGCTTCTCTTTTCTGCGATTTCAAATTGTGACGGTTAAGAGTTTGTTATGATTATTGACTGTTTTTTTGAACACAGCCTCTGAAATTGCTCTGCATTCCTGTTTATGGTGACTGTGAATTGCAAAAAGCAGATTTTCATCTAGTTCTGTTTAATTACTAAGTATGAGTCTTGTATGGTGTTACAAACACCTAATAACTCTAGGTGAATTAGTGTAACTGTCTTGTCTCTGAACTTCACGTGATTACCTCGTCGATATTTTCTCCGTCACATTGATATTTATTATTCATTTTTTTGTTTTCCTCCTGCGCGTTCTTAGTTGAACATAGAGCCTCAAGCTTAAGCATTCAAGTTCCAGTTGCAGTGGAGTTTATTTTTTACAGGATGGGGTTGCTAGCCTCACACGCAACCTTCCCTCTTTACGGGGCTTAATACCGGCTAACTGAGGTTGAGGAATGCGCCGGCCAGGGATTAGAACGCCGAGCAGCTTGCGTGATCGGCGAGTATTCCGCTACTCAACCACTGACGCGTCACGTTGATATATATATATATATAATTTAAAATAAAGGAAGGATTTCCACATATATCTTTCATAATATCGTTTGTAGCCAACTGTACTGTCGTAATTGTTCTTGAGGATTTTAGATAGATATTATCTCCTTGTGGTGTCATTGTCTTGATTGCATTGTGTTAGTTCAATAAGGCTTTTCATATTACCATACCAGTCAACACAAATAGTTCTATGGTAATCTATTTGTGCTTCTTCGATAACTTGTTTCCATTGAAGTGGCTACGCTGTTGTACTCTTAGGTTTTTGCTGATCCTAAGGCTGTGTGGATTTTCGCAATTTGACCGATACCAGTATTTGGTGTTATTCATCATTACGGTAGATTGTAGGCTGACCAAATCAAAGCACTGTCATTATTGATAACTCTTTATTCTTGGTTTCTCAGATAGCCAGTCTGTTTTGTTCAGATTCACAAGTAAATTAAATAGTAATAAAGTCTTCTAATGATGTGTTTGGCAATATTCTTTTCACTCTTTATTGTAATATGAGATGTTCGAATTATTGATGTTTATTTCAACCAAAATTAAAAGGTACAACAAATACTTGGGTAGTCTGTGAATCGAAGTGAGCTGGTTGCTGCATCCCACTTTAAAAAAAATTTAAGCTTCAAGTGTAACGGTAGAACACAAAAGTATTTGTTAACACAACCACTTATTATCAACTCGATGTACAGATACAAGCGAAATACAACTACCTTGTATTAAAACCTCAATTTGCACATGTCTTCCGTATTGTGTTTTTTTGTCCTTTCGTATTTTCTGTGTTGTTTCACAAGAATTGTTCATTTCTTTTCTTCTGCATTAAATCCATCTCTCCAGTATTCGATATCCTTACAGATGATATACATATTTTATCTCTGCATCTATATACTACTTATAAAGCTTGTCACTAGCAAACGCCACACAAGGGTCGTTAACTTACAGTAAGATCAATCGAATCAACTAAGGTTACCTGAAATATTCTAATTAATAATCTTATAATTCCTCTGATCTGAATGGTAACACGACGAGATAGAGATTCGAAGGTCCTTAGCTGGTTCATTCGAGGAGTGTCAAGCTAGAGTGGATTGTATTCTTCTTTTCTTTCATTTATTTTGTTACTTTCTATATGATTATCTTAGTTTGTTTACATTTCTCTATTTTTTTTAAATATTAGTGTTAATTAATAAACGTGTAACAGCTTAATCTGGTAAAGGGTTTAACCGGTTCCTTGATTGTTAATGATACAAAATCTGATCAAGAAAGTGCTGTTATATGTTAAAGTTTATGTTATTCTACGGACCTTCATTTTGTGGTGTATAAAATAAAATTTAGCTTCTTGTTGTGTTTAGCGTGGGTGTATTCACAAAAATAATTTCTAATGCACACTTCTCTGAGACAATGAATAATGTTAAGCTATTTTCCTTTTTTGTTTCTATCTTCTAGTATTCTCTTTCACGTAGTATTTTAGAAGGTACATGGTGGCCACCATCAAGCTGCACCTACAGGTCACCATCTCAAAATAATTCATTTGATACAGAACATATTAAAGTGTCCTTACCGAAACCTACATTATATCAGAGTGCTGCTCAATGTCTCTTAGCCTTGGCCATGATACTTGCTGGGTCTGGCAATCTGGATGTTCTTAGAATGGTGCGTCAGTTACGAGCCATTCGCTTATTCAGTGCTAAACTTGATACTTCCAATTCGGGATCTGATTCACTCTATTATACTGTTACAACTGCAGCAGCTCGTGCTGCCGCGACAACGCAGACAGCTGCTTCAGGTTCAGGAGGAGCATCTATCGGTGGTCCAGTGTCTGTTGCATCAGTGTTTGGTGCAGCTCTTGGGCCAAGTTTTGCTTTACAAATGCTTTATGCTAACACTGTTGGTTTACTCTTTCTCGGTGGTGGACGGTAAGTAAATTGTTTTTGGTAGTTTTCTTCATCTAATGTCAGATTAAAACTAGTTGCCGATTAGTATATTATGATTCTTTAGTAACATTGATGTTTTTTAGTTTATGTTTTGTTTCTTAAATGGAAAATATTTCCTCAGATTTTTATTAACATGCCAGCAAAAAAACCCCTTGGTATTGAGCACACAGATGATATAGTTCTTTTAGGCAGAGACGGTGGAAAAAATGAGAGTCTCTTGAATTATTATTATTATTGTTTCCTTTAATTCCTAGAGGAACATAGGGCTTCAGCCGTGCGCCTCCATTGCGTTCGGTTCTCTGCTAGAGTCTTCACCTGGCTCCAAGTCTGCCCACACGTTTTCATCTCCTCTTCACATGACCTCCTCCAAGTCACCTTTGCACTGACGACCAACTCGCCGCTTCCCTTTCGGGTTCCACTCGAGCAATGGCTTGTCTAGTGATGTCACTTAATGGTTCCCTTAGAGTATGGCCAATCCATCTCCATTTCTTTCTGTCTATTTGTTTCACAATCGGTTCCTGGTTGGTTCGCTCATTGCCAGAGATCTCTGTTGCTGATATTTTATGGCTGGCCATCTGATCTTGAGTATTGAGCGAAGACAACTGTTAATGAAGGTCTGTAGTTTGTTTGAGATGCCCATTATGACGCGCTGACCAAGTCTCTGATCCGTATAGAAGCACTGACTTCACATTGGAGTTGAAAATCCGGATCTTATTTTTGATGCTGAGTGCTGTTGACCTCCACACAGACTTGAGAGTAGTGAAAGCTTGTCTTTCTTTTCCGATTCTTGCTTTGATATCCTCATCAATTCCGCCTTTAGTTGAAACGATGCTTCCCAGGTAGGTAGGTAGGTGAAGGAGGTTGTTTCTTTCAGGTTACTTTTGAATATTGTTAACTAAAATCTAAGTATGTTTCACGTGCGATTCATCCTTAACAAATGTAAGATAAGTAGTGAAATGGTTGAATGTATCGATCACTTCACTTTTTCAAGGCTTTGATCATGGGTGTCTTCGTGAACTTAATTGTGTTGAATTCAACTGAACCGTAGAACTTAGCGTAAAAGTACAGCATTTCGAGTTGCTGCACTGTTGTGATTCTGTGTGTAATGGTCTTCTGTGTTCTACGTCTGTCATGCATTTATATGTGGTATTTAAATAGTAATCATTGGTGGTGAAACCAGTCCCAATCTTCAAATTCCATAAGTAAACTTATATAAGACGCAAATGCAGTGAATAATTACTCTGCAATTTTATTTATTTAGGAAATTAATACCCATTGTGTTTTACTAAGAACAAAGTATTCAGCGAAGATGCTTTTTTCGATGAATTTATCAAGTTGTGCATACTGTAGCATGCAAGTTATATTGCTACTATGTTTTGTTTAAAATCTTTTAAACATGTATTTGTTCTGATATTTTTCATCTTTAGATTAACTCTTGCAAATACTCCAGAAGCTGTTGCCATGCTCGTCATATCATTTTTCCCTCTTCTTCCTACTTATGCAGGAGATAACTGGTAAGTAGACTTACATGTTTATTTGTTGCTGGGTTACATTTTCATTTCCCTTCAATTGGTTATATTGGACTGAAATCCTCACTTTTTGTTGACATGACTCCCACCGTGGGCTTTTTGACTATGTCTGGAGATCGACATGATATTAATTTGCTTGTTGGTAACCAGTAGTGGAGTCCAGGGTGAGCATTTATGAAACAATGGTTGCAGGGTTCAAGTTCCAGTCGGAATACCAGTACATCCAGATAACGAGTCCCGAATAATAGGAAATGAGCATTCTGTATTCCACTGTTAGTCACTGTCAACCAAAAGACTACACTTTTCCCTGAAAACATTTAGTTTTCTTTAAACAGAGGATTTCACAGTCAAACCTACTATTTACACATGTAAACTTATTGAAGAAAGCAATCACTGTTGGTTTTATAAGTACACTGTAGTCTAGAGTAACAAAAATTATACTATTATTATTCCCTTGCGTTCCGAGTGAAACATAGGGCTTCAACAACACATCTCCACTTTATTCTGTTTTCTGCCGTCCTCTACAGCTAGGTCCACGATTGACTGAACTCTCTCATTTCTTCCTCACACGATCTCTTCCATGTCACCCTAGGACGACCCACTCGTCGCTTCCCATTTGGATTCCACTCGAGCAATGGCCTGGCACGCGATTTCATTCGACGGCCTCCTCAATGTATGCCCGATCCATCTCCACTTTCTCCTACATATTTATTGATCGATCGCCTCCTGGTTGGTTTTTTCCCATAGCTTCTTGTTGTTTATTCTTTCTGGCCATTTGGTCTTCAGTATGGAGTGGAGGTAGCTGTTGATGAAAGTCTGCAACCTGTTGGAAATCCTTTTCGTTACACACAATGCAAGTTTCTGACCCGTATAGAAGAACTGACCGACTTGACATTGGTGTTGAAAATGCGAATCTTGTTCCTTATGTTGAGTGCGGAAGATTTCCAAACTGGTTTCAGGTTGATGAAGGCGTATCTTACCTTTCCGATTCTGACCTGCTTTGACATCTTCATCCGTTCTCACTGCCTGTAGTTGAAACGATGCTTCCCAGATAAGTGAAGGCGGTAATCTCTGTAAAATCTCTCCCGTTGATATTGATTGGTGCTGGTTGTTGTTGCTGTTGATTGCCTTGCTTAGTTAACTAGCTCGCTAGTTCTCTAGCCGGTCCCAAGCCCGGGTAAAGAGGGAGGGTTGGGCATGGGGCTAGCAATCCCACACCATTACATCTTTCAAACTGCTAAAGAAACCTCAACACAAAGAGCAATAACAATGTTATCGCCTTATTCTATTCTACTCATTTTGACTTCTGCGTTTTATTTTTGTGTTTAAAATATTTATTCTGATTTATACACATTCTTTTTTATTGATATAATACTAGTGGCTGAATTTTCTTCTAAATATCATTTTTATTTGTAGGTATCACTTACAAGCCCTTCGACATCTTTACGCCTTAGCGACTATACCTCGAAGGGTGTGTGCTGTAGACGTTGATACTGGTCGTGTTGTTTTATCAGATCTCCAAGCTAAATTGCGAGTAAGTTTAATGGATGTAATGTAAAGTATTGAAGTCCACTTTTACTATGATATTTTGTTGTAAAGCTTTTTGAGATCGTTAAGTTATAAACAATTTTTAAATTCATTTGGTCAAATATGTTATTTGTCTACTTGAAAAATACTTATACCGTCTGAATATTTTAATTAAGGCAAAGTCCTATGATCTTAATGTTATATTTTGCCTTATTTGAAGTGTACATAATGCGAAAGTAACTTGTTGCTCGTGTCCTAGACTGTGTGATTCACACAACAGGTGTAAAGGAGTCGTATACCCAACAGGGCTGAGCTACATTATAACCGCATTGAAAGTCAATTTTCTAAGTCAGTATACTATGTCTCTTTGTTCTGTTTCTTTTATTTATAATTCTTTTGAGTTCCGAATGGAACATAGGACTTCAAGCTTTGAACTATCAGTAGCTCTGGTCTTGTGTTTTAACGATGCGATGTATAGGAGCGCGTCAACCAGAAATCGCGCCCGGACCACTTGCTTGGCTGGCGAGAACTCTGATATTAAATCACTAACTCTGTTCCTGAAATTACTACATTTAGAGGGACTGACTGTAATAAAAGGATAGGACTTCGGGAATGTTATAGAATGCTGTTGCGTATTTATTTGTCAAATATATTATATATATATTATATCATATTCAGGTGGTAGTGATAATTGTCTAATAAATGATTACTACACAAGAAAGTTACTTTTAAATGGTGTACGATGGTATTACTACCATTCTCATTGTTATGCCTTAAAAAATGTATCATAATATTTCTGTATTCACTTTCACTGTCAGCTGATTTATTGTATTTTATTTTTATATAGGGATCAGATGTTATGCTTACAACAAAAGATACCTTTATTTTCCCATCTGATGTAATGGATAAAATAACTTGGGTAAGCTAAACTAAATTCTTGTAAACTGCCTTAACGTTCAATAGTGAGCTTTTGTCTCAGTCGATCTCCATCCCCACCTCCGAAAAAACCAACTACACAACAAGAAACACATGTTTCATAATCCCTGACTTTTGAACTCATTCATGTATTCTGATCTCTCTACTTTAGTGTCGGTGGCATAGTGGTTAGGACTCTCGCCGACCATGCACATGGTCCGGGGTTCGATCCCCTGCCGGCGTACACCCGATATCTATGGTCAGCCTGCAAATTTGGGCTACCGATATCCATGCTGAAAATTCCATACTTGTACTGAAAGTACGGTGTGGAATCAAGCTGTAATCAAAAATAAATAAAAATAAAATATATAAAGAAAAAAACTTAAATAATACCTGTCAAGAATGTGGGAGCATGAAACAATTGCAAGGGTTTTGATCATTTTTGTGTCTTGAGAATAGATTGATGAAGTAGACATTAGCGAATCTACACCCAGAAATTGTTTACTGATAGAGGTACGGATCCAATGTGATAGCACATTTTGAATGACATAAATATTGTGCTGAAGATGTTGTCCAGAAGGACGACGAAAGCTCCGCAGTTAAACCAACCAGCTCAGAGAACACTATTAATTGAATGACATAATGTTAATCTTTTCAAAGGATTAAAATTTGAGGGACCTAGACGGAATTTTGATGTTGATGTAAGTCAACTGACCAGATTTTTCTTGTGACCATCTGTAACTCTGGCATTCTGACTGGCAGCTGTGGCGACTGATATTTAGAGCCAAACAATTGTACCTGTATTTTTGGATTATAGTCATATGACTATTTGCAGAAAAAAAGCCTAACATTAGAGATGCATGCTAAAAGGTGGTTGCTTCAGTGATAATTATATGGCGAAGCATTGTCTCTAAAAAACTGATTTTTAATTTTATTTTTTTTCTCATAAAATTTTCCTTTTTAACAATGTTTGAAGGCTGTGAATTGCTTGAAATTTGTTTCACTTCGTAAGATTTTCTATAAATATGTAAACATCATATTGCGTTTTAGCTTGAAATCAATCATAATTCTGAGGAGTATTGGCCAACTGTTTTTCATCATGGTACAAATAACTGGAATTTATTCAAGTAAGAATTCCTTTCTTTTATTTAGTTTTCCTTAAACTAAATGTTCAGTAATTATGTTGGTCACTTTGCGTCGACTAGTTATTTTTTGCTATCACTGTAGCTGTCACTTGACATCTCCCAATGTACTATGATTAGAAATCACAGTTCTCAGCAGGGTTATTTCACTTGATTCAATGACGACATCAAAAAAAAGAAAAGAAAATGATATTCTGTAGTCACACCTGGCAGTAAAATTCACCTCATGTGTAAGAGATGGTAGAACTACCTAGTTGTCCAAACTTTGGAAGGTGGTACGAAGTTTGGCGCTTTGCCCTATTGGTTTTACGTCGAGTGCCTAACCCAGTGGGCCAGAAGCCACATTGCACAACACTTGGCACTTAACAGCTATCTATTGCTCACCATTCACACTACTTTATACAGCTCTAAACAGTTCATTCTAGATCGTTAATGTGTAAATTTAGAAACTCGTCAGCCTCACTATCTTGTGAAACTTGGCATAAAAATGGTCTGCCGTTTAAAATTGAGAAAAAAATTGACTACCACGCATTTGAAGAAAATAACATCACAAGTCCGTATTTCCAGAATGATGCTTTCCTAAGTGAGGTTAACTGTTGGAGATTTTCTTTCATCCACATTGTTCTTTACTGTAAGTGGTTTGTTTTCTCAACACTGTGTTAATATTTTTCAATGTAAAAGTTCTTGATTTTACAAGTTACATCATTTTTCCATCCTTAGGAAAACATTCTTTGAAGCAGGATATATTTTTGTCAAAAAAAGAGACGATGAAGAAGAATTAAACGTGTTAAAATCATGGGTAAGTAATTATCAGTACATGTCTTTTTGAATGTTTTCTATTATTATTCTTATTATTTACAAGTATTGTTTTTTAAGTGACTATATGTGTTGTTCACCAGAACAGTTGGCTAAAACATTTTCTTGCTACAAAGTCTACTGTTATTACTTTATCCAAGTGATCTACATTTTATGCCAAATAAATAATCGAAATGTGTCTTATTCCTTTTTATGCTTCTTTTTCATTTTAAAGCTGGATGAATGTTTAAAACACTGGTTGGATTTAAGCGTGTTAAAACAATTGAAACTTTTGGTCGCATTTTTAAAGTGTTTTCCATTACCGAATAATAAAACGAATAAATCTAAAAGTCCTCATTCCACTGGGAGCACATTTATCTCTTCATTGTCGTCGACATCATATACAAATTTAGGTCGCATTTTAAGTATGCGTGTTACTCAACACTTTGTAGAATATAAAGATGGTAAGTCCCTATGCCCTATGCCTGTAAAGTTTTTCTCAACCGCTACATTTTAATTCCAATAAACTAGGTGTTTTTTCTACTAGAATGTAACAGTTATATAATGAAAACGACAATAACATTACTCAACAACTAATATGAATTACAATAAACTTGGCAAGGAGCCACACCTATTGTCTGTGGGATGATGGTAGGTAACACCTATGTACTCAAACTTTAGTATTTGCAGCGGTGTTTAAATCTGTGACACACTGGTCGTAAGTAAAATGCGTAATTTAATGCGCCACAAAATCCATTGAAAACACAAACGTATTCATTCACAAATCGTGTTATGGACTGTCACACTGATGATTACTATAATACTGTACAGCACATATTTCAAATAATTTTCGTGTTCTTTTTGTCATTTTGAGAGCAACATCAATTTCATCAAACTTTATCGTTTCATTTTTAGAACTTTCTGCTGGTCTGCGCAACTATTACTTCAATCCACCCAGTAATGAAATTTGTGTCGATGAACACAGTGCTATGCGTTCAAGATTAGTAAAAGCATTCCGTCTATGGTTCAGTTTACCTGATTCTGATATCTTGTCGAATTGTTTACCTAAAGGTTAGTGTTGTATTCTGTTTTCCATTCAATATTTAACTAATCAGTTGAATGAGTATATATGTATGTAATGTGTAGTAGTATTTCTCCATCGAAAGTGTTGTTTCCTTGGAATACATACGCTTTGAGGGCATTTTCTTTTATGAAGAGATATAAATAGTCGTACAGTGAAATATTCTCTAAACTGCTCTTTTTCCGTGAGCATTCCAACAGTTGTAAGTGTGTACAATTCCCAATTCGGATGGAAGATTTCATCATGAGCTGACATCAGTTAGAGAACCATTGGAAAATCTGGGAGTACTGGACAGCTGTTTTGTCCCAGTTTGGGACTCTCCAGCATTAGATTGGGTCCCAGAGGCTCAATGGTCTACGAGCTCGCCTTGTAACCAGAAGGTCCTAGGTTCGAACCCCGGTGGTTGCGTACTCATGAAGAGTCCCAAACTACGACGAAGTGGCTGTCCAGTACTCCCAAGTTTTCCAGTGGTTCTCTAACTGATGTCAGCTCATGATGAAATCCTCCATCCAATCAAAACAAAATCCCTACAAAACCAATGCTTCAAAATTCCCAATTTGGTCCGAAAAACTTGCCATAGCCTTATAGCTTCATGACGAGCGTTTTCACTACTATCATTTTCTATCTACAAGCACTCCAACGTATTGCTTTTAATATCAGATGACACAATCCTATTACTATGCTTTAATAATAGCCAGAGTGAAAACTCCAACGTTTGTGGATTCATTTTGTATTTTTGAACTGAAATTCAGTTTTATTTGATTTTCTCTTTCAGATGGTGCACCATCATCTTTGGTTAGCTTTCTTTCAATTGTGAAACAACATTGTCCTAAATCATCTATACCAAATATGCTTTGGTTGCACCGATTTCTTTATCCATCTAGTCAAATGACAAATCCAGTTTGAGAGACTTTCTTAAATAAGAATTCAAAAATACTGCCACATTCATTCAAAAGAACTGCGTGAATGATATCTGCTACTATTGCTGTACATGCTATTTTTTCTATTATGTTGATTGTATGCCTCATTATTATTACTTATTGTTTGTAAATGTATATATTTTAATGTACTAATTACTCATCATTATTGTGTTTTTTGTATCTTGACTTCCGATTATGTGTAAATTACTAAAAGTCTTAGGTGCTCAATAAATTTCGACTGATTAAGGTCAGTTTCTTTTTGTTGACGTACTGTTAGAATGGATATGAAATGTTGATTCGACATTTGCCGTAATTATACACTATAAAGTTGTGTTTGAATATTGAGGTGACAGGCACTTGTGGGTTCCTTGCGATACAAAAAGGAACTTACTAAAATATGTAGGGTCTCATACAATGTCTTCATAACACTTTTGGTTGATATTCCTCTTTTGTTTCTTCTCCAAAGTGCGAGTCAATATCATGTATCGTAATTTGTTGAAATATCATTCGTCTAATTTTCCCGGACATCCAACAGTTGCCATATTTCTTGACCTAAAGGTGGCATTTGACTTCGACAGTAGATATGTATTATGCCAATTTTTCCTACGAAAGGGGCGTCGATAAAGTCTACAAGGTTCATCAAGGAAGTCTTCTTGAAATCTTGCAGTTGTTTAAGAACTTATTAAGAGTTGTCATCTGAAATGGCGACAAACAATAGTATCCATGCATCAGATATGACTACTGTCACCATTCTTATCTAACTTCACTATATGTGTACTGATGGATCCTGATCGACTAGAATGTTTCAGAAGTCTATTTGTTACCAGAGAAATGTGTCATTCATCTATGGCATGCAGGTGACATTGTTTTTAGGCGAAGACAGAATGAAAAATCTTTTGAATACCTTGAACAGATATGTAAGTTTAAAATCCACTTAACACTTGTCCAGTAGGGCAAGGTGTTGCGGGATTGGTTTACACCAAATTTTAATTTAAATACAGGTGATGAAATTTTTGAATGTGTTGACCGCGTCACTTCTTTGGATAATTGTATTAGCTTCAATGTACTGATTGCCGACGAAATCTTATCTCGGGTACAGAAAATTCTATTAGAATTTTCTAACTACTGTTGTCTGAAATGTCCATCGACCTGATATCCGGCTATCCATTGAGGGACACGTTTATTGTACAGTAGTCTGCTTAGTCTTACTTTAATTCTGAGATATGAATTTCAAAGATTAGAGATATAGAAAGATTAGTGGTTTTGAGCTTAGATGCCTTCGTTCATTCTGGTGTTGGGTAGTATGACATGATTGTTAATAATGAGGTTAGGCGCAGTGAAAATCGGTCGATTGCGTTGTGAAGTCACATCGACTGGTATGGCTCGGACATGTACTGCATATGCCAAGCCATCATATTACTCAACGTAAAGTGTTAGCTCATATGGGATCGGTTTACAAGAGGGTTAGATGTACTCACACCTAAGCATGACAGTAATTCATGATGGATTTGATTGTCGTTTTGAGCCACATAAAGAGATATAGACTAGCTAGGTGGAGTCGTTTTCATCACTTCATTGAGTTTCGAGTGAAACATACGGCTTTAAACTTTGAAGTTCCAGTAGTAATGGTGTTGTTTTACGCGGTTTTTGTGAATGTCCCCATCCCTAACATCCCCTCTTTTTCGGGATAACTATTGGCTAATAAGTTAGGTGGGGTTTAGGATTTCGTTGGGCGGGAATCAGACTACACTCATGACTATCGAGCATTCTATCACTGAGTCACCGTCGTCGAGTTACCAGAAATCAATGATTACACACTGTTGTTCCACTTTGACTGGGCTTTCATTCGTTCATAGTGGCTCATATTTCGTACAGATTCTGAAAATGTTCACCAAATTTATTTTCCTATGCATTTTCTTATATCATCACGTATTTTTTCTCTACTTGTATATGTGCCCTTCCGAACTGTGACCAACTTAACTTCTGCACTTTCGTGCAAAGTTCTTAGTCTATAGGCATTTAAATGTCTATTGGGTTGCCTGACTAAAGTAGTTTAACCTTAATACATCGGAATGATAATTTTGAAATTTGAACTGTTTACTGTAGTTAGTTACTACTATGATAACCTACTCAGTAATCAGAAAATAGTGAATGAAGTCAGTTGAGTTTCTGAAGTAAGGTGTTTTCTTTTTAAAGTAGGAGGCAGTTTAAGAACTTAATTGTCTGTTGTCATATCATAGTCTTATCGTAACATTGTCAGTTTGAATGACTAAACACCATCTTAATCCTAATGATCCAGATGTGTGGTGCTGAATTTCGTTTGTGATGTTATGGAAGTACTTAGCTTATTCACTTTCCAAGTTGTGCAAATGAAGTTATATGGATCTTCCAAAATACTTAAATTTGCAAATAGTAGAGAACTAAGTTTGAAATGTGTTATTTTTTGAAAAGGCTCCAACGATTGGTGTTCTGTCTGATTCGTCGTGAATTTTCACCATATTAAGAAGTAGAAGTTCAATTTTATATTTGGGAATCTTTGCAAAATTTTTGTGGAAGAAGAATTAGAAATCGTACAGCTTCCTCATTAATCCATTAGCAAAATTTAATGTTATTAAAGAATTCATGAAAACGTTGATTACATCAGGAAACTATTTTACACGTTCATGTCTGATTAAACATTCAACAATACACCGAAATCGTCCAGCCTTACTGAATGCTCGTGCAGCCGCACCAATCGATGCTGCTGGATTTGATGATAACTTAATTGCTGCTATTTTGGCTGCCTCAAGTGCGGAATCGTTATCTGTTGAAGCAACTGGTATTGGATTTCGGCTTCCCTTCCATGCACTCCATATACGAATTTGACCATCAGCACTTGCAGATATATACTATGGAAAATAAATGAGAAATTAAGGCAGTTATAAAATACATTAGAATGATAACGCATTTTCTATCAAATAATAAATTTCAACATAATGATGATGAGACAGTTTCTCATGACGTGCAAGTATAGCTGTTTTACAGATAAAAAAATGCTAGTAACTCATTTCTAAAATTGAGGTTCAGTCTGAAGAAATAAATTTTGAACAAGTAGCCTTCAACAAACTTCGGTATGAGTGGGGTTTGTCAACTGTGTCGTGAGATACTTACAATTTGGTGAAGTTAGCGCAATGATGAGTTGTAATTCAACTATTAGCTCACTGTATAATTCAGAGTATCTTATAGGCTAATCCACCAAAGTATGATCGTTCCTGTCATAGCCTCTTCAAGATATAAGCAATTCAAGTGTTGGTTTACAAGGATTTGATTGGTTTCGGGATTTCATCATGAACCTTAGAGGGCCCGTACTACCGAAGATACGACGAAACAACTGTCCAGTACTCCTAGGTCTTCCAGTGATTTTCTAACCGACGTCAGTCCATGGTGAAATCCTGAAACACAAATAATTAGTAATTTGCTGATGGTGACAGCGTGAGCAAATTTGCTGTGTCAGTTTTCATACTTTTTCCCCTATGTCCGTGTTTAACTTCATTTGGATTTTGTTAATATCTCATGCTGTTGAGTAGGCTTATGAACTTGAAAAGATGTAATTCTCAGGTCTCACATTATCCTCTATGTGTATAATAACTTTAAAATGTCACCTCAACGTAGATTTAAGATTAAAAAACAAACTTGGCGGCGTGTTTAAGTTTTTAAAGTAGTTTAGAGTTAAGAAAATTTCTGGTCGTAGGTCTACCGCAGTGATAACACTGAATTTGAATTCTGGTTTCTCTCCACTAATTGCTCTCCTTTGTGAAGTATCAGTAATAGGGAAGATGTCTTTATTCAGAGAAGGACTCACTACTGAGCATCATGAAGCACAGTGTTTCATGGCAGTTGCTCACTTGATATGGAGTGAAAGTTGTCTAGTGAAAACTGAGAAGAAAAAAAATGCGACTTAGTTTCATTAGATCTCGAGTAAGCAACATATGTGTGATGTGAATTTCGCATATAAATATTTACTGGTCCCATTTTGTAATTCATTTATTTCTCAACTATAACTTATTGTACATGACTGTTATACTTTCTAGAGAAAGACAAAGTATAAGCTTACCTCATCGTCTTCAGGTAGTACAACTATAGACCTTATAATATCTTGATGACCTTTGTAGTTGCGATAGACATGACCAGTCTGTGGATCGTAAATTCTGTAAAAGGAAGCAGACAGAGAGTTGTTATATTTAAACATTATTCACAGAGTAACCGATCTGTATTTGATTGGCCGTCAAAATGTCAAGAAATTTTCATTCAGTGTTTTTACAGCTCAATATGGATCGTTATTAATTTTAACTGACTGACATAAGCTTGTTTACTCTCCAGAGTGGCACTTAGTGACAGTTAACACTTGGATTTTAACAACTACCTGTTTTTCTAACTCAGCGACTTGGAACAGATTTTTCATGTACCAGGCTTTCAGCCACACTTATTGTGTGAGGCTGATGATAGTGACCAGTTACCGAAAGTGAAGTAGGTGAATCAGGTTTCCAATCTGGGACCTACTGGGAGTCAGTTATTAAGCACAACGTTCCTCACTCATTACTTATCATCGATTAGTTTTCAAGGTCTATTGTGTTATTCACATTCCGGAAAGTGGTATGCTCTGTATTGTAACGGTGGAAGACGAGGGACTTGGTAAAGGAATGTTTATTTGGAATTTGATATCTCTCTATAAGGATACTTTATCTGAAAATCGTCATTTGCACAGATCTTCTGTGTTGTGCTATTTCTGCCCTTCGTATTGTGTTTCTTTGTGTCTTCTTTCCGTGTCCTCTCATGTTTTGCCGCAATGCTGAATCATTTGCTCACTTTGACGTCAAATATATAACTGTGCTATCTGCTATTTTTATGCCGATGAACGTCTCTTTATATACTACAGATAAATCTTATCAGTAGCACACGCTGCAGTAATTTTTAGGAAAACTTGAAAATGTTATGGCTAATACCATTTATTAATAACACATTTATTTATAAAATGTAACATGATTAGTAATGCATATATATTCTTAAAAGTATGTATTCATTAATATTTAATAAACTGACTTAATTTCTTTGTCAACTCCAGAGAGAAGAATATTTCGTTTGGTATCCAAACAAAGACATGTAATTGGACCATTTGTATTCAGTGTCATTCGGCATACCGCTTCTTGGTTTGTTGTATTCTAATTAAAGAAATAAATATAAAAAGCCAATGTATGGAGACATTCTTCTCTTTAAAAATTTGGAACAATTATTTCCTTCTATGAATTTCACCAAAGTAATAAGAAGACTTAGTTTATCTAAATTGCGTAATGTATTTGCGCAAAACATTTCAAACAGTCTGATCACAAACGGTAATTAAAAAGCTATTAATAAAATATTTTCGATCAGCATTGATGAATTTTATTCATATTTATTTTGGATAAAACAATCCAGGGTGAAAATTGAAGTCGAGCTCATCCGTGTGTATTTGAAACCCAAACTAGATAAGACGTCAAAATTACTCTAAAATATCCTTAAGTTTTTAAAAAGAATATTATTTCCACTGAATGACATTTCAGTTTGATTATTTATTTAAAAATGACTTCTAGTGAAAGAGTTCTAAGGAAAACTGTTAGGTATTGCAGTTATGAACTCAAGATTTCTCTTCTTTGTACCTTTTCTTTATTCCTTCACGTTCCCAGTGGAACATAGGGCTTCAAGCTAGAGTCTTGAAGTTTCTGTAGCAGTGTTCATTTTTACAGGATGGAGTTGCTAGCCTCATGCCCAACCTTTCCTCTTCACCGGTCTTATCAGTAACCTAGTGACGTAGAGGAGTGCGCCGGCCGGGGATCGAACCCCGGACCACATGCATGGTCGGCGAGCGTCCTAACCGCTATGCCACCGACTCTTTTCACCTTAGACTTATACAAATGTTACTCAGGCTATTATAAAATTATTTAAAATAATCCCAACGTGTTTAAAAAATCAAAACATAATTTTTCTGAATGTTTCGCTATGTAATCTACACTAGTTACTAACTAGTGTCCAATCAAAGTACCCAATACAGTCCTACAGGAGGTCAATCGCGAGCCTAAATAGCTCAGTGGTAACGTCACTGACTGCAGTACTTGGTGACACAGGTTCGAATCTCATAACGGACATGAGTTCCTTGAAAGTTGCAGATACGCCTTGCTGAGGAGTGCCAACTACCACGAAACCTAGGTTTAAGGCTTCCTGCTGACTGCCTTCAACCATTTAATATGAAGAATTAGAATTGCACCGTGATGGGAAGCTACCAACTATGGTGATGACACTGCAAAATTGACCGATAGAATTCAGTCTGCACCAAACAAAGAACTAGACACACTACACTAGTAAATAGCTAGCGCCCAATCAAAATCTACAGATTTGTCGGCAGAATTACTGAGATTTTATTAACCATCGAAATATGTAATCAAAAAATGCATAAATTTAAGTGAATTTATCAGAAGGTTACTATTGGCTTACACAGTGAGACTTTCAGAAAAAATCTTGTTTTGACTTTCTACACATGCTGGGATTATTTTAAGTAGTTCTGTAATGATTCAGCCTGACTTGGTACTCAAATTATTCTAGGAAATTCGCGTCATCTATGGTCTGGATATTTATAATGCTACTGAGACAACTCCGCTGCGTTTGTCGTTGTTAGTAAGATTGTTAATTTTAAGTTCTCAACGATTTTCCTGCTTGATCTTGTGTGAGTTAGTTGACAAGTACTACTGAAGAACTTGAAAGCAGTTGGAAAGATATGTCCACTTTTCATTGATTTTCTAGTTGATCTTTGCTCGAGACTCATTAGTCTGTTTAAAATTCTCTTATTTACGTTGCGTTAACAATGTTCTCTGCTATATATTTTGGCTATTAGTGTGATTGACAGTAGAACGCTCTCCGACCACACAGGTTGTTCGGGGTTCGATCCCTGACCGACGCGTTCCTGTACGTCTCTAAGCCAGCAGTAAAATTGGTAAAGAGGGGAGGTGTAAATCTGCTTCGTAATGCATTTTCTAAGACACATTTTTAAGTAAATAAAAGCAAATAAAGCTTTCTTATTTTCCTCAGATCATGTTATCAGTTAAATGAGACACTGTAACTACAAGTCTATTTTCAAGCAGGTCTACTGTAGGGTATTCTAAAAACCCAGTTTTTCTTAGCATTATCTATTGTTTCTTGATCCCCTAGCACTTATACAAATATCAAGAATATTGCATGCACACATACGATATTGTAATATCTGGCTAATTCATTCGCTTGAAGAAAATATTTAATTCAGATAATTACTTACCCATACACGAATTGTACAGTCATCAGATCCAGATATCCATTCACTTTGATTGTTACTATCTGTATTCGATGGCTTATAAATAATAGAATTCACTGGTCCACTATGTCCAATTAATTTATTCTGAAGATGCATCTCACCTCCATTTAAAGAAAATTTTCGAATATAGATACACCAGTCAGAACAGGCATAAGCGAAGATGTTTCTAGATTGAGGTAGGCGTTTTAAAGAAAAAATCATAAATAATGCAGTAAAACAAATATTAGTTACCCAACGATATACATATATATATACATTTAGTAGGCACAACTTCATTATTTGGTTACAGGATTTCATCATGAGCTATCATGAGTTAGAGAACTATTGGAAAAATAGCTGGGAGTACTGGACAGCTGTTTCGTCCTAGTTTGGGACTCTTTACAGTACGCACCCACCCGGTTCATGGGCCATTCGATCGGGTCTCAGTGGCTTAATAATCTACGAGCTCGCCTTGTAACCAGAAGGTCCTGGGTTCGAATCCCTGTGGTGGGTGCGTACTGATTAAGAGTCCCAAACTAGGACGAAACAGCTTTCCAGTACTCCCTGCAGGTTTTCCAATGTTTCTTTAACTGATATCAGATCATGATGAATGCTGTAACGAATCAATCAAATCTCTACAAACCAATACTTGAACAACTTCATTATATAAGTATCAAGTATTTCTTAGTTGAACATCAGTTCGATTTTTACTACCATTCTAAACTTAATGGTCGGGATTATAATTAGATACAGATGGCTGATAACTGTTCATTTTATCGATTAATATACCACTTTGTCCATCTGAACTTACGAGGCGGAAGAAAATTCTTCATTCCGATTTTATACTTTCAGTGATTTGAACGTGAGTAAATTAGATTCCATTACAAACGAATTTCACTTTGAGAATTCATGGAAAAATGCCAAGTGACATCAAAGCTGTCCTATTCTAGTTTGAAATTCTCTAACTAACGAGGTATTCCTATAGGATGGCGGTGAGGCTGCATTATGAATACGTAGAATTTTGAAGTTACTGACCGTTAAATTTCGATCCAGAGGATAATTATTTGCCAGCTTTATGATGTGAGGCTGAATGGTTTGCTTCCGTACTGATATGTCAGTATGAACTGGTAAAAAGTTCGATATACGAACAAAAGGAATGTCGAGTGTCACATTCTGATGGTTTCTATAGTTGATTTTAGTTCACAACGAATTCAGTAAGTTCAGACTGAACAATTACCACTGAATTTTAGTATAAATACAACTAAGCACATATTGATTTACGTATTGTATAGACTTTAAACCTGCAGAGATAAATGTAATTCAATATCACATAGGTATAAAGTGATGCAAAAGAGAAACAGCCTTCACTAATGTAGAGCTTAAATTCTTATGTAAAATAAATCGATTTATGATACGTAAAGAAACGATACGAGTTTCGATTGAATTTCATATCAATGGAGAGGTCAGTTATCAAATCAACACTACTTGTTGTATTATGCCTATATAACAACAAGTATTGATTGTTAAAAAAAATGAATCAGTATTAAATTACTGAGAATAGTAAAGACTGTTTTGGTGAGTGCCTTGTTAGTAACAAACTAGTTATCTTTTAACTAAATTTAACAACATTTCTCTGCAAATAATGGTAGTTATTATGTTTTTGAAAAAAAAGTAAACGAAAGACTCTTATTATGCATTAACTTTGTTCGCACTAAATCACATTAGTGCTCTGTCAACGAAGCCTAATAATAGATAGATGACTTCGTAGTTCCCTTTTTCACCCAACGTGGGTGTGAGTGAAGCACAAAAATATTCTTCAGTGAAGTCAGTTATTTGCAAAGTGGTGGTGAAGTCCCACCGTTTCTTTCTTATCGTGTCCTGCTGGAAATCGTGAAAGGTACCAAAATGCAAGCATATGGATATGAGTGCATGGGAATCACTCACGTTAACTTGTGGTGATCAGCTAACACAGTGAGGTGATCTAAGGAAATGTACAGTCGTTTCTATAGATTCGGGTCATACAAAAATCATGGCTCGTTCGTATCGACTCAACTTAGAAAGCTGAATCATTTCATTTCATCAGAATGCTGGCAAGTCACTCCAGTGGAACCTTGAACAAAGTACTTAAAACCTAACGGCTGTATTCTGTTTTACTAGTTCGTCCATCACCTAGTCAAACTCCAGTTGCTTTCATCTGATTCGACTCGCTGAACTGAGTCTATCAGACTACACCGACAATTACCTTAGCGGCTAAAATAACCGTCCTGTGATTAAATCACTTAAGTCTAATTAATAAGCAGCAGTAGCGTTTGATTGGTGTCTATGTACTCATAATACTCATATTCAGTAGTATGTGGCATGTTTATGAGACACGGTTGGGTAAAATATGTTAATAAATTGTCCACGAAAGAAGGGAACCTCAACAACGAGAATGACTTAATTTCCAGCGATGACTTTTAATTTAGGCTAATTAAGTCTTTAAATGAATTCTAACTTCATCTGTATATAAAATTCTTAAAGTATGAATCAGATTAAATGGAATTCAATAAATAACTATAAAAGCTCTGTTAATATTAACTTGTAGCAGTGCAAGTTAAATACTTCGACAGATTCATACAGAAGAAACTAGGCAGTTAATCTGTGTTTCAGTATCGGTAAACAGATCGGGGAGAAACATGAATGTTTCATTTCAAATGTTCAAACAGTTAGTCTTAAACGTTTCAATAAAATTTTAAGAGAACTGTAGCGCATGAAGTCCAATCTACGGAAAATTATTCTTCGAAAACATAAACAAACTGCTGTCTGTGTTTGCTCTATAGATACTATAATAATATTTATTGTTGAATTGCTTTCTTGATTTCTTCAATTAACCTGCTGAATACCTTGACTTCGATAAGGTATTAATGTTTGATTTTTCACCATGTGATTGATTTATTTTCGATATATTTTGAAAGAAAAGACTATTTGGGAAAGTTTATATCACTTAATGGTAGATAGTACTGGTTGATATGAGTAATTAGATATTACTCATATTAACCATTAGTTCTTGTTGAACAGATCGTTTGTTTGGAGTGATGTACTGAGTTCGAGTCAGCTCAGATAGCCGAGTCACTTGAAACCACCAGAATTCTGGATGTCATCCCTGGCGAATCGTTAATGCACGAAGATCTCTGAACTTGAACGAACTGAGGTAGCAGAATTTAACCGACTCTGTCACTGATGACCTCTACCCCAAACGATTGAAGAGGCCATCCAGTGTCAAGGTCACTTCAGTCTGACTAGCAAGCACTACTCAATAAATCAGTAGTATGTAGCATCATGCAATTATGCGTGCTTTCTTGATCGCCACTTATGGTAGCGAGTGGTTTTGAATAACTTCAGTTTTCAAAGAAAATTGTGCTGAAATCTCACCCCGATTTGTGTAATCTCCCAATGGTGAATTTGATCACATTATATTACTTAGCTTAGTGTGTTGTTTTATAATGTTTTGGGTGAATACATTTACAAATTAATACAAAATGTAATCTTCTTACAGTTCAGGATCATATGCCATGTCTAATATAGCTCCTTTCGAGGCCTTCTGATTATCTTTCTCATCAGCGTCAACAGTTTCATGGAATTTATCAATTAAGGTTCCAGATTTTAAGTCCCATATACATATACGGCGATCCCAGCCAGAAGTTACCTATGTAATTTTCAATATACAAGATGACAAATAAGGTCTGAATTAAAGTTATTATTGTTTTATAAGTTATGTATGCAGTAAGAAAAAATCGATACAAATTTAACAGTTTAAATCTAGGATCAACTCTAGTGATTTAAGAAATGGCAAATAGAATTCCGACTAATATCACAGTGAATTTATTTATTTCTCTCAAATAATTCATGTTACTGCGACATTTCTCAAAACAGCTAAAGGTGCTTAGGTTGAATGTTAAGCGGAAAAATAAAATGAATTACGAATTTATTCATGAAGAATTTTAATAACTTAATCCCGACTGTTCTTTATTAGTTTATCTTACTGCCACTTAACCTTACCATTATATGCATTATGGTTTATGAGTGGTCAAAAAGAGGGAAAGAGAAAACTTAACAGTGAATGTTACACAGTGTTCGCTGGTTTGGTGATGACAAACTAAAAGTTATTAGTTTTACATTCATATACTAAAGACAACACTGAATAAACTATAATTAATTTATAAGTAAAATTTTCGTATGATACTATTAAAATGTTCCAACAATTTGGATAAAAATAGAATAGTTGACATTTTTTCGGTACCTTTGACAACTTCGTTCATTTCATACTCATCCTTATTGCACTAAATCCTTTATTTCTGAAGGCGTGAAATATATATATATACCCAAGTACTCACTGTGTTTATTTTTTGTGCAGAAGTTTACTGGACGGGGAAACATATCTTCTTATGATAGTTTAGTGAGTTCACGTCTAAATGCGTTCCTAACATCTGAGAAACTAAGAATTTTGGAATGCTAGGTATTGGAATTCCCTCACATCACTTACAAGAGCTGTCTTTACCCTATTTTTGCTGTAGGGTTTTCTTTTAAAACACTTAATAGTCTCTTTTGGGTGCTCAAAGTATTGATATTTGGCTTTGCACTTCTAAAAAACAGTCAATCAAAGGAAAATTGCATAAAAGCCAGCAAACTGAGCAACACAGTTATTCAATCCATTTCATTTGAAATTACACATTTGATCATGATCTATACCAAAAATTTGGTGTTCTGTCAGATGCATTTCAGAAACAATCCAGTTATAAATTACAGCCAACTTTATAGTTAATCAAAACAAATGATTCAGCGAAGAGACTCTTTTCAACGAATTTATCATCAAGCTGTACAATCGTATATATATGGTTTTTAAGAAGTTATATCCGGTGAGGGAATTGAAACATAGGTGTGAATGCATGAAATAATAATAATATGAAGTGCAATTAAAACTAAAATGTTTGTGATTATAATCGTAGTTAAAGGTCAAGTGGCAAAGCAAATTAATGTCATATATAGAATAATTCATAGGATGGATAGAACTTGAAAAAGGTGTGCAATTATAAGATTAGTAGACAAATCGAAAAAATAAAAACGTTACGTAATATTGTGTGAAATTTAATAGCATAGAATTTAATGTTGCATAAAGGAATTGATTTAGAATGACAAGTGGAACAAGTGAAATAATACCGGGGACAATTAAAAATGAGAGTAGTAATAGTAACAATTGACTTAATAAGGAGGAGTATACAAATTGAATAGACAAAAATGAAAAAATGGAGAGTTGGTAGAGCTAAAGTATGATTGGGGATTACCATACTTTAGCATAGAGGGATTAAGACCATGAAAGTTGGAGGGGTTGAACGAACTTCTTCTGTACACAGAGATCTGGCTTTTCTGTTTCGATAGCCAAAGCTTCAGCAATACAGATGAGTCGGGTACGTAGGGATTTGGGTAGATTACTCTTTGCCTTGTAGATGACTTTGAAGGCGGAGGCTATAGAGATAGGGTGATCATTCTCGACCAGATGTTCAATGATCGCGCTTCTTATTGCTCCACTACCACCTTTTCGTAACCATGCAGGATAGTGTTCTTGCACCCTCTTGGACAAAACTCGTGTCGAACGACCGATATACCTAGCTCCACAAGAGCAGGTGAATTGATAAACACACATAGAGTTGGTCAACAGCGGGATTTTGTCCTTCAGGTTATTGAACAATAATGGTCGACTAGAAAAGGCTATTCTCAGGGATGCAGCAGGGAATGTTCTTTTCAGGGATTGTGATATCCTCCGTTTCATGATATCGGAAGCTAAGTCCCCTTTGAATTCCAAGCTCATGTAAAGTGTCTTCTTGGGTACGGTTGATAACTCACGTTTTTTAGGATTTGAATGAATATTCTTATCTATAAAACGTGGTGGAAATCCATTTTCTATTAGGACTTTCCTCAAGATGTATAGCTCATCTTCCACAGTATCAGGGCTACATATGCGCCGAATACGAGTGGCAAGCGACCGGATCAGGTTTCGTTTTCGACCAATGGGTACCCAACTGTAGAAATTTGTCAGTTGACCATTCCATGACAGCTTGCGATAAATCGATCTTTTCAGGGTTCCATCGGTCCTTCTTGATAAGTTCACATCGAGGAAATGCATGCTAGACTCGTTCTCCATTTCGAGTGTGAATTTTATCGCCGGATGGCAACCATTAAATACATCTAATATATTATTTAAGTTACAATCACTATTACAAATAATAAAGGTGTCATCTACGTACCTTTTATACATTTGAAAACTTTGGATTATAGGCTTCAGCTGATCATTTTCTAGACTGGACATAAAACAGTCTGCAAGGAGAGGACCCAAGGGAGAACCCATTGCAATACCATCCTTCTGTCTGTAGATAGCTTCATTAAAAGTAAACTGTACATTCAATGTACATCTCAGAAGTAGTTCTTTCAGATCTGTAGTGGGTATTCCTATATTCAATTTGTTGTCTTCTATATATTTGCATATAAAACATATAGTTTCTGTCAGTGGAACGTTCGTAAATAGGGATTCTACGTCCAAAGACAACATATGTTTATTCGACGCATTTATATCCTGTATACATTCAACAAATTGGAAGGTGTCCCGGAGAGAATGATTAGATAGCTGTTCCCTGACAGGTTCAAGGATTTCAGCTAGCCATCCAGCTACTGGATGATAGGGCGATCCAGACATATCCAAGATAGGGCGGAGTGGAAGGCCAGCTTTGTGTATTTTCGGTAGACCGTAGAGTCTTGGTATTAGAGATCCTGTTGGTCTGATCTTTTCGTATAATTCTTCACGAATGAGATGATTGTTCTTCATTCTTTTTAAAGCTTCTGTAAGTTCTTTTTCAATTAAATCCGTCTTATTTTTCTCGTTCGGTTTCGAGAATTTACTGCTGTCTGAAAGTAGACCTGACATTTTGTCGATATAATCCTTACGATCCATAATAACAACACCTGCACCCTTGTCAGGGCGTGTTAGTAATATATCGTTGTTATGCGTCAAAAGTTTAAGTTCTTCTTTGTGCTGTTTGGTCAAGAGACTTTGCATTTTTGATCTTGCATTAAGGTATTGATTGCAAGAGTCAGTGATTGTAGATTTGAAGCATTGGAAGTCCTGTTCTGACGATGGTGTGAGATCATAAGTTTGACTGAGTAGATTCTCAAACTGGACATGTGTATTTAGCTTGTTGATATTGAGATTAACATCGCAAAACTTCGAACCCATTGACAAGGCTTCCATTTGCAATTTTGATAGGGATATGGAAGAGTGATTGAACACGTATCTCTCACAATTTTCAGGAAATTTTCGAAGACATTCGATAGATTTTAGGCTATTAGATAGCTTAGAATTAAAAGACATTGTTTGTTGGTTGGTGACCACGTTGACATATTCATTAAACGTTTGACGTTCTTCAATCGATAAGTCATATAGAGCAGAAGATCTTTGCGATATATTCCTTTCTAACTCAGGGATTCGTGAACTAATAGAGTCAATGTGATTTAATGTGTGTCTCTTGAGAGATTTTGCATTGGGATATATGTGATTGCGTCGGAGAACTTTCCAATACCATTTCGGATACTCATGATTATTGATGCATTCATTAAGAAAACAAATCTCCGCATTCACCACGGCAAGTTTGACAGAATAACGCAGAAACCCATTGAGTTCCTTTACTGTCGAGGGGTCTTTGCTATTTTTTAAATCATGGAAAATTCCCATTGTAACATATAGAAAATCAAAACAAATGATTCAGCGAAGAGACTCTTTTCAACGAATTTATCATCAAGCTGTACAATCGTATATATATGGTTTTTAAGAAGTTATATCCGGTGAGGGAATTGAAACATAGGTGTGAATGCATGAAATAATAATAATATGAAGTGCAATTAAAACTAAAATGTTTGTGATTATAATCGTAGTTAAAGGTCAAGTGGCAAAGCAAATTAATGTCATATATAGAATAATTCATAGGATGGATAGAACTTGAAAAAGGTGTGCAATTATAAGATTAGTAGACAAATCGAAAAAATAAAAACGTTACGTAATATTGTGTGAAATTTAATAGCATAGAATTTAATGTTGCATAAAGGAATTGATTTAGAATGACAAGTGGAACAAGTGAAATAATACCGGGGACAATTAAAAATGAGAGTAGTAATAGTAACAATTGACTTAATAAGGAGGAGTATACAAATTGAATAGACAAAAATGAAAAAATGGAGAGTTGGTAGAGCTAAAGTATGATTGGGGATTACCATACTTTAGCATAGAGGGATTAAGACCATGAAAGTTGGAGGGGTTGAACGAACTTCTTCTGTACACAGAGATCTGGCTTTTCTGTTTCGATAGCCAAAGCTTCAGCAATACAGATGAGTCGGGTACGTAGGGATTTGGGTAGATTACTCTTTGCCTTGTAGATGACTTTGAAGGCGGAGGCTATAGAGATAGGGTGATCATTATCGACCAGATGTTCAATGATCGCGCTTCTTATTGCTCCACTACCACCTTTTCGTAACCATGCAGGATAGTGTTCTTGCACCCTCTTGGACAAAACTCGTGTCGAACGACCGATATACCTAGCTCCACAAGAGCAGGTGAATTGATAAACACACATAGAGTTGGTCAACAGCGGGATTTTGTCCTTCAGGTTATTGAACAATAATGGTCGACTAGAAAAGGCTATTCTCAGGGATGCAGCAGGGAATGTTCTTTTCAGGGATTGTGATATCCTCCGTTTCATGATATCGGAAGCTAAGTCCCCTTTGAATTCCAAGCTCATGTAAAGTGTCTTCTTGGGTACGGTTGATAACTCACGTTTTTTAGGATTTGAATGAATATTCTTATCTATAAAACGTGGTGGAAATCCATTTTCTATTAGGACTTTCCTCAAGATGTATAGCTCATCTTCCACAGTATCAGGGCTACATATGCGCCGAATACGAGTGGCAAGCGACCGTATCAGGTTTCGTTTTCGACCAATGGGTACTTTATAGTTACCCAATTGTTTCTAAGTTTTCGAGTAGATTTACTTGTTTAAACTTAATTTTTAAATAGGTACTTTTCATTGATAGAAGTGGACTAGTAGTCGCTGCAAAACACTTATTTCATTTAAACACTCTTCAGCTTCTAAGCAGGGCATATTACGATATCAAAGAATGAAGCTGCAATTTCACTAACGATAAATGTTTCTTCAAAGCTGAATAAAAAGTATGCATCTCCCTACTATTATGAGATCTGAGTTCGTCGCCAGCTATGTAGAGATACCCCCTTGATCGTTGAATACTTAGTGAAAGGTTTTCCAGAAACTTGCATACTGATAATTACGTTACAAAAATGAATGTTGTTCTTTAGGATCTTAATTTCCTGAAGAGTTGAAAGTGAGGCTAAACAGCTATAGTGTCATATCAAACAGACATACAGTACTTTTAAAAGATAGTATATTCAAGATTTCATTTTACTAGCAGTAATATATTAGTACAATCTGATTCTTTGTCTTGAAGAACTGTATACTAGAATATACGTATATATTCAACTGTTGAAGTTATAGAATCATTATGTACAGATTGGTTTTCGGTAGATAAATCTGTGCAATGAAGCGTTGTCCCTCACCTTTTACATAACATCTAAGAATTGAGAGATATCATCTAACTCTTCTGAGACTGTGAAACACAAACATGGATTCCACTCCACTTCAGTCTGTCGCCTCTGTTATTATTATTTTGATAGAAACTGATCAACTTTACACCTCTTAATACCTAATCCTTTTCTCAGTTTCGTTCATTTCAGCCTTACACCTAATAATCGAGCTAACTAATTTTTAACATAAATAATATGATTAAATTATTTCCAGTGCCGCTAACTGCCTTTTTACTCGATATAAATAAAACTATGTAGATTGAGAGTGAGTCTTGGCTGAATACTTCTTTAATACTTATAAATAAATTGGCATATTTCGTCAGAAAAGTGAATATATATATATATGTATAAGAAATAAAACAAAATAAACGCTCATTTCTAGTCTTCAGAAAATTTGAACTAACTAACCAGTACAAACTGATGAATAGGATCTTCTGGATACTTTATGATCATTAGACTTGTGACAGAATCTTTGTGTCCCATTAATACAAAGCGACATTTCATTCCAAATAGATGTCGACTGACAGATTCTAAAGTCTGAAATTATTCATGGACATAACATCAGTATGCATGTTATATGGGTATTCATAGTATGGCAAACAAAAATATAAGCTTTAGTAAATCTAAAGTAAACAAGTAAAAATATAAATTTACTCTTATAAAGAGAGAAATGGATTAGTAGGCTTCATATTAATTATCTACGAACTGAAAACTTTGTAGATTGACATCCAAGATGTCTAAAGCAATTATAATTCGTTCTTTTGAAACTATGCAAAGAATGTCACTACCTCACGATAAATTAAACCCTGGAGATGTTGTATAGAAGGACAACCAAAAGCTCCTCAATTAAACCACCCGGTTCAGAGATCACAACCGCATCAATCATATCCACGTAAGTAACAAATCTTCTTTATTATTGCATATGAACAGTCACTCAAATAGCAGTTGAATTAGTCAGAATGCTTGTCCATAATACTGTATCAAAATGCTTTGCTTTTTCTTAAATAACCCGTGACTTTTATCTCTTTTCTTTGTTTCAGATTTCCCTTACAGAAAGCTATTTCCAAAAATAAAATGCATCTGAACGTTTAGAAGAATTTACTTCAGAATACATATATATATGTATATATTAAAGGAAATGATTGTTTATGTTTTTTCCTGTGCTTTTAGGTTTCAGCAGTGAGTGGATTGATTTTCCGGTGCAAGGTCCCTAGCATCATGCCCAACCTTCCTTGTTTTCCCGGACTTAGAGCAGGCTAATAGGCTAATGAACTAGTTGTGCGTCTGAGAGCGACACGAAGGAGACCAGGTAAGAAGGAGATGAAACCTTAAGTACAATCCTGCAGCCAGCTAAAAAGAATTTCAGAAAACAGAGAGAAATTTAGATCTACTTCTTATGTCCTATTTTCTACTCGGAACTTAAGGGTATAATATTTCATAATAATGAGGGAAACGATAAACTTCGTTTTATTCTTCCATATTCGGCAATTTTCCATGAAGTTTTATGCAAAATGATGCATTCAAATATATGAAAGGTGAAGGTATAACATTGTCTATGTTGATGTATTTTAGTTAAATACTTTCCTTTCAGTATGATTTACCTCGTGGCCACTGTATTTTTTAATAATAATAGCTTTATTCCAAACATTACTTCTGATACAAATATGGAATTTTCAGCATGTAATCAAAATATTGCATATAATTTTCTTATTACATGGGCAATAATTAAAATAGAGGTATTTACATTAATAATATTGTTCAATAAGAAATAAATATAAAATTAAATCAAGTGAAAATATCAGCGACAATGTAAAATGCGAACAAAAAAAATACCGTTTACTTAGAGTTTCTTATGAAGTTGGTAATTTCCTATCCTACACTTTTCTAATCACATAAAACGTGTGATAAATAATAATAATTTACTTTATTCCAAATGAGGCATTGTACAGTTTTTGCACTGAGTCATCCGAGCATAAAGTCTTCTATAGTTACTTTTAGTTCTACTCGATAAGATGCAAGGAGAGAGTTATATATGGAGAGGATGTTTAAAGTCTGACAGGACAATATTTGCTAATTTGACATATGTCGATTTATATTACTCCCAATTATTATTATTATTATTTAGCATAAGGTCAAAGGATTACACTGATTTTAACTATCGAGCATTCACTGATTTTGTTCTAAACAGCGTTCTTAAAATTCCTGCGAATGACTTCGTTACTTGCTCGAAATGTAATTTTTTTCTCTTCAGTACGTTGGGCACTAATATATATATATATACAAAGTATAATTATATTTAAGGTGTTACATAGAAGGTTTCGGAAGGCTTTTTGAAATTTATAACCAAGTTTTAAAATAGTGCACTTCGTTTATATAATGCTCTTCAGGAACATTTTCTGTTGATTAAAGTGACTAATAACACCTAATAATGACGTTACTAGCTTAATATCTCAAGGAAAAGTTTATCATTCTTCGTAAGAAAATAAAGCTAGTCATATGGAGCTGATTAGTGTCCATTACTTAATGATAAATGACAATCCACTAGATTCAGATTTTGAAAAAGAAGGTAAGCCAAGACAACAGATAAACTGGTTTTGCTTTAAATGATAGTACGTGAACACAACAAATCATTCATTGTATGCTTAACACACGCCACTTCTCATCTTACTTGTCTGTCATCGGCCATTTGTATCAAGGGATTTGATTTCTTACGTATACAACTGTTTATCTTATCGCTATTGTCACTACGTTGGTTTGTGCTTTCTTCTTGTTCACTATTTCCTTCTAATTTATTAAATATTTTTAATAATTTTGGTGAGTTGAGAATTTTTTCATTGGAATCTCCTGTTTCAGTAGAATCCCTGATTTGGAGAATATTTTCTGCATGATGGTCCAGGTGATCCTTTTCATCAGTGAATGATGCATTGGTTAAGAATTTCTTGGTTGCATTTAAATCATAGCCAAGTACATCTGAAGTAAAATGAAGTTAATGAATATCATGTGAATACTATTCAGATAACTTAAAATTAACTGGATTTTCATTCCATTGTTAGACAAATTAGACTGTTTACAATTCACAAATCAATGTCATCATTGTTAATTATTGGGGAATACATTTCGATAAGAAATCTTAATGTTCTTTGTGCAAAGTTCAACAATAACGACCCAAGGGATGGGGACGCACGAGTGACCTCCAGCTGACCAGTCATAAAAATGAGGAATTTTTGCACAAAATATGACGTATATTTACAAGAAAATGCATGAGAACACATTAAACAGGGTATTTTTCCCTGACATTACTTAAAAATAGGTCCCAGTAATAATGAGGAGTATCAGTTACTAAGTTAGACTAATTTCCGTACATGCATTCACCGTGATGAAAATGATCAGCTGTGTTTGTGAATCGCTCATCTTTCTAATCCTGTTGTTTGGTCTAGTATGCGTTCAAGGTCATTGGAGCTTTCGCACTTTTGGGACGCTATTGTTGAACTTCGCCGTTCTTTTATTAATTCATAGTATACCATTACATTTTTAATGTCTAACGTGGTTGCAATGAAACTGTCTGTGCATTTAGTTGGTGGATGTTATATTAAAATAATCACACTGGTCCTGTTGTAATTCTATTACCTCAGTGTGACTGGGAAAGCCTTTAAGAATTCTTATCTGATGATATTTTTATTTTTTTATTTTGATTACAGCTTGATGCCACGCCGTATTTTCAGTTAAGTATGGAATTTTCAGCATGGATATCGGTAGCCCAAATTTACAGGCCGACCATAGATATTAGGTGTGCGTCGGCAGGGGATCGAACCCCAGACCATATGCATGGTCGGCGAGAGTGCTAACCACTGTGCCACCGACGCACTTTATATTAAAAACTTTACAGTCTTAATTCGGTCAATCGAGAATTGTTACTCAAAACACACTTGCAGTGTTGGAGTTTTATTTATTTGCGTTTTTAGAGTATAATTATGGTTAAGTGGTGAAGATGGAATTCGATAATGAAGTTGCAGACATTTCTGGTAGGAAATTCAAATTGATATTAGCAAGTTATTTATTTTTTAAACATAGTTGTGAATGATTATGCATAGTCTTTGTTAACGTCTAATCGATGAAATCTAGTGTTCTAATGAGAACACGAAACTATGTTCACTAAAATAGTATTCTCAATCTTATGATTTACCTCGTCTTATAAATTAAATTATTTATTTAATTTTCTTATTACTGACGGATACGGTATTTCGATTCATTACTGAATGGTTGTAGATAAAGTCGACATAGTAACATAAATATATTTTCAGTACTTCAAAATTCACGATTCGAACTTAAATGTTAGCTGAAATCTTAGTAAACAAACCGTATCTTTCGAAATATGAAACGGATTCATTTTGTGACAAATGATTGCAATCGGCTGTATATAACCTGGATGTCTATGTTTGAAGACACTTAATGTACACTTCGCACTAGCAAAGTTGGGACCGAAACAAACATTTCACCTGTTTTCTACTAATATTGTACATCGAATTGTGTTCTATATTCAACTAATTTTTCACTTGTTAATTTGACTTTCTATCACGCAGTCAACTCTTCCCGGGGTAACTGGAACCAACAGTCAAAGACTTCATGGGTCGGTGCTATGTTTTGGTCTTACTACCACTAACTATTTTACTAACCTGTTCTGATTCAGTTTGCACTAATGTTCGAGAGGTCTGACAGATTTTTGTGCATAACACATGCTCTGGATATCTTATTCGATGCAGCTTGATAACTTGAGTGATTGACTTTGACCGTGGACATAGCCTCATTTCACTGACCATATTCATCCACTTTCCACAGTAGACTCAATGGAGATATATCTGGTTAAAAGACAGTTAATCTTTTCATATCTTCCACTTTTAATGGCTATGTTTGACAGCCCTAAACACAATCTAAGCAAAAATAAATTCACTTTATGCCATAGGTGTTCTTCATAATGCATTTAGGATCATAAAACAAACAGGAAATCAAGTGTAGTAATGAGTTGTCTCGAATCATTCTCACTTCATGAAACGTAGCTGTCATGGCTCAGCAAACAGCCAAATAACATAGTGGCGTTGGAGACGACAGGTGCTGTGCTTAAGTATTAAATTTAACCACTATATTTGAATGTGATCTAGTTACATCCGTTTGACTAGTCCACAGTGCGATGGAACCCGCGTTCTACATGTCAATGTAACTGACAATCAGAAAGGTTACACCAAGTTTAGAAATAAGTGCAGTCTCAAATAATTTAAGGGTGATAAATTGAGTTCACGTTTATCAAATGGAAATCAGAAGTATAAACAAACGGTAAAACAGACTACTCAATATATTACAGTTTATTCACTTTGTTTGGAACTCATATACTCACACTGCACATATAATATAAAAGCATTTAACATTTACCAATGAATAACTTACATACCACTCCGTCTTCACATGCTGCAATAAGAAAATCCAACTCGTCTACATAGAGCATACGTAAGAAATTTTTTCCTCTAGCCTGAATGTAAGTGAAATAGAAAATAATTCATTGCTTAGCTAATTCTAAATTTTGAATTAAATTTAAGCTAATCTTCAGCAAAAACAGATATCAATCGAATTAAACTAGAATTTAGTATCAATTGATTATTTACTTCAGACTGCCAGAATTTTTTAATCTTGTGCCTTCTGAGTGGAGCGTAGGACTCTGAGCTTGAGATTTGAAGTTTCAGTAGTGGTGGTGTTCGCCTTTACAGGATGAGATTGCTAGGCTTACGCCTATCCATTCATTTTTAATGGACTTACTGCCGGTTAAGTGACGTCTATGTGTCCTACCCGGTAGTCAAACCTGGACCATGTATATGATTGGTGACAGTTCTACCATTCAACCACGGAAGCATAAAAATTTTTGGACTGAGACTCATTGCTGAAACAAAAGTATTATATCTACTTGTTAAACACACGTTATATTAGATAGTTGGAGGCAGTCGGCAGGAAGCCTTGGACCTAGGTTTCGTGCTAGTTGGCACTCACCAGTCAGCAAGGCTTCCTGCCGATTGCCTCCAACTATCTAATATCATCAAATCAATGTGCACCGTGATGACGAGCTACCTAGAATGGCGACCGCATTGCAAACCTGACTGATAGAATTCAGTCTGCACCAAAGAAAGGACTAGACACGTCATACTAGTTACCAGCGTCCAATCAAAACACTTAATATGTCTGAATATCATCATATCTTAGCTTCATTCTTCCCTGTTGAAGGTAAACAAACAGTTACCCAGAAGTATTTTGATAGATGTTCAAAAGCATATCACTATGATGACATTTGAGAGCAGATGATATCAAACTGGTTAGTACAAACTAAGAAGTGTTTAGAATAGAAGTTGATCAGCCTTACTCAAATATTGCTAGAAAGAGTTTCCTCATATAATTTATTTTATCTTAACTAATTGTAAACCTTTCATCTGGAAATAAGTGAGGAAAACTATAAAAAGACAATGTAAGCTGAGGATATTATTCTTGTATCAAAATATTTCATTTTTGTACCAGTTAGTTGACCTTAAATATAAAAAATAAGAAACAAGAAATAAACTACCCGCATATATTATTTAATCACTAATTCTTCCGTTGATAATTCTTAGTTACAAATTGTGCGACTTCTACTATAAGGCGTCATCACTTTAAAGCGTGGTGAAAATTTGAAACAAATTAAAGAATCTTTTATTGATCCCATTAAGTGATAATCTTTTTTCAACCTCTCATATAAAAACACCACTTTTATGCGTTTATAACTCAGAGTGGAATGAAGTGTACATTTTCTATCATAATGGAACTTATTGACCCTATGTAGGTGAATCCCTACTGTACACTGTTGCGTTTATCTGAACGTGAATTCAGAACTCACCATGTCAGGTAGTATTGTTGACTAGGTCTAATCTATCTCATCATATTTCTATTGTTTCCTGACCTTTTAAGTCAGTTAGTATTAACCATATTTAATGACAGACCAGTGCAGAATAGTCAAGATTTCAAAATAATTTATTAACCTTACTGATTTGTCGTTGCTACATCGGCTCCGTGAAAGGATATCTAGGTATTGCCAGGATAAATGTCCTGAAGCTACTTGTATACTGGTGGAGAGCAACAGAATCTAGGGCGCATTTTCAATCTTATTTCGGGGTCCATCAGATAAATATACTTTCTCCATAGTGAGTTGTGGTGTTTCTACTGAGACTCAAACCCAGTATCCACCTCTTAAAAAGCCAAAGCGTTATCCACAAGAGCTGCTTCCTGTGCACTAGTTATGATTTGAAATTATTAACCCATATTTGTAATTTTCCACTGATATATTTTTGGAACGAATTGATCAAATGATCAACTGCATCTTTCATATTTAATTTATTCTTAAAAACAAATTCGGCTGTTTACAGCAGTCCAGCAATTCCGAAGTTCATGTGAGCACATTTTATGTAATGCGATGCAATTTGATTTCGTAAACACTTGTGCGATTTCAGTTCTAAGTAGTCACGAAGAAACCGATTTTACATCTTTTCAAGTTTTTCTATTCATTTATAATTGTGTATCTTAAGGGCAGTCAAATACTACCACAGAAAAGTATATTTTAAAAGTTTACTTAAGGGTCTTCTCACAGCTGTATGGAAAGAATTTCCAACTTGTTTCTTGAACAAACAAACCGCGGTTTCAATGTGTTTTTACGACTTAATATAAACAAGGAAACTATTGGAAACTGGGAACTACTCTTCAGCAGCGTGTGTTCACCACTCCATGTGTGACCGGGTTCTTGACAAACAAGTTATATGGAAAGCAAATTTCTACCTATAGTGACACTAGCGTTAGATTGAAAGCATTTGAATTTCTTAAAAGCCTTCGTTCCACTTCCTGCAATGTTTTTCTACTGGATTAAAAGACTTTTGGGTAGGACGGATAGTTAAAATACTGATCAGAGATTAATCAACTACATAAAGACATGCAAACTCTTGTTGAATAACGAAATTCACTCCACAAAAACATGTAGGACTTTAGTAAACCCAGCGGTTTGAAAAAGAGGGATTCAATAATTAAGACCACTTGTATTTATGTTACATAAAATAAATTGAATATTCTGATCTTACTTTCAATTACCAGTTTTCACTTATACCACATATATTGTTCCTTGTTTTACTGTTAATTATCCTTAAATAATCCATACTACTGGATAGCCCCTCTGCTTGCTTTAGAAAAGACTGCCATTTCATATTACTTTGTATTCTATAATGGCATTCAAACCTAGTCTTATTTATAGTTTATGCTTAAATGACGTGTAAAACTTAAATACTCACCTGTGAGATATTAAAGAAATACACGTTACGCAAGGTGTGGCTTGACTTAATCTTTACAGTGGGGATTTCAACATTCTCTACTGAGTAAAATACATTTTATGGTTGCTTCGTGTGACATAACATCGAGTTATTTTATAATTTCGTCATTAATAAAATTAGTGTTAATGACCCTGCAACTGCCAACTGTTTGATCGGTTAATAAAAGCGTGATGAAAAGTGTTAACTTGTCCTTTCCAACTCTTATTCTTAAATATGCATTGTACTCTCTGAACTGTGGAACCTGATGAAAGTCATCAAATTTTCCCCCTCTTATACTATTCACCCTCAATACTTGAAACAGCTCTTTTCAAAACTGATTACAAAATTAGTTCTTTTTCATCAGCTTATTTATACTCAACATAAAGAACGCTAGTAGGTGCAGAATAACGTACAACTTTTTGGGAATCGGACTGGGACTGCATTAAATAATACTTTTGTTAGTTAAAGAATTTCATCATGAGCTGACAACAGTTAAAGAACCATTGGAAAACCAACTAGGAGTACTGGACAACTGTTTCGTCCTAGCTCAGGACTCTTCATCAGTACTCTCCCGCCACCAGGGTTCCAACCCGAGACCTTCTGGATGCAAGGCGAGCTCGTAGACCACTAAGCCACCGGGACCTAGTCCAATGACCAGCCCATGAATTCTAACTTCTGCCAATTCATGACATAGCGTGACCACTTCTCAATCTCTTGTTCGATGAACAACTGTCCTCACCTTCAACCTGCTGCACCCTACTTATCACGTCTTCCCACTAGAACCCCAGGTCACTAAAATCCCTACAAAAGTCAATACTTGAAAATACTTCTATTAGTTTTTGTAGATACACAACTATGATGACTGCATAAAAATAATATGATAAAAATGATCAGATATGATATTACCTTGTTAATTGTTACTTCCTTTGAATTACTGTTGGGTACATTTTGAATATGAGTGTCAACTGGTGTGTTCATCCTTGATTTAGCTCTGATCGGTGATTCATGTCGATAGTGTGAACAGGAGGTAACTGATCGTTTCGATGCATGAACAGAGCTTTTGTTTAAGGATGTTATTGACGGTGAAGTTGATAATAGCAAAGTCCTCGGTAATGATGATTTTAGTGCTTCTATTTCTCTAGTCTGAACAGTTTGAGTACGCATCTTTTCTTGAAGCCATTCAAACAATTTTTCTTCAATCGATTCATGAATCATTTCCTCTTGTTTCCTAAAATGTTGAATAAAATTATCACTCTGAGGTACGCAAAAACTAATTTAGTAACTCTTATCTATTGTACTACATTTTAGATATAATTCATCATATATATAGTCATATTAATATGCCTCCATAAATCTTATCAGTGGTTTTATAATGTTCTCTGTTACCTTTTGTCCATCATAAGCAGCATGAAATGAATAGAAAATAGACAGTTTCCTAGTATTCGTGTTGCAAGCTTTAACATCAGTATGCTGATCAGTAGGACTTTGGAAAGAATAAGAAATTAACTTGACGATCACTATGGGCCAATACTTCATATTCACAGTAAAATTCGGATAGATTTTATTAAAGAGTCAGTTTAAGCCTGACTTATACTGTCCTTAAATTGTAGAGTCTACATTTCATAAAGTCTGTATTTCACCAAAAAAACTTAGATGTCAAACAGTTATGAATAACTGGGGAAACATGAACTCAGCGAAATTTAGCTTTTTTTCAAAAGTTTACAGCAGATGAAAATATGTCACATGCACTTTGTGAAAATCAAAGCACATACGTTTTTTATACAGAAATGTTCACTGCTAAATATGCCTTGATATAATTCATATAAGTACTTAAACTTCAGGCTATTATACCCCACTTTTATAAAAGAGGGTTTAATTTAATTTCCACATAAGATAATCCAGAATCTAAGAAGAGGTCCAATAACTGAACAGAAGAAATATTGCCCTTTAAAGTGGAAGGGATTTGTAGTTCACAGTCTGGAAGGCTCTAAATTATTTTTAAGTGACACTGGAATCTGTCAACTGTGTTAACAAATTGGGTTTTTATGATAAATATATCAAATCGTTTGACATCCAAGCACTTTCCACAAATGTTGAACACACAAACTATTTGTTTTCCCTTCAGATAGATAGAAGATGACGACCTGGATTTTGGAATACTAAATTCACTAATGAATTAATAAGCACTTAGATACATTCTGAATGCTCAGCTTATATTCACTGACACAATTTATACCAAGGTGACATAACTATTGGATCACCGTTACACCCATTGTCAAAGCAAGTATGGAAAACGGCCCATTGAAATTGACGAAAAATGCTCAACATCTTTGTGGAATGTTTGCCCATAGCAGTAAATATCCTTTGAATCATGCTACGCAAGTGTTTTATGAAGTAAAGAGAGGTCGCTTCTTAGCTGCTGCATTGCCAAAGTCCTAGTCATCCACGTGGAAAAGCCGATTTTACAAACACATAAAAGAAACTGGTCCAACCGCTTATTCTCTTTCACTCTTAATTTCAAATTTAATTCCTTGTTTGCTCAGTCAAAATTAAATTACACTTGCTTATTTTGTTCTTTTCATCTTTTTAGAGATGTTCATTCACCCTTACTTCTATGGTTTTAATAATTCAGTATTACGTCACCGCTGGTACTAACTGATTAGTTTTCACGACTCATTTTTACCTTTTTGACTTTGATTAATTTATGATAGGAATACTCTTCTGTTGCCATGGCTAACCAGCTACTTTGATCAATACGTGGCACATCTCATATATATATGCTAATGTACAGACAAATGGTAATTCTAGTATTATTATCAAAGAAATCGTATTTTAAACATTATCCATTCAACAATGCTATATCGTTGCATGTTATATCAAATGAACTTGCTTAAGATGGAATTATACTCCATCAGAGTACCCGTTAAAAATAGTATCTTGTTCAATATTATAAGCTTTAACTTCTGAACTGATTTTTTTGTTTATTTTCCTGAAAGTGGCACAAAAATTTGGTTCAGTTGTCAGATTTCATTTGAAATACTAAAATAATCTTGGAAACAGTGACCCAGCAGTGGAAAAGCCCGAGTTTTGTTAAATTAAACTCAGGAAATTTAGGTCTACACCACTTCATATAGTGATGTTATTATCCACCAATCCGAATACAAATTACTGACATGTTCTGTATTACACATAAAGACGTCTTATCAGAACTTTCACAGACAAATTTTGATCATAGTAAGTGATACTATTTCAGCTACAGTTTGCTTGTAGATAGTGAGTCGTACATCAAATATTAGAGTGCTTAAATACTCAATAACACGTGTACAACTCATCACAAAGTCTTTGATAAAATGGCAGCAAATTGTTTATCAGCAGTATATTGTCTGTCTCATTTGATAAATTTCCCTTTTGAGTAGAGAAATATAGGTGCAACCCTGCTACCAAAATAATTCTCGGTTTTCAGTATGTTGCCAAATTAAATATACACATCGAGATATGACTAAATTCAAACTCTGGTATAAAGCATTTGCCAAATGTTTAAAACAAACAAACTACTATAGGATATAGTTAAGAACAGTGCAAAAATTAAATGAATATTTTAAATATACATATACACATACATATAAGAAAAATGCGTTTGACCTTTACGTTCCCATCTTAATAGGTGATTGTCAGAACCAGAAGAAAATAAAGAGAAGGGCGGTTTATAACCTGTTGCGACGTAAACAGAAGAGAAAACATGAAATGTAAACAAACCACTAGTCATTTAACCTTTCTTTTTTGGAAAGGAATTCATTTGTAAATATTTTGTGTAAATAATTTGTCTAATTTAGTCAACTAGGATTAAAACTCAATTTCCTTGAGGCTAGTCAGTTTTAATACTTACTTTTCATAAACAAAATATTAACTGAATATTGCATATATGCATGGCAAAACCTTCAGAACAGGATGTCACAAAAAGTAGGCGCAGTCAGTAAATTTCAACTGAATGGCAAAAAGCACCTAGGAGAGTCAGTATGGCAACAGCTCCGAAAAAAACTGTTGTTAATAAAACTGCAGTTCCTCGCTGACAACATCAGCGAAATAATAACATTGCGCCTGAAGAATGCAGTTAAAAGAGCTTATTATTCAGCAGAGGTACTTTGTCTCTTGACAACCAACCGTATTCTAAGTTCGAGAAATAAGGATAAACTACCTAAATTTGCCTCCTCTATGTGTATCTACCAATTTTACTGCACCTGTGGAGCCAGCTACATCGGGCGTACAATTAGGCAAGTTCATCATCGTATTTCAGAACATCCTCCAGCATGGTTAAGCAAAGGACAAAGAAGATCTATTCGTAGCTCTATTTTATCACACTTTGTAGATAGTGAGCATAAGGTTGACCTTAATACAGCATTTGAAATAATTTATCGCATTCCTACTAACCTTAATTTTGCTTTACGAGTTCGTCTTCTACATACTGCTGAAGCAATAGGAATCCACTTTCCTTACCTTGGGCATCGTTACATGAAAGTATAAACCGGACTACTTCTTCCCCCTCCCCCTAAACCTTTAAAAATCATAACTGTCCAAATTATTTTATTATCTTTCTTACCACTTCATCTTTAACTGCATGTTGTCATTGTCCAATTCGTTTTATTTTCTTTAACAATCTGTAACGTAATCAACTTGGGCACACGCTTATTCCTTAATTACTCTTCATTTTTTTCCAAAACTATGCATTACGCAATCCATGTGTTGCAACCATTTCTACCGTTTAATTGTGTGTATTAATTTTCTTCGTTAATTATCACCCCATTGACATGTGGATACTGAATAATTATTGCTAACAAACATGTAGCCACTTGATCGGTAAATTGCTGTATATTGTAATAAAAGTGCTATATATATATATATATATATATATATGTATTAGAGTAGAGACCGAGATGAGGATCTAATTGAAACGTGAGCATTTCTTTGCTCAATCCTTTTGCTTTCTAAAATGCACAAAAGTTAGGTCTACTGCCTCTTACACCTAAGACCGAATTACAATTCTAAACAGTAAGCGTCAGTAAACTTATATATATACACTGCAGTGAAAAAGTTTGATAAATATACAAAAATTATTTGCGACTAGTCATTTTTATGTTGTTTGATCTGTTTAGCTTATTCACTTTACTAGTGAATCATTCAGTCTACATTTCTATAAAATAAGGTACTGAGTAAGTATGTAAGTCTGGCAACTTCACTCTGTTTCTCATACATGAAGAAAGTATTGATTCTGTGCTTTCTACAAGATTACATGATATTCCTCAACTGTTGTTATAAGCAGTCAGCATTTAATACAGTAAGTAACTCATAAAATAAGGCAGTATATATATATATATATATATATATATAAGTTGACAAAATCGAATGCAGTACAAAAAGGTAACCTAACAGTATAATATAAAATCAGAATGGTGATTAGACTACTTTTAAATAACACTTCCCAAGCGTTTAGTCACCTAGTAAGTAAGTTAACTAAATACTAATTTACTTGCACAAAGACACTGGATTCCACTTTCAGTCTGCAATGTTAGCGCACTTGATTCACTATTATACTTCCAGATAAGTAAATACTGACGACTTGTAGAACCTATAATGAAAGGTAAATATTTTTGCATTAGTTGTAACCTGGATACTTAATTAGGATAAATATGATGGGTACTGACATAAAATAATCAGAGTTATTTCACATATTATTTAATTTACTATTCTAAAAACATGTTCAAATAGAAAAATAATCTATCATTAGTTCTTTATGATGACAGTATTCATTAAATGCTCTGTAATTCAGCACTTTAAGCTACTTTTGTTGTGGTGTGATACAGACAGTGTGTTCCAACGGAATATTATTCTCACATATTCTGACAGTTGAACACTGAATTAGCGACAGAATACTATATGTATTTCAACATTCTATTTCATGTCGTTTAATGTAAACTAAATTCGCAAGCTCTGTGACTGTTTAAAGAATATAAACTGTATATTTATAAACAGCGGTTTGATCACTTGAAAATTTACCTTGGTTTCCGTGTCTAGCCTTCTGCTGTTACACTCTTAATGAAATGATCTCTTCTCGACTTCATAGAATAGTGGATTATGGGAAGCCGTGCATAATCGCATTTTTGGGTCTACACAAAAATTCGACAGTGACTTTAGAATTTAAAATATCTTACGTTTTGATTTATTTGAACTGATGAGAGGAGAATTCTGTGGAAAAATTCTTTAGGGGCGAAATGCCAAATATTTTATAATCTCTGGCCTGTAATCTGATCAGTCGATGAACTGTTTTCTATGAAACACTAAATGTTTTCCCGAATATAGTTTTGTGGATACGCTCCTTTCTGCAAAATATAAGTATTGTGTTTAACTATAGTACTACGAGAGTGTAAATATAAACGCTTTGGTGACCAGTGTTACATTTATTCAGTTTTATTTGCGTTTCTTAGCCTTCAGAAATTTTCTATCGTATCTTAGATCTTTTTCCCTGTAGTTTTCCAATTTATATGGGAATAATAATCCATAATCAATTCACTTTGTTAACTGACAGTTGTGTTCATGAACAAATTAAATCTCTCCAAGAGTACTGGTCTTCTTCATTCACTGTATTAATCCACACTATCAGCAAGTTTAAACTAAATGTAGAAGGTTATAAAACTTTTTATACTTGATCTAGAGCGAAATATACTGTACACAACTTATTATCCTTCTTTATATTGATTTTATTGTCATATAAATCAAAAAGTGAAATTGAGCATGAAGTATTAAGAATTCAGAAGAGCATTTTCTTTACAGAATGGCTGTGACGTAAACTAAAGATAAGTTACCTGGTTCTGTAACGTCATTATGTATTTATCTCTTTGACTGTTGCTATGATGACTGTTTAGTTTAATCTGGTTGCAGAATTGGTGCCATTTGGTTGGCAGCTGTCATTCTGGTGGTAAAATGAAAGCATTTGTGGCGACTCTTCACATCTCTTCGAATCTTTTTGCAGTTTTCGTATTCTTTTATTGTATATAACTGAAACTATTTCAATCAGTAATCCTAAATTGTTTTATATTGGCGAGAGAAGACAACTAACTAATTATACTCCCCCCCTTATACCGTTTAAATACCTTTCTTAACACTCTCAATCATTTCCTTAGTTTTATTACATCTTCATAAAAATTTAATTTACCCACTGACCCAACAGCTTAATATTACGTAAGTCTTTATCTCCAATGCCTGTTTGAACATTTATTTGTATGACCACTCTGTTTTCAAAATTCTTATTATTACATATTCCTGCATTATTCACTATTTCTGTTATTGATATTATTGTTATAATAATGACAAAATGCACAATTCAGAGCTATCTTACTATTTTAATAACAAATCATTATGCTTGGTTTATATTTAATATTTGTAAAGTTATGTATAGCACAGTGATTAGGACTCTCGCCGACCATGCACATGGTCCGGGGTTCGATCCCCTGCTGGCGCACACCTGATATCTATGGTCGGCCTGCAAAATTTGGGCTACCGATATCACATGCTGAAAATTCCACACTTGTACCAAAAATACAGTGTGAAATCAAGCTGTAATCAAAAATATAAATGCCTAAAGAGCGTAATATATTAAAAACAAAGTCAATTCGTAGCATTTTTGTGCATTGAAGTGATGATATATGACAATATGATTACTTCTATTGAAGTTAACGTTTTGCAATTCAGTTTGTGAATAGTTTGACATTTTTCTCACTACCAAGTGAATATTTTAAACAAATAGCTTCTCATATTATCGTTGAAGTTATTTCCATTTCACCATCAGAGGAAATTAAAGTCCATGTATTTTCACATTTATTCTTATAATTATTATTAGATACAATAATAATAATAAGAAAACAGTATTTCCATCAACCAGAACGACTTAGAAAACTTACCAATTTATTCAACCTGCCAACAACTACCCTCACAGACACTTCTTTAAAGGGTTTGCCTAAGATAACTATGAGGCTAACCCAAGTAGGTTTTTATATGAATATTTAAGTTTATGTAGCAACACGACTTTAAAAAGATAAAGTTTGTTACTAAAACTCACCTACTATCATATTTAGATCTGGACAGAATGTGATTAGACGTAACTGATATGGCTTTTTTCCCCAATTTATAAAAGTATTCACAAAATCTGTCACCTGTAAAGGAGGTTGTTAGTGTAAATCTAAATTTCAGAATTCTCAATATGGCATATGTTTAAATATTAAAAAGATAACTGATTGCCCATTAAATCATTGAATGTTAAACACTTATCATCTCACGCTACCATTAATAGCAAGTGGAGTATAAGTGCAGAGAAATAGTATTCATTACAGTAATAAACAATGGAGAAAAAACCAAGCACTGTAGAATAAATGTCTTTCATGTTGACAGAATGATATAATGTTAAATATTTTCAATGAAGCTTTTATGAAATCAGCATAAAGTCCTAGAAACAGTACTACTTTCTGTTGAGTTACCAACCATGCACTTCACCAAGTGAACCACCAGCTGATCAAGTCTTGACTTCGCTTCACTCAATGAGGATTTCGACAGGCTATCACTTGGATATTTGATTCTCGTTATACAAGCTGCCTAATCATGCCGTTTCTTATGATTCTAAATCGTTCTGATATAAAAAGGATGTGCAGATAATTGATACCTGGTTAGACTTCCTTACATAATCTTGGTTTGACAGAGTGACTATATTTCAGCAGAATGATTAGAGGCGAAACTGAAACCATATAGTAACAGGATACATTTTGTTAGTTCTGGCGAACCAACCTTTCTTTAGTTCCCCTCATTAAATATCAAGTAATCATAATATGTTGGGATCACTTCTCAAATCAAAATATGATGAGAGCCCGGTGACCACAATTCTGGTAGAAAGAACTCTTAAAACCACCTACATATTAGTTGTTTTACCGTAGGTACGTTGTTTGAATGTCTTCAGCAAATCTAGTTTATTTTTGTTGTTGTTAATTATAACTTTCCAGATACATTTCTTACCACCTAGCAAAACAGTAATACAGAGGCTACTTTCACAAAACTTCAGTATGCTTTGGCCTTCATTAGTGGACCAGGCTTCTCGCTATTGTTGAATCAGGGATGAAAATATTCAGTGTACTTAGTAAATCATCGAAATTATTTTTTCAAGTATTGTTTTTGTGAGGTCAAATTCAAAAACCTATTTCAAACAAAACATCATTTTATCAGTTTGGGACTTTAAAATTTCAAAATATCCCCTAAGTATATCTGTTATTTTGCCGCTGAGGATACCAATGACCTATAGAAAATTTAGTGAGAATATTTTTCTTATTACCAGAATCACCCGATAGACATAAAATATTTTGATAATATTTGTGTTACTTACATCTTCAGCTGTTTGTACATCGAAAATTCTAGCCTGACAACCACCAGAAGTAACCCAGAATGTATCGGTAGTTGGAATATGAGCGATACCTGATATGATTTTAAAAAAGGTTATTAATTAACAAACAACAAGGTTATCAAAATCTTTCGGATTTCCATGAAAAGTTTAAAAGAGCAAATATTTTAGTCGTAAAAATGATTTATATTTGAAGTATTTCATCAAATTAATTGCGTTAAATTTCGACATGTATTAACTGTTCTAGCTGCTCGGTCGAATTTTTGTTTCCGTAGAAATTCCATGTGGTTCTAGCAAAAATGCTCAGCCAATACATATATGATAAAGATTTACATGACTTCTAGGGAGATAAAGTTCAGGTGGGTGAAATAAAGATAAGGTTATTCAAAAGTGGGTTTGATATAAAAATGCAGAAAGGCGACCCTATTCTTCTACATTATTGAAATAATAATAATAGCAACAATAATAATAATAAAACAGTTCATGCTAATTTTCACTATACATATATTGAGTGACCAGTTTTAGTGTAACTGTCATTCAAATATAATATAAATGTCACTGTAAAATTCAATTGAGGATAAAATTTTATGTTGATAAAGTCTCACAGTGTTATGCAGTAATATTTACTGATGACCAAGTTTCGAGTACAATTTATTGCCCATAATCATATCAAGGTACTCACACAACTTCCCAACTTCATTTATATGGTTCCACTATTTCTCATCTCGTGATTTGATTGGTAGTAGTATTTAGCATATTTCCGGTATAAGTGCTGAGTCATTCCTATTGCACGTGTTGGGTGTAGACTCGATGAACAAGGATTCAGTAATCAACCTCTCTTCACCTACCTATATTACTTCTTAGAATTTTAACCCTCTCTCACTCCATTGTGTGGTTGTGTGTTAATGCATGCAATGCAGTTGCTGACCTTGTTTTTAAATTACTTATTACTTACTTATTACATAGATTGTAAAATAAAACGAACAAAAGGTAAGCTGCACACTAGCGTTTATAAAAAGCCAACGCATTATAATAGATATTTAGACTTTTATTCATCTTATCCGTTATCTGTTAAGGTAGGCTTCGTTAAATGTCTAACAAACCTATCAGTAGCACTAAGTAGTACAAGAAAAGACCTTAATGATGATGGTGTTACATAACTATCCGGTACAATTCATTGGGAAGATCTAAAAAGGTCAAAAGCAAAATAAAAATAATGGTGAAACTAATAATGATAACATAAATAAGAGACAATATAAGGCATCTACAGTTTTACCATATAAGGAGGGAACATCTGAAACCCTACATAGGATTCTCAACAAAGCAGGAATTAGGGTGGCATTCAAACCTACAAACGCAATCAGAGACAAGCTTTGTAGGCTAGAGGACCCTATCGGTTGACCCAATTAGACAAAATAATATAATTTACAAAATACCCTGAAATTCCTGTGAGGTAAACTACATAGGTCAGACTAGTAGATCGGAGATAGTCAGATTGTCAGAACATAAGAATTTAGCTAGGGTTAGAATGGTTGACCCCGCGAAGATAAATAATTTAGGAAAAGCTCAGCAACTGCACTGCATGCATTAACACACAACCACACAATGGAGTGGGAGAGGGTTAAAATTCTAAGAAGTAATATAGGTAGGGGGAGAGAGGTTGATTACTGAATCCTTGTTCATCGAGTCTACACCCAACACGTGCAATAGGAATGACTCAGCACTTATACCGGAAATATGCTAAATACTACTACCAATCAAATCACGAGATGAGAAATAGTGGAACCATATAAATGAAGTTGGGAAGTTGTGTGAGTACCTTGATATGATTATGGGCAATAAATTGTACTCGAAACTTGGTCATCAGTAAATATTACTGCATAACACTGTGAGACTTTATCAACATAAAATTTTATCCTCAATTGAATTATACTCTACCACAGTGCACAAGTTCTGTTCTTATTTCATTGACTGTAAAACTTGAAAAAGTATTTGAGAAGAAATGTTTCTACAATGAATAAATTTTCGTTTTCATTGTTTTCAATTAATCAGGTGTAAGTTGTAATCTATTAACTTAATTAAGATTTAAATAACCTGTTGTTTCGTTGATGAAAAGAACTCTAGTAACTTGTATTCGAATATTTCTTGAGTATCTGGTACCTTCAGATAAACACTGTAATATTAGATTGAAAAATGATTTAGCATTAGCAGCAATTGTCATTTTTACCTTACGCAGATTTCACCAACAATATATATATTTTTGCATAAAAAGAAAATACTGATGTTACAAATTCGGCCAAATCTTTTCGCATAAACTGAAAAGATGACTTTTTTAATCCATAACTAAAATAGTAATCGGAAGAATTCAGAAATTACTGTTATTTATATCATGAGAAACTGGATTTTTGAAAGCACTATGTTAATAATCTTGCAGATCATATAGCCTTTCCGAATGGAACACAAATTGACTAACTACTGTGACATCCATAGAGGTAGAAAATAAAACATTTCCCAATTGAACTCAGTTTGCTTAATAATTCATAATTGCAAATAAATTGGAACAAATGTTCACCACAAATTGTGAATTAAGTAGATTCGTGATAGCGCAGGTACTGAATTCCGAATTTAGGATACTTTTTTATTGCATGGCTAGGAACTTTCCATCTAATCTAAGAAACTGATCTGTTTTCTTGCTAAGCAGGATGGTGGAAAATAACTCAATGATCTATACACTTAACTTACAGTGTCTGGATAAGAAAGATGGTCATTTGCAGCACTACTCATCACTCATTGTAAATTTAAATATATTTTAATATGAGATTTTAAAATCACATCATACTTTTCGATAGTATTATTTCTCTTTTACACCAACACATGATAATGACAAGCAGATTCTCAAAGTACAAATATCAGTATTTGTACTAATACTCTTGAATCACATACTTAGTAGTTTACTGCTAAAGATTTTAACAATTAATATCAATTAATTTATTAAGAATGCAAACATTGTAGAATGGATTATCCAACTTCATCCCAGAGCTATTGTAGTAGAAGTGCGTATTGAAAAAAAATCCGCTAACTGTATTCACTAAGTTCAGTGTTTGTTTTTGTTTTTCAGACGACACTTTGTGGTGTATGGTAAGACTGATAAGACTTATCGGTTGAGTATAAAGAGACGTTTTTATGAACACAAAAATATCAGATAGAGGAAAGATAGAATTGACGTCAAAAACAGAGAAGCAACCGTTATTGTAGTAAAACATGGGAGACATGAAAAGACAAAAAACACAATACAAAGGGCAGAAGCGGCACAACACTGAAGATTTGCGTAAATGACTATTTTCAGATAAGGTATACATAATTACTGCATATGTGTTTATCAGACTATATACAAACATTTCGCTTACAAGCTTCTTCTCCTCGCCCGTTACAAGTTTACAAACACTTGGCGCCTATATACGAATGTTCCGAAAAAATTAACATGAAACTTCCCCATGTATGTTTATCAGGTTGCTTCAAATGCCATTAAAATATGGGAGAGTACGACGTCTATACTTATACAAGAACTTTAGTAGTGTAAAATGATTATTATTATTGTTAACTTTGGTTGCGAGTGGAACACAGGGCTTCAACAACACATCCCCACTTTGTTGCATCTTATGCTCTCCGCTTCAGTTGGGCCTACGATTACCCATTACCTCTCATTTCATCATACGATCTCCACGATATCCTCGGAAGTCCAAGTCGTCGTTTCCCACTCAAATTACACTCAAGGGCTTGTCACGTGGTATCACCCAACGGTCTCCTGAGAGTATGCTCAGTTCATCTTCATTTTTGCCTATAAATTTGCTGTGCTATCGGCTCTTGGTTGGTTCGTTCTCAGAGTTTCTAGTTGCTAATTCTTTCTGACTTGCAATTTAGTCTTCAGTATGGAGCCAGTGAAGACAGATGTTGATAAAAGTCTGTCACTTGCTGGAAATTCATTTCGTGACATCCAGTGCAAGTTTCTGACTCGTATGGAAGAACTGGCCGAATTCACATTTGTGTTGAAAATCCGAATCTTGTTATTTTTGCCGCGGAGTGCAGAAGACTTCCAAACTGGTTTCAGGGTGGTGAAGGAGTATCTTGTTTTTCCAATTCTGGTTGGCTGGTTTTGACATCTTCATCCATTCCGACTGCCTGTGGTTGAAAAGGTGCTTCCTAGATAAGTGAATACAAGAAGTGACCTCTGTCAAATTTCTCCTACTGATGGTGATTGGACCTACCGGTTATTCCTGTTGCTCAGTTATCTTAATCACTTCCGTCTTCTCTATGTTCGCCTGGAGTCCTGTCTTCACTGCCTGCCTCGCGCTTCAACCAGTTTGTTGTTTTTCGCCCTTGAGTCTTAGGGTCTCTGTGACGTTAAACACAAATTATCCATGCGCAAAATCCAAATCTTCTAGAGTCTCCTTATCGGTCCAACGTATTCCTGTCTTCTCACAGTCTGCTGCATAATCCAGTCAATCACAATTAAGAATATCATCGCTGATAATAGGCAGCCAGAGCTTCTTACTCCTGTATGCACTTCAAACGCCTCACCTAGTTTTCCGTTGTGGATCACCTTACACGTTCCACTGTCATATAGCTGTTGAATGAGGTTGATAAAGACTTAGGCACTGCATGCCGTAGTGTTGAAGTAGTTTCCAAATTACTTCTCGGCCAATGCTGTGCTATCAGAGGCCTTTTCAAAATTAATGAAGTTGAGGTAGAGGTTTGACTGCCATTCGATGCTTTGTTTAATAATTACGATGCGTGAATTTGCAATTTGACCAGCACATGATTTGCCTTCCGTGAATCCAGTTTGTTCCGGAGGGTGGAGTTCTTCATCCAGTGCACTTCTTGGTCTATATAATAAACAATTTTTTGTGAAAAAACAACAGTCGTTTTGAATTCACTCATTTCACATAAGTTAAGAATGCCAATTGGGAAAGTATTGTTCTTACAAAGATAACTCGGTCTCTAGAAACATATTCATATTCCTTTCGTATTCCCCCTAAAGAAATTACATTTTGAGCCTCAAAAAAGAAATCAGCGAACAAAAATAAATGCATTACTACGTACGGAATAAGTTACACTTAACCAATGTTAATGAGAGTCTTGACTAGTCCCTAGATAACGTCACATGCTAACCTTCTTTCTAATACATATAATGTCAGAATGAAAGGGAGAGGGAAAATTAAAAATTCAGTGTTATCAGCGAAAAGTCTTAAATGACATATTCTTGTGAAATCTTTCAGTGATAAGCACATATAACTAGGTTGTTCGTAACAGGTGAATGAAAAGTATATTCATACATCTGAAGAAGGAAAATGAGTTTATGATGACATCTATGAGTTTAAACGGTACATATTAATTAGGAATTCTAAAAAAATGTCTTATTCACATAGAGGGATTACTTTATTCACTTTTAACAATTTTTAACTAAGTATCCCTAAATTTTGACAAATTTCGTTGATCTTTTATCTAGTGATACACAAAATAACTGTTTCCATTTCATTAAAATTATGAATGTGAACATTACCAGTACTTTATTTTGGTTGGTGATAGTTGGCCATGGAATTTAGGATACGCATTTCATCCTATTTAGGACTGGTCAGTTGGATCTACCAACACTTCCAATGAATGATGATGATTTCGGTACTAGTGTGGTGAGAGATGGTTGCTAGCCAAATTGGTTGACAGTAATTGAGGTCAATGTTAGTCATGTGAAAACAAGGTCAAGATGGACAGGCGGATACAGTTAACATATAGGTGAACTGACACAGCCACAAGAGATGCAAGGTTAACTTTGTGTGAGAAACAACCAATCAACAGACTGTATTTTCTACTAACATTAACCTACAATAATGTACATCAAAATCTTTAAATATGTGTTGATTTTCCGTAATAAACGTTCTGTTGCTTGGCCCTTGTCTTTTGTTGTTACACTAGGAAACCAAGACCGAGTGTTTCGGTCCAACATAATCAAACGACAGGGAATACAAAATTAGCTTAAAAACAAATTACCAATACTTCACTAATTTTATAATGAGTAACCAAATGTTCAACAGACATAAAGCGAGGTGACAGACAGTTCAAATATATGCTTATCTACAGCCACACAAATAAGGGGAAAAAAGGAACTCACTGATAATAGGGTTATTAAAATTTTCAACTGTGTACATTAGTTGTCCTTCATCATTCCAAACTTTTACATATCTATCGAAACTTCCACTTATTACTAGATTCTGTTGGTTTTGTACACTGTGAGCTTTAACTAGGCAAGATATTATGCCATTATGTGCTCTGGGGATCTTCACTAGAATTCTAGTTGTCAAATCCAATTTACCACTTGTATCATAGACAATAATTTGACCGTCAAATCTGCAATGGTGAAGGAATGGATGAAAAACGAATTCAAAGTAATTTTAACTGTTTGATGTATCATTGAAGTTTGAATCAGCCCTATTAAAAATTCTAAATGGTTTTACCAGCTCAAAATGGATGACGTTGGGAATTAAACGTAGTAAGTGACAGAAGATATTTAGTTCATTAAAAGTCGTCAGTGAAGTAATCCCTTTATATCTTACCTTTTGGTAGAATCTTATGCTCAATTTTGCATGACAGAAATTTTCGCAATCGCAAAGACAGTGTCTGTTAATAAGACAAGTTATTAGCTATAATGTTATGGGAAAAATTATATTTGTCTTGACTAATTACTACTTTAGGCGCTAAAATATGTGAAACCAAGAATCTGTCTAATCACTGGATAGCCACATTGCGCATTATAATGTTGCAATGATTAGTATAAACTGGTGATGAGCATATGCGTGAAATGAGCCAAAGAGAAAAAATTACTTTTGAATACTACTGATACACTCTAGTTCACTAGCCCTGTCATATCACGAGAATTGAAATCTTGTGACAGTAAGTAATAAACCAACAGAGGAAGACAATTTTATGATACCATTTTGCTTACCCTCCTGAAAACATGCGATTTTCAAAACTAACCAAGCAACGTACCACATCAGCGTGTCCTTGCAACTGTTTCTTTTTACAATTATTTAGAAACTTTCCTGTTGAACGATCTGATAAGGGAAAGAAACGAATTTTTATCTGTAGCTAGGGAGTAAACGACATTGTGAAAAATGAAACTTATTGCTGTATGTAAAATGGAAACACATCTGAAGACAAGGTCATCTGATATAAAAAAGCCATTTTTGGATAAGCACAAAGTGAAATCGCGACTTCAACGAACAAATAAATGTGTCAGGCTGCTTTTGTAAATTAACTAGAAACATACTAGTGCCTTTCCTTTCCAAGTATGCAGTTGAAGTTATGGAATGAGAATGAATGAAAACAGTAGTGTCATTAAAGCTGTGATGATTCCAACACAATCTATATCATTTTACGTAATGTAAGTAATTCAAAAACTTCACATTTGTGGAAGATCGAGTCCACTTATTTGCAACCCAGTTTTACTCATTATTTATCGTAATTACGAAATTAAGCAGAAAAGTCTTTGATGTTCTTACCATATCCATAGAAGTGCTGCGAGTTTTGTTTGAGCCATATAAACTTGTACCGTATCCGTAAAAATATTAGCTTATTTATTTTACTATCTGCCAAAAATGTTTCATTGACGACTGCATGTTTTTCCATACAGTGAAATTTTATGATCCCTACTGTGTCCTCTATTCTTATTTTCACCGATACGCGTTTAGAAATTAGTCAGTCACACTTGCTAAAGTGAAATTTAACATTGGCGGATGGTGACCAGAAGTGGAATCCAGGAAGCGCATTTCGTTCTGTTTGGGACTCATCATCGGGATATGCACATCCTGGATTCCACTGCTATTCACCATCACCACCAATTTACATCAAGTCAGATAGTCAGACATCATCGAAGCATCTGCACGAGGAGCCGACATGTTGACCTGGAGTCGAGAACTTCGGTAAGTAAAATGATAAATTCCCTATAGTTCTTCTCACTATTAGTCACTCAAACTGAAATACGAACAACTACAGTTATATATGTGGTGGATAGTGTCTTAATTTTTACTCATTGATCATTCTTGTTCTAGAAAAGGAGTTTTTGTCGTTAATTAAGTCTTGAAAATTCTCTGAAAACAGTCAATCTACATATTTGGTTCAGTTTTTGAAATAATATTCTGTGCAGCTATAATACATACACTGAAGAGGCCTTGTAATTAATCTAAGCCGCGCTCAACGTGTTCAGTAGATTTCAGACACAAAAGAGAACTTTCGCTTAATATTACTTATCCTGAAAACTAAACTTATCGCAATTGCATAAAGACAGCTTATTATATCATCACCTCTTGCTGTATTCAGTGTAATACACTGATTTTAACAGAATTAAAACCGAGAACATATATTTGGACATCCACAGTTAATGTTAGCAAATTTTGATTTTACGTGGCCATGTTGATAATTAACAGGATATTGGTAGACATACGTCTATCAGCTGGAATTATAAGTAATCCGTCCCCATTTGCACAAACGAATTCCTTCAAATTGTCAATTACCAGACAATTATAGACGGCCTGGTACATCTGAAAGAGGATGGTAGAATAATATAGGCTAATGAATTAAATTAACAATAAATAATTTGTTTGATTTTGCAATAGTTTGTATCATTTGTTTCTTCAAGGCTTATATATTGAAGAAAATTTCTTTAAACAATATCATTGTGTTTTCGTATAAATATGATTAAGCAGAAAGACAGTCGGTTCATGGAAGTCGTCTTTCACGATAATCTCTGAGACTATTAAGTGAAACTTATCCCTCCAAAAAATATTTATCCACTAATTCAACAAAATTTCCTCATTCAAAATTATGATTCATCACAATATGGTGAAAACAAAATTTCAACAAACACTGGTTATTTCTGGCTTATGTTTCCTAAAATGAAGACTTATGCAAACCTTTAGACTAAATGAGAAAGTAGTAGCTTTCGGACAAATGGTATTTGACACTTATTGTAGATACTTCTTTTGGAACATACGCTGTTTCAGTAATTAATGTGCCATGTTCAGAAACTTCAAAAATTTTGCCACTATGAACACTGATTGTATAAACTGTCTTTCTTCCACAAAAGAAAAACAGAACACTCTGTTGCACTGCTTGAGGCAAAAATTTCAATGATTTCAAATCAAAGGTTGTCCAGCGGTTAGATTTTATGATAAATGTACAATGAGTGCTACAAATGATTTCATTTTAACTATGTGGACATCCCGTTAGTTTTGCCTTATCTTTTAAACTAAGTCATGTGCTTGGAAGTTCGTATTTATTCTGATGCTAAAGTTGTCACAGAATCACAGAATGTGAGATGAAATTGTGAGGCATGAGGATGGTCACAGAACACTTAGAATTCTTTTAAAGCACGAAGGAAACATCTCCAAAGCAGGTACATGGGTTACGTGGTTAATGTATAGGAAATTAGGTGTATTCTGGCCTGTGTTTATGTTCATCAGTCTATAAATATATATATATATACATATTAATCACAAAGTCTCTGTAGTCTAATGTATCGTAATAAGTCGTCCAAGCCACATTATTGTGCCACAAGCTTTAGTATTCTTTATCCTGTTTTACTCATAAACGTTTGTAGTTCACAAGACACGTATAGATTTGTTATTTAAGTAGTGAAATGATTAAAACATAACAAATAAAGAAATTAGTTTAAGGGACATAAAATGGTCATGCCAAAAGATATAATTTTACTCAAAGTTGTTGTCTTTAGACAAACAATCGTTCTAACATTGTTCTTAAGGGTCTGAAAATCACTTTATGTGGCAACCAAAAGAGATAATTTTTACCTTTTCACATAGTATTAAAGTATAAATTAACAGTGTTTTTATGGTCAAAATTAGGAAAAGTAACCACATGTGATGCCAAATGGTATAATAAATGAAAGACCTATTCATTGGAAATGCATAGGAACATTTGTGGTCATCTGTCTTTTCTTATCGTAACCACACATAATGTGATGGGGGGCCCAACTATGAAATATGAAAGGTACCAATCAGACTCTCTGTGAACCTTAAATCACTGCCTTCCTTTGTGGGAACATATCCCGCATTTCTAGAAGCCGGTTAATTAATACTATACGGGATTCCTGATGGTACTAAGCCGCGATTTTATCGCCCATGGTATTCACGAGTTTTTTAAAGTAATATTCTGTTTTGTTAGCCTTATACAGAATTAGTGTCGGAACTTAATAATCTAAAAAGAACACCTGAAACAAGTTATTCAGCACGTGCAAACTGTAAACCGCAAATCTGCAGTACTACTAACCAGAAAAGTTGAGTAATTACTGACGTGAAGTCCTGTCATTAATCTGATGTTTGAGAAACAAAGCACATCATTATAAGTTACTCGTAACCACTAGTGTTTACAAATAGCACCGAAAAGATTTTAGAGCATAAATCTGTTAATCTGTCGTATCTTGGACCTACCATAGGACTAACAACATAAAAATACCCACTACAAACACCATGAATGTTTCCTGTATTTAGGTGTTTTGCATGGCACACAAATAGTTCAGAACACAACATCAGCTTATTGATTGGGGTTCGAATGCTGCAATATACTGACGGGCAATGGGAGAAAATTGAAATAACAAAAACTGAGCCGAAGTAAACAGGCGTGATAATTCAAATCTATGTGACTTTCCTATTTTAATCAAAATTAAGAGGCGTGAAACATTTCACCCTGAAATCTCATTTTTATGCGATATTCATCAAATCAACAATTAAAAGTGTTATCGAAGCATCACTGTGTCACTTACATTATACCAGTCTATTAGTAAAAGGCCTTGCCAAAATGCAATAATGCCCTCATGACTAATAGTGACGACAGTTTTTGTCTTTTCCCTGGAATTAAAATATAGTGAAACTATAGCCTATCGTATACCAGTAGTATATTGCAGTAATCCAAGATGTGTGAAAGGCCAAGCTTTTTACTTTCCGCCCAAGGACAACATCCCAGTATGTAATTCCACCATCTGAAATTCAGATAATTTCTTCAACTCACCTTCAAAACCAGTTATGACCTCTTTCCTCGAAGGGTCGAAACTTACTGCAGTAACAGCGGAACCATTATTTAATTTAATTGATGAGCTGTAATCCATTACGTCTTTCGAAATATAACACCTACGGCTCGTTCAAGGTCAACGGCCTTTTATTAAATTTTAACAAAGAATTAACATATTGCTGCAAACTCAAGGCGTCCATTGCGCCTTCGCATTGGAAGATCCTAGGAAATTTTCTTCTTACTGGTAATCATTTCGCTCCCAGTAATAGTGATTCATCTACATGATGACAAGAAATACACATCGCCTAGTTCACTAGCCAGGCCTAAGCACGAGAATAAAGGAAAGTTTGGTTGTGGAATGACAGGACCCCTGCAAATCAGACCCGCCGATTTAGGGTATGTAACGTATAGAAATGATATAAAGAATAAATTTATTCTTCGCTGGATTCCGAGAAGCGAAATGACACGGGCTAGTGAAAGCCTTCAGGAATCCGGTCAGCCGTGGGTCTTCATACAGTGAAAGCAAAATAGGAATGGAGACGTAGAATGCCTGCACATTGTTCGGAGCTGTGGGGTTGATAGGATTGCAAAATAATCGCGAATATATGCTACGGAAATCTATATGAGCGCATGGAACAAAAGTGAAGTCCCAAAATTGCTGAATAGACATTCAACGACCTTCTCCGGTCACCAAAACGAAAGCCACCAGCACATTTAGTTAGTGGCTACCAAGGTGCCATCAACAGCTCCTATGCAGTCTCCAGCAAAACTGAATTCAAAGCATAGGAAAGTTACAGTCATCCAATGCAACACTCGTACAAACGACAAACCTGGAGAAGATGTAGCGGTAAATAATTCCCCAAAAATATCAGCATACAGTATTTATCCCTCAGCGTTGGATGCTGACCTTCCCTGTTTAAGAAGGGTTGTTTTAGCTGAAGGCTCACGGTCAAGAATCCACACCATTTACCATGCCGTTCGTGCGCGATCCCTAACTCGTAAGGCAATCATCTTCACACCACCATTTTGATCTTGAAATATATTCGGTATCTTTGATGATGATTTTGGTGTTTTGACTTGCTCTTGGTCTACGCAGAATGAATACTGTAGGATTTGTGGATATACGAACTTGCGCTAGTATATGTCGTACCTCACGTAAGCATCAACACTCCTTCATCTCCTGAAGAGAGGAACATCTACATATAACTGTCAGAGATATTGGATATGACGTTGGATAACGGCACTGAAATTTCATTGAGGAACATGAATGACAAACTAGGAGGAGACCCGTCATTGATGGAGGGGATGTCGACGAAAACGTTGAAAATAAATAACTCATATCAACCTTCTACACAATCCATTCTTATGATGTAAGCGCAAGAATATCTACAACGTGCCGTGGGTTTCAATAGATGGACACATCGAAAAGCACACAGCCATTTTAATTTCATCCTTCTGGGTACAAAATCGATTATAGGAACAAATATAGTTAGGTGATCACAATCAAGTTTGAAGAGGACGAGTGCAGAGATGAACAATGAAAGCTCAAGTACAGTACAACTTACATCGCATTAACGACAGCATGAAGAACGGCACTAGGGAAGGAGTCACTTTTATACTAACGACTGCAGCAAAACAGACCTCAGGTGAGACAGCTCAGAAAGTTACATTAGAAAAGCAAGTAGCCACCAGAGAATATATCAAAGCAGATGTGACCATTGAAAGGAAGTGAAGGAAACCCAGTTACCAAAAAGAAAAAATGAAGAAAACACTGAGCTGGTCACTCAGATGGATGATTGAACCGATCACCGCTGACAATTCGTCTAGAATCGGAGTCGAAAGTTACAGAATTACCAGTAAACATCAACTGTCCAAAATAAGCAGAAGTCTTGAACGCCATACAGTTACTGAGAACAGGCAAAGCTGCAGGACCAGGTGGACCCCCCCCAGAAACATTAAAAAGGGACCTGAAGACTTCAGCAGATATGTTCATTTCACTATTGAAGGAAGTTTGGAAGGAGGACTGAATCGTCAAAACCCCAAAGGAGAGAAACGCAAGTATTTTCAAGCTAAGCAAGTGTGTGCCGTTTCCCTTACGTCTTTATTAATACCAGACTGACAAAACCGACTAGTTACGGGCTCGACGGTAGTTTGAATACCTGGGTGAGATAAGCCACGTAACGTGTTGAAGACGTGACGGTGAGGAGTACTCGTGGAAATGTCACTTAGAATAGTATCTCTTCCCATACCTAATGGTTTCTTGGCTAATTGCAGAGTTGTTTTCGACAACTCATGTTGAAGCTCAGTATCTTCTTTTTGAAGGTGAGCCAGTTTCACAAGGCCTATACCGTCTATTTGGATGAGGGAACAAATGCGTGACAAGGCATCTGCCACAGTGTTGTTCACTCCGGGTACATGGCGAATATCCGATGCAAACTGTGAAACGTAGTCCAGTTGTCGTGATTCTCTAGGTGAATACTTATCTGAAGTTGAGTTCAGAGAGCACGTCAGTGAAAATTATGAATTCACGACTGGATGTCGAAAACGGTGTATAGCACAGTACATAGCCAGAAGTTCTCCTGCGAATGTGCTGTACTTCGTTTCTGCTGATTGTAGGCGCCTCGAGAGAAATGCGAGTGGTTGACGCTCTCTGTTGACTAGTTGTTGCAGAACTGCACCGATTGCAGTGTCTGATGCATCAACCGAGATACTTAACGGTGCCGTTGGATCCCGATACATTAGAAGTGCGGCATCCACAATATCTTTTTTAACCTGAGTGAAAGCATTTCGAGCAGACGCGTCGAGTTCGATGTTCTTGTTATTCCCTCGAAGAAGGTCTGTCAATGGCTGATTCAGAGAGGCACAGTTGGGAATAAACCGTAGAAAATAACTTACCAAGCCGTTAAAAGTGCGCAGACTTTTCACTGTCTGTGGCTCTGGAAAGTTCAGGATCGCCTCAACTTTACCAGCGAGTGGGCTAATACCCTTGCAGTCAGTAGTGTGGCCCAGAAAGTCGAGTGAGTCAACTCCCACCTGACACTTTTGGATATTAATGGTTACACCATGTAGGCGTAACCTTTCGAATACCAAGTTCAAGTGTCTAAGATGAATTTCCTTGTCTCGACTGGCAATGAGGTAGTCATCTAAGTATGCGTATAAAAAGTCGATATCGCGAAATACTTCGTCGATGAAGGATTAGAATGTTTGTGCTGCATTATGTAGGCCGAATGACATACGTAGAAATTCAAAAAGTCCAAAAGGCGTAATGATAGCCGTTCTTGGAACATCTTCTGGTGCCATCGGGATTTGGTTATATGCTTTAACCAAGTCCATTTTCGAGAATATAATTTTGCCAGATAATGTTGTCGTCAAGTCGTGTATGTGAGGCAAAGGGTAGCAATCAGGGGTTTCTTTTGGCGTTCACTCGCCGGTAATCACCTGTGGGTAGCCAATCGTTGCTATCCTTTTTCGGTACCATATGCAGTGGGGATATCCATGGGCTATTCGATGGCCGAATAATGCCAATGCTGAGCATATGGTCAAACTCATTTCTAGTGATCCTCAGTTTGTCAGGAGCAAGTCGTCGTGCTTCAGATGTCACGGGTTGTCCTGAGGTTATGATGTGGTGCGTAACATTGCCGGTTATGCACGGTAGATCGTTAGATGGGCAATTAAGTTCAGGGTATTTATTAACAATCGGTTGAACAGATGGATCGAGGATAGTCTTTATTTTAACGAGTGACAAGCTGGGGCCTACATAGGTGATGCCTTTGATGGACAGTCTAGTAGTACTGTCTATCAGTCGTTTTCAATGGGCATTGTGACGTCAGAGAGAAGGAAAACGCACTGAATAGGTTTGCGTATACCTACGTTCAGATAAACGTATTTCCTACCAAAGTTCGCATTTGGTTTTCCATTTGCAGCCTGTAAGTTTGACGAAGGTTCCTTATGTCGATCTGCTGTTGTAGCAGGAAGTACGCTGACTTCGGTGCCTGTGTCTACTAAATATTTAGTCTGGCTGATTACATCATGGATGTAAAATAAGCGGCTAGTGCCACCGACGACGGTTGCTGCTTACGCGTGCCGGCAAGATAGTTTCCCACAGTCTTTGAGACGTCGCCGAAATTACAAGGTTTTCGGCAACATTTCGCTTCCTGGCCGTAGGTGTTGTGATACCCGCAACAGTCAGGGTTTTTTAATGAACGTGGTTCGGACTTGGATCGACCACGTGAGTTTCGCCGTTGAGGGGAGTTCGGACGACGATAGGAGGAATTACATGTTTGACCTAAGCGTCTGCTCGATGGAGTTGCATAACTCTATCGCTGCAATATCCTTACTCGAAGTCTGTTTGGCCACCGAGCATATTTCAGTGACTAAACGTTTAGTTATTTCTAGAATTTTATCAGCATAAACAGCTAAGTCGTCTATTATAACACCCTGAAGTGTCGCCAGCACAGTCTGTACTGACTGTGGCAGTTTGGATAAGAAAAGTTCTCTGAAAAGTCCTTCATCAAACTGACATTGTCCAATAACCTCCATCATTCTTGTAAGCATGCTCACGGCTGACTGATCACCTAACTCGACGTTGCGAAATAATTCGTCCAGACGCTGTCGGTCCGTGAGAACGTGTCTCCTTAGGAGGGTTGCTTTAAGCAACTCGTACGAGTTACTTACCTCTGGGCTCGACATCTGCACGATTACGCACTTGCTGAATTCCCGCGGTAGGGCATGAACAACTGCAAGGAACTGTGAACGTTGATCAGTTATCCCATGCTCACTAAAATCGGACTCAGCTATCTGAAACCATGATTCAGCATTATCTGGCCAAAATGGTACGAGCTGAATGGTTTTGGCAGTTAAGCGAATACGAATGACCTTAGGACTAGGATCACTCATAACAAAATATATATAATTTGAAAACAGTATAAGAACAAATACAAAATGAAACGAACTCACCGGATTTGTCTGTGTATTTACCGAAGATGAAGTTCGCGGTAGGACTCACCAGTTTAGAGGCTGACGGTAGACCAAAGGCAAAGCAAAACACGATATTTGATCGCCCAAATTACGAGATATATTTCGGAACCAAATCAGAGTACGAGATGATTGCTTAGCTGGCTAGTGATCGTGCACGAACGTGACACGACGGAGTACTAAATGGCGTGGATGCTCGACCGGAAGTCATCAGCTAAACAAGTCGACTTCAACAGTGAGAGTCAGCATCCAATGTTCAGTGGGGATTGCTGTGGTCAATAATTTTGGGGAATTATTTACCACTACAACAGCACAGAATGGCGCCTAACTCTTTACCTCGACTTCTGTAACTGTGCAAAGGCTTCCAGTAGCGGTAAATATGAGGTAATTTAGAAACTGCTTCAAAACTAAAGAGTACTGCAAACGGCTTAGAACCTTATCCAGTAGCTACATGATGATGCGACATGCCGAGCGATTCTCAGTGAAGTCTTTGATGTGAACAGAAGAGTTGGACGAGGACTCCAGGTTAACATAGACAGAGATGATGAAAATTCCTAGCCAGCAACAATAAGCACAAGTAGCCAACGAAAGGTAGAATCTAAGGTACACCATTTCTTTCAATTGCCTACCCAGGCAGCATCGACACGGGTGAAGATGTAAAATCAGTCAGCAACGGGGAAACATGATTGTCCCTCATTAGTTTGAAATCAAGTATGCTGGAAAAAGGAAGATCAATCGGACATGCTCTGAGAAAGCCAGTCCCTAGAGTGGAACCCGACCAAAAGGCGACTGTTTAGGGGTGAGTCTAAGAGTAACATGGTTGACATCATGTGAGGAAGAATTAAAAACCTGTGAACAATCATGGAGCCAGCTAAAAAGGACTGAAGAGGACGGAATCTAATAGAGATGTCCTGGTGCAGTCAACTCAATGGAATAACAATAATAACTTAACACCTAACAAAAGATATTCATCAGATTAGAAAATCTCTCTCAAAGTACACAGCGAAATCACAACATATTTACTTTGCAGCCACAGGGAAATACTTTCGGATATATTTTGGCACACTGAGTAACATCTGGAACCAATACTTGGATATCAATGAGATGCTCACTGGCGACTGGCTCTATCCAGTTAGGTAGTTACGTGGGGTTCCAGTGGGAAGTCGTGACCAGTAGGGTGCAGCCGGTCGGGTGTGAGGACAAATACACACCGAAGACATTGGCTAGCGGTTGCGCTATATCGTGTATTGGCAGAAGTTAGAATTCATGGGCTGGCCATTGGATCGAGTCCCAGTGGCTTAATGGTCTACGAGATCGCCTTGTAACCAGAAGGTCCTGGGTTCGAACCCCGGTGGGTGCGTACTGATGAAGAGTCCCAAACTAAGACGAAACAGCTGTCCAGTACTCCCAGGTTTTCCAATGGTTCTCTAACTGATGTCAGCTCATGATGAAATCCTGTAACCAATAAACCAAATCCCTACATACCAATACTTGAACATATAACAGAACTTAAAGTTAATAATCTCATGAAAACCTGTCAGGGTTCAGATTAAGTGACCATGTCTTATGACTCCATCTAGTTAGAGAAAGTAATTGTGGCTCATCAACTGAATGTAGAAACAGCAGGGTGGAGGGGGAATTGTTGAGAGAAGATCTGCTTTGACATCAGAATAGAAGAAATAATTCCGTCAGATGAGGCCCAACAATGTAACATATTTTGATTGCTGTGGTGACTGCAAATCCCGTAATCGGTAATACAGCTTTTCTAAGAATAAGTGAGTACTTGAAATATTAATTGTCCCAGCTTCTGCAGCGGCAATTCTCATTAACACCTTTATCAGGCAGCTCGCACGCCCACGAAATAATGGGTGAATCTGATAGTCACAGTCAATCAAACGTTCTTGAATCGTGGAGCGAGATTTTATTCCTTCACTAAAAGAATATGATGGCTTACGATTGGTAATACTTTTAGAAAGTAAATGCCATGATCTCCAGGAAGTTGAGTAGCGGTGGCGTAACAACAGAAGACAAGGGCCAGGCAACAGATCGTTTATTAAGGAAATCAAAGCATATTTATATATTTTCATGTACATTATTAGAGTTTAGTTAAGCAAACAAACACAGTCTTCTGATTGGTTGTTTCTCACTTAAAGTTAATCTTTCATCTCTTTGTGACTGTTTCTTGAATGTCATATCATCTATATGTTAACTGTATCCGCCTACGCAAAGTCTGCTGTGGTCGGTTTTGAATCAGTCTTTGTTCATATTTTCTCACGACAAATCTTGGGAACGTAAACATTGACGTAAATTACTGTCTACCAATTTGGCTAGTAGACAGCTCTCACCACAATGGGACCAGTCAAGGTAACTTCGTTATCCACAACCAAATTATTAATCGTCAACTAGTTTGGTAATATCTTGAACCTTATTCAGATCGTTATAAGTGCTATGGAAAATATTTCCCTTTAATAACCAATCTACTGTAGTAGATATATTATCGTGCAGCCTAAAAACAAGTCTGTTTCAGTCTTCACCTGTAACATCGGCTACTTTAAACCAAAATACTGCTATATCTCAACAAATGTGGCTTAAAAAGTGAGTTTTCAACTATCCATTTACTACTCATTTATGCCGAAAAATGGCAAATATCTGGTCATATGAAGCCATATTGAGCATGTTCGTTATAATGCCACAAGCAACTGAACTAAGTGTTTTGTTTTCATTAATGCCTGGATGGGGATCATTCATGAACAGCCAGAAATGTCCACTCAGAGTCAAAACTAGTGCGCCGAAAAACTCAGTCACAAGTTCCCAGTCAAGTGTTTCTAATAAAGAGTCCCGAAATCTTGCAGAAAACTAGAGAAAAATAAAAGTGACTACAGTTGTTTGTTCATATGTTTTAATCTAGGAAGCCAGTAAGTCTCCCTGCTTAGATGACTTCCAACTCGTTTCATGTTGGCCACAACTAGAAATAACGCTCAAGATTATTGTGTGGTCTTTCTCTGACGTGCTGTGTAAAGATATCATAATTTCTCATTAGACTCCCAATAGAGAAATCAAGCCAAACTCTACACATATTCATCTAGATGACTGTAGATGACATCATTCTTAGACTCATTTTTCGTTTTTATCTTGTTTATCAATCTCCCCTAAAATTGCTTTACTGAGATTATATTAGCACTAGAAGTGGGATCTGTGAAATCAGTAGAATGGTTGACCTCATGGTGAATATAACCGGATGACAATACCCATCCCACTCATCAGTGTGTATTTTGGTCCTTAGTTTCATCAATGTGGTTATTATAGGAATTAAAGTCGTCATCCACCGTTAATCTTTCAATGAGTCTTTTCCGTAAAGTTGTACTGTATGATCCAAGCATCCGTACGTTATTTGCCCTGAGACAATCATCATATTTACGTTTTTTCAGGGCAGTGTCATTGGTGTGCACTACCACACTGTGTCCTTTTAATAATGCTATTACATTTTCCATTTTCCATGATGATATATCTCTACAGCGCTGGCACTATTGGGGACGACACAGCTTTGTGTTTTAGTGGCTGCAGTTCTAACAGAATGGTTCATCACCATGCAGTTGCAGAGATACAAAATCTGAATTATTGATAACTTGGATCTGGTAAGGAATGTTCCTACGAAATAATATAATCATCGTCTTAATAACCATAACACTCGTTCGCCTGTGACAATTACAGCTACGGAATACCTTGTCATCAATAGCTCCACTCAGCCGTTCTCTAGTCAAACCAACTCCACAAGAACCATTCCCACTTCGTTTAATCTTCCATCTAAGCCATACTGGATTACTTCCTCTTCACTAGACTTAGTGGGCAGACTCATCGAAGAGAACATTTCACTTGAATTGACAGGTGGGATTATGCTGGCTACGTTCAGGATCAATAGTGCGTTGGCTTCTGTGTGTGTCTACTCATTAACATCACCCAAGGAATATTTAAGTAACGATAGTATCGGGAGGATATAAAGATATATAATCGCAGCATAACGCAGCAACAACGCTCTTGTCCCTTGAAGATTGAGTTGTCCTTTGTATCTTCTTTCTGATCAGTACAGATTTCCCAACCCATCTCAGAGTCCCACAACTCATAACAGCTGTAAAGGAAAATCTTCACAGTGACAAATAAGATCATCAGTTCATGATAGGAGACCATTTATTCGGACACTTAGCTAGGAGGAAACAGGAAAAAAACTCTAATAAGCCATAGTACTAAAGACGTTGTAGATGTCAAGTATGCGAAAAACCATCTAATTAAAATAATAATAGTAAACAATATTTGTAACTTGTAATGCACTAAGAAAGCTGATCATTTAATACATTCTTAGTTAGTAATTCAAGAAATTTTTTCAAAATCCGTTGTTCTTTACACTGATTTCCCAAGGAAAGTAAAGAACTTTAGTTCATTAAGTCAGATTATGACACAAGTGATGCTAGGAATGATGAAATGTATCATTAAAGTTAATATGGAAATATTCTATGATCATATCTTTATCTCTCTGTTTGTTTTATTCAACCTTGTTCCCAAGTCGCTTAAATAACTCTCACCGTACAAGAAGTATTGACATATTGTGACTTCATAAGGCTGTATACTGCTAACTGTTTGAGGTGAATAGCTTTATACCACTCAAATCAACCACTGGAACTTGGCAGCTAGATAGATGCGATCTAAACACCAGAAGGCCGAGCTCATCATTGGTGTATCCGGTTTGACTGGGTTGAGAGAGACAAACTAGTTCGGACCACCCGACCTATGGCTAGATGATCTGGCAAACTAGTAACACCAAAAGTCAGTTCTTAATATGACTTCATGAAATAATATTTCCGGCTGTCCTTTTTATTAGCAATGGTGTACTCTTCTGTTTACTTCTTACTAACACGTAGACAAATAAACAGGTATGAATTCACACTTACTCCGGGCATATGTATTCCACAGGAAACTCTCCTAGATAGTCAACACCACCAACATGTAAGGAAGCATTAACCAGTTCAGAACTCGTGAGGTATAGATTTGGAAAGGGTGTGTTTGTCAACATCTAAGAATATCCTGTAAGAAAAAATAAAACTGTTTCTGAAAAGGTTTGGGGTAGGGTAAATAAAACATTTGTGGAAAATCTGGACAGTCTTTTTCATTGACTCACTTTCGATCCCCTGAACCTAGGAAGCTAAATTAAACTACAGCTTGGCGAGTTCATCATTTGTACTGTGGAGTTTCACATCTGAGACAGTTAATTCACCTATACTATGTGGGCTTAAGTAACTTTCCATACCTACTCAAAAATATCTCATATGCTTACATCACGTCTAAATTCATGGTATTAGTTTCATCTTCTACATGTGTGTATTATTTCTAGCACAGACTGATCCTTTTTCCTGTTGAAATTATATGGAAGATTTCTGAGGGTTTCTCCTTCAAGAAATTTTTATCTTCCAAAGATAACGTGTAACGCATATTTTGAGAAAATTTCTTCAAAATACAGTTAGCAGTACAATCTACTGTCCGTCTTAGAAACCTGAAGTCTTTCCGGAGGACAGAAAGTTCAATCACATAACTGCTTAATAATTAACATTTGCCCAGTGATTTTCTTGGGCAATATCGAGTTTATCTCAATAATTTCGTGTTTGTGTAATTAACATGTTTCATCTAACTCTGCTTTGGTCAGTGAGTCAATAACATATTTTATGGCTAAGTTTGAGAAAAAAGAGAATAAAAACTGAAAAATTTAGTTATCTCTAGAAAAGCTATTCAGGACATGAGAAGGAAAGTGACAGATTTTCAGATATCAAGAAAGAGTGGCGCGAAGTGTAAGTACATCAGCATGTGCTGACTGGGAAATTTTCGTTTCAAACAGGGAGACAGAAAGGAACAAAAGGTTTTAGTATTTAATATATAAAGAACAGTGTGTTAATTCTTAAAAACATCATTAAGTTGATGATTGCAAATATGGAAGAGCATATATTTTGAACGACTTCCAAATTGAATCCATACACAAGAATTAGCAATTTCATCTGATAACGGGTAAATCGTTCATTGTATTTTGAACTGTCTTGTGTAGCATGTACAATCATCAAGAACCGGGAAATAGTGGAGAAGAAGACAAGCAATATAGTTATGTGAATTATCACTTAAATGTGTTAATCAGTTTAAAATGGGAATAAAAATTAACGAAAATACTTATGAATCAGTAGTTAATTGTTTGTGTACAAAAATCATTCCAATGATATGTGAGACGCCATAGATTACACATCCTGGAAAATAAATTCATTCACTCATGCTTCAGTCCTACTTTAATTCTAGCTGTTTTTACTGCATTTTCTTAATTTGTTTTTTCTAGCTTTTAGTTTGCATTTGCTTGGAAACCGTTCACACTATTTCCTTGTTTTAAAAACATTTAAGTATTGATCTTGTTCAGTTTGTTTTGCTTCGTTTTAATGTTTAGTTTACATTTGGTCAGGGGAATATATAAAAGCGGTTGTACCATGAAAGTATCAGTAAACA